CACTTCAAATAAGTGGATAAAGCCATTAACATGCAATAAAATATGTTTTAGCTCATATAAGGATTGATACAATAAGTATATTATAGTTTGCTATATTGTATCCTAAGATTAAAAGGCGCTCTCGAAAAGGAAATAAAAATAAACATACGTAGCGCACTAAAGTTTAATATAGACAAACGTGGTTTGAAGTCTTAAGCAGTTCTCCACTGTTTCCTGATATTGAGTGTAAACATCCAGGCTTGATAAGGCACCTTTGGACATAAATGCAGATGCTGGTAATGGCTCAAGTAAATTTGAGTAGTTCTAAATAGAATTTCTCATCTCTAATGGCTTAAACTAGGGTGCACTATGTACTTTTCTTTTTATTTCCTTTACTAGAGATTTTTTTATTTTCTTTGATGTACCCTTATTCTGTTCTTCTTCCCTTCCTCCTTTCTTTGATACCCCCCTTCCTTTATTTCCTAGGCAACCCATGTAATAATAATAATAATAACAATATATGTGCTCCACTCCCTCCCTTCCTCCTTCCCTGTAATGCAAGTAATTGTATTACAGCCCCTGCCAATACTAACTATTAACCTCTTCCTCCAAGCCCCTGTCAGCCACCCTAACTACCCACTGTTAACCTCTTCCCCCAAACCCCTGTCAGCCACCCTCACTACCCACTGTTAACCTCTTCCCCCAAGCCCGTCAGCCACCCTCACTACCCACTGTTAACCTCTTCCCCCAGCCCCTGTCAGCCACCCTCACTACCCACTGTTAACCTCTTCCCCCAGCCCCTGTCAGCCACCCTCACTACCCACTGTTAACCTCTTCCCCCTGCCCCTGTCAGCCACCCTCACTACCCACTGTTAACCTCTTCCCCCAGCCCCTGTCAGCCACCCTCACTACCCACTGTTAACCTCTTCCCCCAGCCCCTGTCAGCCCCCCTCACTACCCACTGTTAACCTCTTCCCCAGCCCCTCACTACCCACTGTTAACAGCCACCCTCACTACCCACTGTTAACCTCTTCCCCAGCCCCTGTGCCACCCTCACTATCCCACTGTTAACCTCTTCCCCCAGCCCCTGTCAGCCACCCTCACTATCCACTGTTAACCTCTTCCCCAGCCCCTGTCAGCCACCCTCACTACCCACTGTTAACCTCTTCCCCTGCCCCCCCAGCCACCCTCACTACCCACTGTTAACCTCTTCCCCCAGTTAACCTCTTCCCCCAGCCCCTGTCAGCCACCCTCACTACCCACTGTTAACCCCTTCCTCTCCAGATAAAGAGACAAAGAGATAACACATAACATATATGTATTTCTGAGTTTATCTGTCTCTTTATATTTATTTATAGTAAACATACAACACTATATAATATGGTGATAAAATGTGCTTGTGTTGTAAGTTCCAGTGTCTGAATTCTGAGGGGGCTTGGGCAGGCATTGTGGGCATGTGTTGAGTGTTGCAAATTGCATCACTAATTCGTATCATTACTTATTCTCACAGAGAATGACTGGAGCATGGCCATTGGTGGACAGGCATTATGGGCATGTCATTGCTGATTCTCACAGAGAATGACTGGAGCATGGCCATTGGGGGACAGTTGGTTTATTCATGTTTTTTTTTTTTTTTTTTAACCATTTTATCCTTAGTCAAATCCATCCATCTCAGTTTACAGAATAGACATTTGAGGATTACAGTTTTATTAGGATTGAAGTCAATATTTTCTCACCTTGGTCAGTCCAACAGGAAGTGTTGATGCCCAAATCCTTATATTATGCATATAACACCCTGCTATGGCTAATGTATACCTACCAAGTGTCCTTGTGTAGAAGGCATAGTCCCTATTCCCTCTAATGTCCCTCTTTTGTAGGAGCTCCGTATTGTGTCTGCGCGTACACAGAGCTCCACAGCAATTATACTCCCAGTAATGTGTCTTTAAGCCACAATAAATGTATTTTGAAATCAGAATAAATAAAATACGTCCTAAATTACATTTTGGTTCTATACATTGTTATTAGTAAGTCACCTAAAATATATCAGAACAGCCCCACCCCTGGCTACACACCAACTCACACCCCTAAAGTTAAAGGGTCCCTCTTTGTTTATTTGAAATGTTGGTTGGTGTCCTATTGGAACCATGTGTAACCTCTCTGTAATACATATCAATGGGAATAGCAAGTATGCATGTTATAGTTGGTTAAAACATTAGAAATAAAAGCTTGAGTGAGCAGTCATAACTTATTTTTCAAAGCATGTGAGCTACTTTACGTGGCTTTAATAAACATGCAATCTGCACACATAAACCTAGAACTTGCTGCAAGACTAGGCTGGGAAGAGCTTACCACAAGCTATAGTGGACTGGAGAGGGGATGGATAAAAATCCCTGGGGATCAAAAACATAAGCCTTAAAGAGATACTCCGGACCCCTGAAGCACTTTAGCTTGCTGAAATTTGTGGTGTTCTCTACGGTGGGCATAAGAGGTTTGTCTGGTGTGCCTTGCCCCACCCCTACACTTGGTTGACTTGCCGTCCATCTTTCATCAGGTCCCTTCCTGCCCTATTGCATTAGTTTGTGTTGCCTATTATCTGGTCATCGTTAAGGAGCAAAAACATAAAGTTCATCTTTGTTAATTTATCGTCTAAACAAATCTTGTGACTTTTTTATGTTGCAGTCACTTGTGTATTCTTTAGCAGAATCTATTTTAAGTAATTAATTAGTTTAATTAATAAAAATAAATGTTCATGACTGAGTAAACAAAATATATTAAAAATTTTAATAAAATAAAAAATAATTCCAGGGGTATATTTTTTCAAAAATTGGGAGATATGAAATCTGTACGGGAGGGAGAGAAGCACCGAACGGGATTGAGGGACAGGACCATAATATTGGGATGGTTCTGGTAGCTTCAGGACTGTTGGGATGTGTACCCTAGATGCACACCACAATGTGATCAGCTTTGTATAGCTACGGATGTAGGATGTTGGTATACTCATATTTTCCCCTACAGAAAATATTCCCCTACAGATGCTGAATCTTCATGGAACCATTGCGCCAAAATAAAAACAGGTAAATTAATTACAAATATTCTAAAATGTGTTGATGTTTTTTAGGGTAGACGTAATAAATTACATTTAAAAAAAATTATAAGTTGATTCATTTTCTTTGGGTTAGATGTACAAATGAAATTATTACAATCAAGAAGGCATGCAAAATAAGAGCATATCATGTAATAAATCCGTTTTAATAAAATCCCAGGAAAGGACATCTTGGGGTCCATGAAGTCTTACTCCAGTTCCTGGATGGGAAATCGGCCATTTAATATTTCTCAATTACAAAACCTCTTTTAAAAAAAAAATGCACGTAGAGACACGGCAATACATTGTAATATTAATAATAATAAAAGTAATTAAGGTCCTAATAATTTACTTATTAAGTAAAAAGGTCTCCAGGATGACCAAATCAACATAAGGGGAGATTTCATATCTCTAGAGTAAGTGCAGGCAGTTGCTCAGGTCAAGACGAAATTGATGTCTAATTATTCTAGCTGGGGGTTGAAGGTTATTTGGACTTAATGAATTTAAATTCCCACTTATTCAACTTTAAACTTAGCAGTGGATATTTTTTTATTTCTTAGCATTCTTGTTTACTTTTTTTCTACATCTTTATAGAAAGATTGTGAGCTCCCTATGAATTAAAGTAAAATAGTAATATTATATTTTTATAACTCATATTCTCAGTATGGCTCCTGTAAGGTACAAGGAGACCACAGGGAAGGTTTTCTTGTTGTGTCTATGGCTAGATGTTATTTTCCCCGAACAGAGGCCAATCCTTACACAGTAATGTCGCATGTGAGTGAAGAATTCAAACCACTTCACAAGAGAGAGCGAGAGGGGATAGTCGGGCTCACATTTCATGTGGGAAGACCAGGGCTAAATAAAGCAGGAATAAGTCACAGCTAAACTAGTGGTCGTTAATATCCTGCTCGGGATTTTGCTCCTGTGTGACAAGCAAAGGAACACTCTCTATAGCAGGGGGTAGGGAACCTCCGGCACTCTAGATATTTTAGACTACATATCCTTTCATGCTTTGCCAGCATTATGGGAAATGTAGTCCAAAACATCTGGATTGCTGAGGGTTGCCTAACCCTGTTCAATAGCAAGGGTGTCCCAAATGTAGATCCCCTAGCTGATATTTTTTTGCCAACACCTGTGATGCTTTGCCGGCTCTTAGGCTGCGTTATAGCCTTCACCTAGCGCTTCACCTGCGAGTACAATACCACCCTGTAACGCAGCCAGGTGGGTCTACCTGAAGGGGAGATTTTATACTGTTTACCTGTACAGCGACACATTGCATTGTTACCTGCTCTCATCAGTTATTAAGTAAACTTAGCTAACTTTGTTTTTTTTTTCTTATTCTGCAGTTCCGGATTAACATTTTGTAATTTAAACGATCAGCATAACACAAGTCACTGTACAGTGGACAGTACACTTTGTACTGTGAAAAAATTAACAACATTTAGGGATCATGGTTGTGGCTTGTTGGAATGATAGAATGATAGACAGACAGACAACAGACAGATAGATAGATAGATAGATAGATAGATAGATAGATAGATAGATAGATAGATAGATAGATAGATAGATAGATAGACAGATGGATAGACAGACAGATAGACAGACAGACAAATGGACAGATAGACAAACGGACAGATAGACAGACAGATGGACTGACAGACAGACAGAGAGATAGATAGATAGATAAATTAGACAAACACAGAATTACACTGGATAAACTTAAATGGTAGTTAAATTGAAAAATGGAGGGGAAAAAACAATCAGATAGTTAGAAAAAGACAGATAGACAAGCTGATAGACAGTTACATAGACACATGGACAGACATATATAGATGATAGATAGATAGATAAAGTATTCTTCTAAACAAAGTTCACTAACATTTACACTTATATGTACACCTTCTGAGCACCCACCCACTTCTGTGTACCAGGACAGGGTTAAGGAAAGGGAGATAGAGCCGGCCCCCTGGTATTTCTCCAACCCCTTGGTCTGCTTCACATAGGGGTAGCAAACAGCAGACGAGTGGCAGAGCTGGGACAGAGACACGAGGGAGCTAACAGGACATGGCCCAAATCCAGCAACCGGAGCCAGTGAAGGACACTAAATCCCAGGCAGAAAACTTAACCAAAGAAATTGATCTGGTGCAGAGGGACCCCAAACACATCAACCAGGAGGTGGTGCAGGTGAGGTGGAAACATCGTCAAGATGCCAATAACAATATCAGTCTTATATATTTATGGGATATATACATAGGGGATATTTTAGTCTCAGGTAATTCTTTATTTTCTGTAAAGTGGGACCATGAAAATAAAGGTATTTTAAACTCATCAATGCTATTATTTACACAGTGCCAACTGATTCTGCAGTGCTGTACAGTAGGAACATAATGTGTCCACATAAAAATTATAACAAATAAGTAGAAGAGGACATCAGGGCCCTACTGAAACAAACTTACAGACAATTTAAAAGGAATCCAAACTCTATATTGGGGTTCATGACTTTTCAACTTTTGAGTATTGTCAGGGATGAATGGCCAGGGATTCTGAGTGAATTTAAAATAGATTTCCAAATGAGGAAGGGATGTGAGCGAGAGGTACAGAAGAAGGGAGGAGAAAAGGTAACAGAGGAGAGCAGATGGATGAAGGACGCAGAATATGGGAAGTAAATAAAGGGGAAAGGAAAGGGCAGGAAATTGAATGAGACAGAAAAAGAGGGGTAAGTAAAGAAGATCATGGGGAATGTTCCAACTCCAGCCTTGTGTGTCTGTTGTTAAATCTTGTTCCTTCTTCTGTGTCTATTTATTTGTGTGTCTCCATCCCTTGAGTGTCTCTCTGCATCTTCAGTGTTTGTCTCTTCCTAGTCACCCCCTTGTACATGTCTTTCAACATTCTCACCACTGTTGTGTTTCATCTCTCTTTTGCAACCACCACCCAAGCGCTTTCTCTTCCATCTTCTCAAACTCTTATGTGTCTCTATTTACGCTCTCGCACACCTTATTGCATGTCTCTTATCCCAACGTTTAAACTCCCATGTTGTCTCTATCGCTCCACCATTGAGAATATTTTCATCTACCTCCTCATCCTCTTGTTTCTATCCATCCCCTCCTTTTGTGCATTTGCCCATCTCATCACCAGGGCCGGACGGCGAGTTAAAAGCAGCCCTGTAAATCTTTTTATACCAGCCCTATCATGCATTGCATCAGCACAGTGCATAGATACACAGGTGGTAAGAAAAACCCAACAATGAAAATTATTTCTCCAACCTATTTTGTCATAGGACAAAATAAGAAAACTCTATTTTGAACTGAGCCTCCTGTAATGCCAACTGCACGGCGTCTAGCTTCGGCAGAGCTGAAGAAGCCGGGGGGCCAATCCTGCTATTCATTCACTGGCTGAGATTGTCAGCTGATATGAAGAATGTGGGAAGTGAATGAAGGGTAAGGGAAAAGAGGGGTAAGTAAAGGAGCCCAAGGGGAACATTCCAACTCAAACTAGATCTTGTTAAATCTTTTTCTCTCTCTGTTTGTCTCTCTCCGTATTCTGATCCCTCGAGTGTCTCTTTGCGCCTCAGTGTCTGTCTCTTCTTTCTCTTTCTTACTACCGTTATGTATATCTCTCCTTTTCTCCAACATTACTTAAGAGTCGCTCTCCATCTTCTCATGTGCTTGTGTCTCTCTCTCTCTGCACTCCCACACCCCTTGTCTGGTGTCCATCATGAGAGTATTTTCCACCACAGCCTCACCCCCTTGTTGGTTTCTCTTCATCACCTCGTTTGCCTCACTCCATCTCACTATCCTCTTGCATTTCTCTTGATCTTCCAACCTGTATATCACACAGCCCAACATTTCAAATGGACAAAGAGGGACACTAATTTTAGGAGTGTTAATGCCGGTGTGGCCAGGGGCGAGGCTGTTCTGAGAATTTTTAGATGACTTATTAATAACAATTTATAAATGAAACCATAAAGCTACAATAACAAATATCCCAAAATAGTGTAGTACATAAAAACACCCTATATTTGGTAAGTAGGCTAATGCACTCAGAAAAGCCAATAGGTAGTAGGCAGAACACAACATCAAGTTGTAATGAAATCTTCCTTCTTCTGAAACTCACACATAAATAATAACAATTTAGGCAACTAAATGTAATTTTGAACAAGTACAATTTATCTCACTTACACAGGCTGATTTCTAAAAAACATTTATTGTAGTTTAACCCCTCAAGGACCAAATTTCTGGAATACAAGGGAATCATGACATGTCACACATGTCATGTGTCCTTAAGGGGTTAAAGACACATTACAGTATTATTGTTGTGGTGCTCTGGTATGCACAACTGAGCTACTAGAAAGGAGGGGCAGAGGGATTGAGGCCCAATATAGGGACTGTCCCTCCTAAGTAGGGACACTTGGGAGGTATGGGATATTAGCATGTACTAATTAAATATTAAAAGAATTCTCCAGATTTTGCACTGGAGGCTTCAGGTTTTATAGTTAAAGAGTTAATCCAACCTTTTAAAATGTAATGCCTTTTTATGCTGACTGAATAATACCCTATCTTGCATTATTCTTAAGGTCCTCCCCTTCCCTGTCGCTAGAAATAGATTATAAATTACGTTTTACTCACCTGGAATCCAGAGCCGGACCAAGCTTCTGGCGCATCTTTCCACACCCTCATATGACATCATGACATCCGAATGATGTCCAATCACAGGCTTCTCATAGAGAACCATTACATGGAACCATTTAAACCAGGTCAGAGCGCATGCGCACGCACTGAGCTTGTAATGGGGAGGGGAGAAATAGTGGGGAGGAGGGAATAATACAAAAAAAACTTCAAGAGTGTGTGTGACGTAGTTGTGGTGGTGAAAGGATTAAAGTTCACTATTTGTCTGCACTAGACCGGAAATAATGCTAAAATCCCACTTAACACCACCCACACTTAACCATAATAATATAAATATTACTATTTTAACACTGCCACCACCAAGACAATTTATACATGGGGTGCCTTGGTCCTCCAGGTAACAATAATTAAAATCCACCAAATACAACTCAGCACAATCCCTATGCAATTGCAAACCACTCATTAATTAGTCTCTGAAGATAACGTGATTCTTTACCAGATAATAAAGGCTTATTCATTATGAGCAAAAAATAGTCACAGTGCATACAAAAATATAGATGATAAACAAATTATTTACACCAATAACAGATACAAACAAAAGGGATAAGTCCTAATCACTTACTCAGGTTTTCAAAGTAAAACTACACACTTTAGTATCATTAGCTATATACCCTGTGGATTACCAAGCCTCGCCTAGAGGTGGAGATAAGGTATACCTATAGTAACTATAAGTGACCACCCCCTTGTGTTCCAGATCAACATCAATCCAAATGGAAACATTTGGTTATATCTCCTCTTATGTAATTGCAACAGAGATAATAATTGCATCTATGAATTTGTTACAGTTTTCCCCTTCAATAGCTATGTCACACTCTGTACTTGTGACCAAATATAGCAGACATTACAATCCCTTCCCCTATGGTTAAGTTATGCAAATCATGTTTAGGCTTGATTAGAAGATTGTGCTTGTCCCATTCTAAATCTAATAAAAAAATAAGGTTTAATTATTAATCTGTGGGTAAGTATTAATGTTTCCTTTGGATATGATACTGGAACACAAGGGTTTTCTCGAAGGCCAATGATCATTAACATATCAAAGAAATTAACTCATTAATCAAGAGGTACAGGCCATATGGTTGAAGTCAATTAGTTTACATTGGAACTAGACATCCAGGCATCTCAAGTGTAGAATTTCACACATTGCAGAGTTTTTGATTAATCAAATCCATGGGGATCAATCCATGTTGTAAACCATCTGCCCTCTTTCACATTCCTAAACAATTTACATTACCCCTTCTGTCATCTGACCTCTACCAAGTGGCCAATTAATATATGCACTACATAAATTACATTAAATGGCAATATTATATTGTGCAGCAATGAATTATGCACCCTTGGATCCACGAAAGAAGGTTAGGAGAAAGGAGATATCCAGGTTTCCCCTGTAGTGTGAAAGCTGAAAAACTGCACATACTGACTCTTACCACCATGGCCACTTCATATCACTGAAGTAGTCATGGTGGTTTGAGTAGTTCTTTAATTGCATCAAATCTCCCCAGATATGTTCCCATAACCACATCTGCCAACGTACTTTGGGTAGTAGCAGTCTATTTTATATTAAAGCAGCTGTCACCTCAATTAAACTTTATAAAAATAACCAAAATTCCAAAATAGTCTACAGGTTTATCAGTATTATTTTAAAGCACACGTCTAATAGAACGGATTTGCAGTTACGCACTCAGTCCGTTATGACAAAGGACTAATAATAGAATGCACCTGGCATCCTTTTTTGATTAAGAACTAATTTCTAACTTGCTAAATTGAGCTCTATAATTAAAGCAGAGGCCAGGAAACAGCTGAGGCAGGACCCAAATTGCCCATAGCATGACTTGCTTATAAACCACGTAGGATGAAATCTATTATTAAAACAAAAGCATAAAAACTGTTGAATGTTTAATGGGAAACAAAATATTCCTTTTAGGAAACAGAACTGATTTTTATGCTTTTTTTCCCATTAAACTGTGTGCTGTGCTGTGCTGTGATTAACAAAAAGACTTACTAGTGGGAGGTAGACATGGGGGGGGCAGGGACGTATCAAACAAGGCATTGGGCGGCATTTTCCAGGGGGCGGCAAAAAAAGCCGCCCCCAAATGCCCAGGGCAAATGTCTTGTTAGCCTTGCCTAACTAAAAATACGGTCAGTCGGGCGGCGCTGGCGAGGGAGCACTTTCCCCTGAGCTGTCTGCTCAGCTCCCTCTCACACCACAGAGTGATGCCGGGAGCCGGAATATGACGTCATATTCCGGCTCCCAGCATCACTCTGCGGCGCGCGAGGGAGTTGAGCAGAGAGCTCACTAATCAGTGCTACCTCGCCAGCGCCGCCCGCCCAACCAGCAGCCACTGGACCCCAGGGAAAGGGAGAACCCCCCACCAGCATTCCCAAAGGTCAGGAGGCTAGGGGGGGGGTTGAATAAAAAAAAAGGGAGTGTGTTAATGTGAGTGTGTGTGTGTGTTAGTGTGTGTTTGTCTGTTAGTGAGTGTGTTTTAGTGTGTGTCTGTTAGTGAGTGTGTGTTTGTGTGTGTGTTAGTGAGTGAATGTGTGTCTGTTAGTGTGTGTGTGTTAGTGCATGTCTGTGGCTGTGTGTTAGTTTGTGTCTGTGTGTCTGTCTGTTAGTGTGTGTGTGTCTGTTGGATAACGTGTGTACGTCAGGGAGTGTGTCTGTTAGGGAGTGTGTTACTATGTGTGTGTCTGTGTCTGTGAGAGTGTATGCGTGTCTGTTAGTGAATGTGTGTGTCTGCTAGTGACTTTATGTGTCTGTTAGTGAGTGTGTATGTCTGTTAGCTAGTGTATGCGTGTCCGTCAGTGAATGTGTGTGTGTGTGTGTATTTATAAGGCGGGGCACTTTCACCAAAGTAACCCTCCAGCGCCGACCCTCACACCCCCTAGCGAATTCCGGCTTCTGAAATCTCAGCAGGGGCACTGCTGATTGGCAGCCAGCTGACATTCTCAGTCAATCATAAACTCCCCATTCATAAACTTGGCTTGAAAAGAAATGTATCTTTTTCCAAAAACAGATTAACCCTTAAGAGTGTACCCGGGGGCCTCCGCTGGCACAATAACAACTTCATTTAGATTAAGTTGTTATTGTGCCTAAACTTTCAGTTTAAGTCAAAAACAATACTGTAAATCATAAATATTTTTACACGAGTTTTCAAAAATCTCATGGATTAGATGGATTTTCAAAATCTCACTTATCCTAAAACAAAATTGATGTCTTATCAAATGTAAATGCTAATAGTATATTTTTATATTTGCTGACACATCACAGTACTAAAGTTTGAAACAAAACAGAATAAATGAATCAAGTCGAGCTGTTCATACATACAATAAATTACTAAACTAAAGTAAAAGCCACCCTGGCATTAGATATTAATCCTAAACTCAACAATAGATGGCGATGCGTCGAGCTGATGTGGAGCAGTGTATATTTAAACCCAGAGGGAGTGGGGCACTGGCTGTTACATAGTTACATAGCTGAAAAGAGACTTGCGTCCATCAAGTTCAGCCTTCCTCACATTTGTTTTTTGCTGTTGATCCAAAAGAAGGCAAAAAAAAAACAGTTTGAAGCAGAATTTTAGAACAAGCTAGGAAAAATATTCATTTTTGACCCCAGAATGGCAGTCAGATTTATCCATGGATCAAGCAGTTATTACCCTACATTGAAAGATTATATCCTTGAATATTCTGTTTTTGCAAGTATGCATCTAGTAGCTGTTTGAACATCTGTATGGACTCTGATAAAACCACTTCTTCAGGCAGAGAATTCCACATCGTGATTGTTCTTACAGTAAAAAAACCTTTCCTTTGCCTTAGATGAAATCTTCTTTCTTCCAGTCTAAACGCATGGCCTCGTGTCCTATGTAAAGTCCGGTTTGTGAATAGATTTCCACACAATGGTTTGTATTGGCCCCGAATATATTTGTATAATGTTATCATATCCCCTCTCAGGCGACGTTTTTCTAAACTAAATAGGTTTAAATTTGTTAACCTTTCTTCATAGCTGATATGTTCCATTCCTTTTATTAATTTTGTAGCCCACCTCTGCACTTTTTCTAGTGCCATAATATCCTTCTTTAGAACAGGTGCCCAATATTGCACAGCATATTCAATATGTGGTCTGTTGCTGTCAAACACGCCAGAGGGCAGACAGCTGAGACTCGTGGGTGTCTGCACTCATTTCAAGTAAATAGAGGGGGAATTTATGGTATCCTAGTTAATACTATAAATATTTTCTTATAAGAACTGCACACACACACAGTATAAATTATATTTTTTTAAAGAGTGCCCAATTTATAAAATACCCTTTTTACGGTAGTGGCAATCCCATTGCATACAACATCTGATATTTCCATTTAACAGATTGTCTGCTAGCCTGGGAATGCTTCACTTTATGGGAGGAACACATATTAAAATGACACATTACTTGGAGTCCAAGCCGGTTTCTTTATTCTCTATGCTACATATAGAAAAACATAACTATATGATATTGTTATTCCATTTTGTTTAGCCATTCCTCCCACACTAGCCTTGAGATTTACTAATATTTTTCTCCATTTTAATTTGAAATAATAATTGATTCAAAACGGTCGGCCAGAGGGGGGCCTGAAAATTTGCCCAGTTGTGTTCAATTGTAATCTTTTTTTTTTTTAAATTCTTTATTTTGTCACAGTCAACAAGATATATATATATATATTGCGAGTAATACATACAATGAAGCATATCACTGTTTTTAATCTTCTGCATATATTGGTGGGATAGCGATGTTGGCTGTGGTATTTTGTTTTATGGTAATGTAGCTTGTTACTGCCATGGTCATGTCTTTAGCGATGGTTGTGGTTAGTGTAGGTGTCTGGGACATGTATGGCTCTGTGGTTTCAGAAAGTGAGAGAAAATGCGATATCTTTCTATGGCGGGTTGGGTGCTGAGTGGGCACAGCTCCACTTGGTAGAGTAAGTGTAAGTGGTTCCTAGCGCGGAGCTGGGGGGGGTAAGGTGTTCGTGAAGGAGCTAGTGTTTCTGAGTTTCGGCTTGTTTAGGTCTGGGAGGTGGCGGAGATGGGTGTGGCCTGCTGTTCATGGTGTGCATGGTGTGGTATGTTGCGCGGTGTCTAAACGGTGTATATAACACAAACAAAAAACAGAAAGGGTACAATACCAACAGTATAACTTATGCTGCGTCTACAGTTTCTCAGCGTGAGGCTGGCCCTATGAGGTGCCTGTGCCTCATAATACGAGAGAAAAAACTATAAAAACGGTAAAAACAAAGAATCCCAAGAGGTTACGTAACCATATATAAAAGCAGCTATATAAATGAAAAGATGTAATGTCCAGAGTCACGTAGTTGCACGGCTGGGTAAGTTCCGATTTGCCGGGATGAACGGGACAGAGTTGGCCGGGTCCCATGTTGTCGGTGCTGGCGTTGCTGCGTGGTTCAGGCCCAGATTGGTCAGGGTTGCCTCTATCTGCGATGCCTCCGCTACCTTGATCTCCGTGTTTTGGTGCTGGATAATGAGCATGTGTGTTGGGCCCCATCGGTACTTGATTCCGTTTGTTGATAGTATGGATGTGAGTGGTCGTAGCGTCTTCCGCCACTGAAGTGTCGGTCGAGAGAGATCTGAGTAGAAGGTAATGTCCATATCCTCAAAGCGGAATGGGGGTTTCCCCCTCACTGCTTTCAAGATGGCTGCCTTATCTTGGCTGTTTTGGAATTTGACCAGTAGGTCGCTGGTGTTGGAGGCCGCAGCTGCAGGAGGCTTTGGGAGCCAAAACATCCCCTCTAGTGTGATACCTTTTGCTTGTTTGGGTGACAACAGTGCTGTGAAGAGCCTACGCAGGCAGTGGGGTAGTTCTGCTTGTGTGATAGTGTCCATGAGGCCCCTGATCTTTAGGTGTTTCCACCTTCTCTTGTCCTCCATTGCTGCTAATTGGTGGCTCAGAGTGGTGTGAGCTGCAGTGAGAGTGGCAATCTGATTCTGCAGCCCTTGGATGTGGGCTGCATGTGTTGTGGTTGTCTGCTCAATTATATTTAGGCGCCCATTAAACCCCCTGAGGTCTTCTCTCACCTGGGAGATTTCTGAGGAGAGGCTGTGGCGGAGATCCGCCAGGAGGCCGGTAAGTATCCCTGTGGTGAGAGGTTCTGACCCTTTGGCTGCTGGCTGGGCAGATGTTGTAGGGTTAATTCCCCGCTCTTCTGTATCGTGGAGGGAGTAGTCAGCCGAGTCATCTGAGAAATCTCCCATGTCCGCCGCCATGTCAGTCCTCCCCGCGCCATGCGGTCCCCTCAGGAGGTCGCCGATATCGGCACAGAATCTCGGTCGATCCGGACGGGGCTTCTTGGTTTTTCTCCCCATCGTAAGGAGAGTTGTCTGGGGCTTGTTGGGGGGTGTTGTACCCCTATGTTCAGCAGGATTAGGGCGTTTTTCGTGCCCGTTTGTCAGAGCTCAAGCAGAGAGCGACCGTTGCCGTCGGATGCTAGCTCCGCCCCCTCAATTGTAATCTTAACGGCCAAAAACCAGTGATCAAAAAACTAATCTTATAATCTTTTTGTATTTGTTTTTCCACAAACACGCTATTTGTCCGAAACACTATATATGTCGTCCGTACAATTAATTATTTTACTTTGCACGGAGGGAACTACCAGAACATGGCTCCATCCTTCTAATATTTAGAAATAGGAGCCATTGGCAACTTGTTTAGTATACATGCCCCTACTTGCGTCATTGCGGATTTAACCCCTTAAGGACACAACTTCTGGAATAAAAGGGAATCATGACGTAAATTTCCATCTTGTGTCCTTAAGGGGTTAATCTTCCTTATTTACTAAAACTAAGGAATTTTTACTTAGTATTAGTAAAGCTGTCTGAAAGACCAAAATTCCAAAAAGGAAGATCTTTTCATAATTTTAGTCTTCTTATTAGATAGCTCTCTAATCCTTGTGGGATTGCCATAATGATACCAAAAATGAGCCATCTACTAAACAGGTCCCTAGTTTGCTACCCTTAAATATGGCAATCCTATGGCAAACAACATATCACTGAATATTTTAGTGAGATGCACCATAAAGTCTGGATAATTATTCAACCGTGTTCATATAAGTTATAAAGTAAATGAAGGGGAGACTGGGAATGATATTGAATAATATACCCGTTACTGAATTATAAAGATATCGTGATGCCAAAAATACCTTGATTCAATGTTCACTGAATATATAATACTGTTCTTTCCCACGAAGATACAAAGTAATCTAAGAAAGGGGTGTAATCAAAATATGTTTCAGCAATGACGTCGACAGGGAAATATGATAGGTTGAAGCCGCTCCGGAGGCTGAACCAATTACTGAAATATGATGGGCTAAAGCCAATTTGAAGGTGGGATCGATCACCTTTATAAACCAGAGACTTTCAGTCTGAAAGTATCTTCCCTGACGAAGGTGCTCTCTTAGCACCGAAACGTGGGTCGGGATACTTCTTTTTCACATCACCTACCACTATGCACTACTTTGTTCACTTTACTTTTTGTTTGGAATTTTTATCAATAACGAGGAAGAGGAGGTTCTAATGAAGAATCAATAGATGGTTGGAGAATGTAGACTATAGTTATCTAGCTGCAGCTACAGCGATATCTAACTTAACCAGAACCCACAAAGGTGTCATAGGGACAATTTAGCCGATGTTGCCGCAAATTCAGCCGCGTGCACAGGAAGATTAGCATATACAGCTCACTGGAGGAGGAGGCTATAAACATAGTAACCCTATGAGGATAATAGCTCTTTAGACATCCTTAGCCTCGAACAGCTTCTGTGGGATTTTTGCTATGTAGGCGAATTATATATGCTATAAGAATTTTTAAAATGTATTCATGTTCCAATCCTCTGGACATTTGATAGTATGGCGCCCCATTGACTACCACTATAGCTATTCACCCTCTCTGATCTATATTGTCCCATATTTTATTTTTTCATCCATTTACTGGATATTACATGTTCCTCCATTTTTAACCATGTAACATATTTTCTTAAGACGTGAACAATATACCCCCCAGTGTTGCTTTGAGTCAGTCAACAGAGGAGTGTAGTGAAACTCTCCCTTATTAACCCAATAGTACAGCAGTTTGGAACTAGACAATTAACTTTAAGTCTAATCAAACTATATACATATATATAAATAACTTGGGAGTTTTCTTTTTACTCACTAATGTTTGACAATTAAGAGACCTCAAGCTACCGACTGCAACATCATTATTATTTTTGCACTCTACTAGTATGCGGATAGGACTACCTTTAGGTAATACTTTTTATGCAATAATAATAAAGCCTGGTGGTTTACCAACTGGATAATTTACAAACCTATCCATTACTACTTAGTATTCATTTCCCCGTTAAGTGTTATATGTTGTATTCACTTTTATCAGCCTGTTTAACCTATTAGTACCGAAGAGGAATCTCTCCGAGGAGATTTTCCTTATTCTCTTTCTACGTAACGTTTCTAGGATTCATGCCCAGACTGAGTGGGTACCACTTACACAGACCACCCGTGTTGGGAACATTTCTTTTGTTTAATTAACAAACAGCTGAAATTCATTTTGGACAAAACTACATTTTTTGTTTCTTCATCCGAATGTATTCGGAGGAAACAAAAATGTCAGAAGTGCCAAAGTCTACAAATTACTGATACAACTTTTTTGTTGTCCCATGCTTGTTCTAGACATTCATTAACTGGAGCATACTTGGACAGAGCCTCTTTCTTTCCCAGAAGGAGTGTTGTGTGGCTCCATTGTCTGTCTCTACCAATCGTAACCATTTCTACTAATTACCTATATTCCTAAGCATATAGAGTTCATATTTATATTGATAAAATCCAGTCTAAAGCATTACACAGTGAATTCTTGAAGCTCAGCATTCTATTTTGCCATGGTAAATTCAAGTATAGTAGTCATCTAAAAGTAATGGAACATTATTGTTCATGTATCGCTTTGGTAGAAAAAAAAAAGGAAGCTGTTTAGATATGTCCTTCACCATCCTTGAAAGGATTTTAATCAATATTTATTTTATTTTTTCATTTCCATACAGGTAGAGTTCGAGGATGTGATCGCTGAACCCGAAGGCACTCACAGTTTTGACGGGGTATGGAAAGTCAGCAATAGCACCTTTACAGTGACAAAGTACTGGTGTTACCGTGTGCTTTCCGCAGTCCTTGGCCTTCCCCTAGCATTGCTATGGGGCTTCCTATTTGCTTGTTTATCATTCTGTCACATCTGGGCGGTGATGCCCTGTATCAAGAGCTATCTGATGGAGATACAGTGTGTGGGCCAGTTCTACGCGCTTTGTGTCCGTACTTTCTGTGATCCTATATTTGAGGCTGCCGGAAAGGCACTAAGTGGAATACGTGTGGCAATGAGAAAGGAAATCTGAAAACAAAAAAACTTAAACATGCATACCCTTATTTCTTCCAAACCTGGTAAAGGTCAAATTGTGGGGAGCATGTTCTTAAAATCCACTATGGACCAGACACATCATTCATCCCTGAAAGCCAAGCTACATATTGTTCTCTCCAATGTATCGCAGTTGAAGACATGAAGGACAATTGACAGAGGACATACGTTGGTTCACTCCTTTCATACCAGGTCAATGGAGTGAACTAAATGGGTTTCTCCACAAATGGAAATAAATGCTCAGCCCCCGAGTGGTATAAATATCACATTTTATTTGCATTGCTCTCTATGCACAAACAGCTGGAGTTTAGTGAGAATTGGATATAGATTACAGAATACAAGGCATTTATCAGTACATTTACATAGGAATGTCCCAGTTATTCTAAGGATGCAATGATCAACTAGGAAAGGTTAATAGCTCCTTAAAATCTCTATGGCGGCAGCCATTTTCTCTGTAGGCTCAAACCCTCTCCACAGAGAGGACATCACAGTATTCAAGGAAATACAAATTGTTTAAGTTTACGGCTCTTCTCTTTTGTATCATACAGATAGGGTACACACTGCGGCGCAATAAAAACACCCCAAGCAGGGAATTATGGGTTTACTGACGACTAAATAGCCCAAGTGTCAGAATAAAGCACAGACGACATAGCATTGCAGAGATGGTGGCTGCAAGGACAGGAGGACATACAGCAACAGACGTATTAAAATATCTAAGCAAGGGATTGAAGCAAACCACAAGAGCTGACAATCATGGGACACCGAGCCGTCTTTTGTGCCATTAATGTGGGAAAGTCTGCTAACCCATAAATTGCCTTGCAGATCAGAATGTTATTTTTTTTGAAAAGACGGGAAATAAACATAAAACCAAACAAAAAAAAAAAAAAAATATTTCGTATTGTGGTAGCTTTTTTTGCTGGTGTTGGTAACAGTGACCTCTCATGGGAGTAAATTGTATTACACTTTTTTTTTGGAAATTGAGAAAATTTTCACTGAAAATAAACACATTTATTAATCACATAGATTTTTATGTGATTTTACCTAAACACATGGGAAAAAAACTGCAGTATTTATTGCATGGGATAAAACATAAATGGCACGAATGAATCAGAATTTGAACAGAAGAACAAATAGGACCATACACAATTCATATTTAATGTTTTGAGGCACGTGAACTCTGACCTATTCATAAAAAATGTGACACAAATTTTAAACCTATAATATGATCTCCAAACGTTAATAGTGACAAAACAGTCAATACACCACTTTCACCATGTTACGTGCAGTGTTAACCAGCTGCCCATGCATATTCATTGACAATTCTCTGATGAAAAAAAAATGAGTATATCAATTTGGTGGGGTACAGGTGTCATATCTTAACTCCCATCGCCAGACCTAGATAACAGTACTAAGATATGGACATAGTGTTCCTTATAATAGATGACACACTAGGTGGAAGGGTAAATGGATTCCAAAAACTGCTAAAACAAAGGAAATTAAAAATCAATAATAGAATCTCAGTTTATTAATGTTTTCAGAGGGAGAGCTGTGCTTATCAGAGAATGGTGTGATTTGTAGTTCCATAGCAGTAGCAGTTTTTTCATGAAAAGCAGTTAAATAAAATACAGTGTAACATCTGTTAGCTTTGCCAAGTAAATTCATTCATGATCACTACTGCTGTACAGGCTCTCTCATGCAAGGCTATGGAAGAGAACACACAAATCTCCTTATGATGTGTACATTCATAGGGATGCTCGTTGTTACAGTTTGCTACAGCACTACTCAATAGGATGAAGGACAACTGAGGAATGGGGTTCCACCACCAGAACCTAGTCAATGCATAGCTGGCTTCTGTGCTTGGAGGTTCCGTTTAAAGTCTATGTTCTCTCCCTAGTAATATTGATAATTTGTTGTGCTCCTTTACTTTTTTCAATTCTATTAATCATAGTCATACTTCACACCCACTTTGATGATCTAACTTCTTCCAAGTGGCCCTAAAATCCTAACATGTAGGCACCTAGGCCACTGCATCTCAATGAAGTGGTCTGTGTGCCCTTTTTACCCTGAAGCTGAAAATATTGGAGTTCTCTAGGATTAACCTGCTTTTAGTAGGCGTCATACTGAAAATCTATAGTCGCTACAGTAAAATAAAAAGAGTAAAATTCTACTATTTTTTCAAGATGGTCTCAGGAAACCTACAGGAGGCAATGATTGGCACAGCGCAGTGTTTTGCCGGGCATGCACATTATGGGAAAACATTGGTTTGGCTGAGATCATCAACATGAGCTCAGCCAATGAGGTGGAGTTTAAGCAGGGAGACCGGCGCTGCCAGGGCTGAAAGGTAAATAAATCACCTTTTTAAACTCCTGCAGCACTGGCCCACTCACCCAAATGATGACTAGGGCACTATAGTGTTAGGAATACATATTTGCATTTCTAACGCTATAATGTTCCTTGAAGTAAGTAAATTAGACATAACATTTCTACAAAATATTCTATATCCAAGAATGCACATATATATATATATTTAATATACATAATTAATAATGTATTATTTTCTCTAACCTCTCCATCTTCTATAGGCAGAAGCAAAAAGCCAGAACCGACTTGTTTTGTTTATATTGGAGGATGAAAGTTAAACTGTCTGACAGTCAAGCAGCTGGAGTTTTGACACTGTAGGTGTAAATCACCGGGCCATAAGCATCCTGTCCAAAGTGTCTGCATAGCATGCTGCATGCTGGGTGCGCTGACACTAGATGCAAAAGTTGCACAAAACTGAAATTGCCAGTTTGATTGACAGCCAGGCAGCCGGCCTTAGACACAAGATTTTTTTTTTTTTTTTTATTATCTCCGGAATAAAATACTTTTTAAAAGAAAGGTAGCAGTGGCACGGCCACCGCACCACATCCACTTCAGTAAGATGATATAGTTATGGTACTCTAAGTGACGGTACTTTAAGTGTAAGTGGTTAAATGCTCCAATAATTTTAAAACAGCAAGAGTTGCATTGTTACTTGTCTACTAGCCTTGTTACTTTGAAACTCTTTTTGTAGGCAAACTGAATACAGAGTGACTGCTAGGGATAATTTCACTAGAATTGAGGAACGATTGAACTTTGCTTAGCATGAACTACAGGGAAAAAATAAATGTAATAGATACTATATTGTTCTTTCAGACCGTAGTCAATTACATAACCAGTATACGTTGCTCGAGGAATAAACACTGATGGGTATCCAATGGCTGCCAATCAATGGTAAATGTGGTTATTTTAGAATGAATACAAAACCATTAGACATGTTTAAACATCTTCTTCGCCCGATTGAATCTGTTTATTTACTGGACATATATCCCAACAGAATAATTCTCAGTGAAAATTTCTCAAGTTGACTAATCCGAAGTTAAGAGGTCCAAAATACACTGTTAATTCAGATTGTAAAAATGTTAGTAGAACGGATATGTACAAGAGTGGTATTAACATATTTGATTAAAAAAAAAAACGAGTAATGTCCCTTTCTGATGTCAAAATGATTCTAACCCACAGCATCTAAAGTGGTGTTCACGTATTGATCAACAGTGGACATTCTGCACACGGTGCAGTTAAGTCCAAGGCAAACCTTTACAGAAGAAGACATGAGGAAATTACGAAAGCATGGGATTGTTAAGTCAGTAACTTGCAGAAACTCTGGAACTGGACGTTACTGCACATGTAGCTAAAAAATTGGGTCCTTATACTACTAGCTATCTCTGCTCTAAACTCCAAATTGTTCAATGTAGAACATTTTCAACTAGAAGCATGCCTTTCTTTCCCCTGACATTTAATGCAGGGTGTCTATGCTGGCTTTGTTGGGTGGTCACAAGATGGGGTCCTGGAATGTATAATGTAAATATACTGTGCTTCTACAGACAGGCATCTTCCTGGTCTTGTTCGTCTTTGTAAGCAGTAGTACTTAGGAGCCTGGTCTTTTTGAAGGAGTTCAATAACCAACAGATAAGATGAATGATTGCAATGAACCTGGTGCCAATGCTGACTTCAGTAATGAACAGGTTTTGCTTGGGAACCCCAGTTCTCTTCACTCCCATTTTGGCTTGACCGAGGCCTTTTCTGCTGGTTCTTTTGGGGCAGTAGAAGGCGAGAGGAGCCCCAAGCAGAAAGACGTAACTGTGCTTATGTTAATGACAGCAACACACACGGATAATAACAAACGCTGTGCGGGGGGAAGCATGGGAAAGACAATATCCTTTAAAGGACTACTGTTCCGTACCCATCCATAAATTTCCAAATGACAATTCAAATCTCCTGTCCACATGATCCTTGTGCTCTAGGATGAGGGAGAGCAGCCGACTTGAAAGAGTGAAGAGCAATCCTGTAAGGAATAATTGGGTCTCTCTTCTTGTCCTACTCCCCAACTGTAAATGAGAAATTTAACTTCATCTCCGGCCCCCAAAAACAGCTCTTCCCTGGCCTCCTTTCTTCCCTCCTGCCGGGCTGCCACGAACTGTCTCGAAGGTACTGGTTGTGCTAGGTTTTGTTTCTCGTGGTTTCCCCGCTTTGATGGCATCACCAGGCTCTTCCGGTCCTGTCTGTCTTAAGGCTGCTTTACCCAGCAATTCCTTGAAGACGCTGTCCATGTTTTTCGTCACATTCTTTAAGAAGGTAAAAAAAAGGATATTAGTGTTTTTTACAGAAAGGAGGGGATATGTCATTACATCTTCACCTCTCTGTTAGTCCCTTGAGATCAAGCCACAGGTGTTTCTGGAATCTAGGAACTAAATAAACTATTATTTCCTGGGAGGGAGGAACAGGCGGGGTGGACAGGTGGGACATAATATTTTACCTAAGTGCTCCAAGAGTGGATTTCCAGAGATAATGGAGTCACACAGGTATATGGTTCATAGTCAGGGGTTCCTACTGTTGTCAGTTAACCACCCAAATCCCTTTCTCTGTTTTATCTTCTCACACTACGTTATTGCCTTTTTTTCTCTTATTTTTAATATTTTGCTAGGCTATTGTTAGTCCTTCTGATAAAATAATAGCTTGTTAGATTTGGAGGTCTATGACATTGGCACACTTTGCTTGTTTTGTGATTCATAAAGAATTTAAAAAATAAATATAAGACCAAGTGAACATCAACCCAAAAAGTGCACAGGTCTTGCACTGATGCCTGGGGTGTCCCCGAGGGACAATGGGTAGTGGGTGAGCTTATTAGAATACCTTCTCCATTATACATTGGTACTAATGATAATACATATGCTCATATACATTTTGTAACGGGCAGTTCTGATATGGTAGCAACAAACACATGGAGGCATGCTGTTACCCTCTTACCTTGTCCACTTCAATTCCAGGACGATCACCTTGCCAAGATTTTGCCATAGAGATTCCCTTTGGCATGCCATCCAGAAAGTTTCTTCTGTCTCCTGCTACTGGGGACATCCTGCAGGTCAAGTAACAGTTTTATCAACTCTACAGTGATTCTACTCTTGTTTACACTATTAGAAGCCCTATGGCCCTCATCTCCATGTTAAAGACATGCATTTTCCCATTTTTCATCTGTCTGGCATGTTTTGTCAAAATGCTCTCTTCTACATTTCAAATATTTAATTCTGTGGACCTCTTTTCCTCCAAACTCTGATTTACCTTTCTAAGTGTCCCAAAAGTCGCTGAGGTCCAGGGTGGGTGATGGCAAAAGGAAGTCGGGCAGTTTCTATGATCTGGTAGTTCAGTTTCCGCATTGGGCTCCCCTCATTTCGCTTTTGCGGAGAGCAGGCACTGTCTGAGTTTACACGTAACCTGAAGAGATAACCATATTATTACAGGATATATGTCGAAATCTATTTCATTGTAAATTTGCTTAGAGAATAAGCTGATTAACTTCTAATTTTAACCTTTGTTTAACCATAAATAAAAGCCAAACACCTCCCTAGACTTCAGAATGTTGTTGACTACAATTCAATAACAAGAACATTGAGCACTGCAGCCTTTCCACACTAATATATTCCATAGAACACCAAAGATGATAGTTGGTTATCAATTCCATCCGCATATCATCCTCATCAGGAGCTATTTCATTATGAATCTCTCCCATACCTGGGCTCTAGGTTGAGCTCCTCAGGTGTACGTGCTGTACCAGGCTCCACCTCCTTCCTTACTCCACGTTGCTCAAGTCGCTTCTCAGCCCTACAATGCACACAGAGAAACACCATGTACCAATTTCTATGTCATAGTCTCAATGGCCAAGAAATTCAGTTTTAGTGTTAAAAATGATTACTCATAAAGTATTGGTCTTTCCAACATTAAATTGTGAAAGTCCTTCTTGGCAGTGCATAAAGAATATATTTGCCAACAAGAGCATCTTTGTGACACCCTTCAGAGTCCACTGTAAGATGCTTTCTTGGCATTCCTTGAAGATTTATCGCTGCAAGACCCTTTTCAAGAAAAAGTATCACAGTTTGAATCCTTACTATGGAAAACATTTACATAACTACAAGAGGTTTCCTCACAGTCAAAATAACATGCAGATGCTGGCTACAATATTAATAAGGGGAATGAAAGATCTGTGATGAAGAAAAAAAGGAAAGTTGCACTTTTTTAATTTTGAAAAAAAAAAAAGCGTCTCGAGCATATGATAATATTATGACAAAATATACATTGTCAGTACAGTTATCTCTCTGGTGACCTGATCGTTAATATGACTTTATGGATGACAAAATGTCATCTATTGAAACTTAAAGAAAGGATTCTTTACAATTACAAAAATATATGAATTTGGCATTTTCTGCTTTGAGGGATTATTTTATCATATTTATTATATACCTTTTAAAAAGGTTTGGATCAAAATCATATGTTTGGGATTAGTGATGTCCCGAACGGTTCGCCACGAACGGTTCGCCGCGGACTCATCATTGAGTAAACTTTGACCCTGTACCTCACAGTCAGCAGGCACATTCCAGCCAATCAGCAGCAGACCCTCCCTCCCAGACCCGCCCACCTCCTGGACAGAATCCATTTTACATTCATTGTGAAGCTGCATTCTTAGTGAGCTGTCCAGGAGGTGGGAGGGTCTGGGAGGGAGGGTCTGCTGCTGATTGGCTGGAATGTGTCTGCTGACTGTGAGGTACAGGGTCAAAGTTTACTCAATGATGAGTCCGCGGCGAACCGTTCGGGACATCACTATTTGGGATTATAAAAGCTAATAGGGCATTAATAGTTTGTTGAGCCAAGTAGAAATCTAATTTCCTTTTGGATTTAAGAAGGATATTTGGTTTTTTTTTGTGACACAGATGGAAATTGTTTCAAATTGAGTTAGAGTTGGAAAAAAGCAAGAAGAATGAATTTAGGGAAGGTGGAAGTCATATAATTATAGAAATACCTCCCTAGAACTTCTAAGTAAGATTACTGCCCAGTGAGTATGACCTTTCCTAGCCATAACATTCATCAAACCAGTTCTAAGATATCAAACTGTTTTGGAACCAGGACATGTCTGTAAGCCAAAACATCTCCATTACTCCTAATCACTGATCGAAAAAATCTGTAAACATCTTCCAACTACAACGCATTCAAGAGAGCTTTTTCCAACCATAGAATATCCTTACAACCACTTACTAGCCAGGACATCAATGAGATTCATTTGCAGTCAAAGCATCTATGTGAATCACTTTCACAGCAAATGATCTGTGGCCTGGAATAAGCAGGTAGTCAACTGAAACCAACATTTTCTCACCCTTCGGGAACATTGACATATTTGTGAGGAATAAGACCTCGAATCCCTCCTGCTTCCCCTCTCCACCAGTCCCCGGAGGCTTTATTATGGAGCAGCAATATGTCCCCCTTCTTAAAGGACAGTTCATGGGGAGACCGAGCCATGTAATCAAACCTTGCAACTGCCTCCACAAAGTCCACTTCTGTGAAAGTTAAAAAAAAAAAAACCAGTAGAAGTAAGTTCACGATACGATGGAAACGACTATTTGAAGACGGGAGGAATGGGAAAATAAACATGCGCAAAAATGCATAAGTCTACATTAATCTTAACTGAAAGTTAAGAAATAAATGTTTATATAAAATGAATACCCTGCATCGCTAGTGTTCTATAGACTTTTCTCTGATTATACAGGGCACACTATAGGCATTCTTCTTCTCTAAGGCATTACACACAGACAGAGTTTCACAAAAAGTCACAGAGAGAAGTTGTAAGACAGAGAAGATTATATAAAATGATATATCATTTTCTGACCTTCTTCTCCGACAGTCTCTGACTGCATCTCTTGATCATACTCTTCTGCAGTGGGTTCCAAGGTCAATGGATCACTAAAAAGAAAGTGTGCATAGCAAAGTCAATAATAAAACCCATACAGACTATTGGTGTTTATTATTGGTGACGTCGCTTACGGATATAGGATCTCTGTGATTAATACATTTATATACCATATAGCTGACACGACTTGATAAAGGCCACTGCGCTTGGCTGAAATGCTTTCATGGAATTTCAGTCCCTATAAAAGTCTTTATTGTGTGCCCAGATTTTTCTTACTGTATTCAAGTGATTATTCAAAGATTGACCACCCCCTGGGTTTTGGAGCACCAATATAGTATTGTAATTTAGTCTGGAAATGGTGGAAGGCCCTATCTTATGTCTAACTCCAACTCACGTCCTAATTCTTGAGACATAAGGCTGTATGTTTTCAGTTATTGTTAATTATTACCTTATTCTATGTTAAACAATTGTAAAGCCACACCAATTTCCAGAGCATACAGAATAGGTAAAGAAATACAGAATATCAAAAAAGTATTAAAAATATTGGAAGGTATTATTGTTAGGAAGTGTCAAAACTAGGGACTTATAACGCCAAAGCTAGATAGATACTTTATTCATAATGATCAAAATGTAAGACCAATGAATCAACCATACTTACATTTAGATTTTTTTTAAATATAACATTTGTGAAGACCTGTCAGCGCTAGAATGTTGCTACTTTCCATGCATGCAAGTTTAAGCTGCATTGGTGCCCCCTCATCTGATGGCAGCCCTCCCCACTTGGTATACATTTTGGCTCAGCCTCACCTGTAGTCATCATCCTCTTCCACTGTCATGCATTTCTCATACACTGGACCCTCCAGTTCATTTGGCCCGGGAAAAATCCTCTCCTGGTAAATGATAATGGTTTTCACAACCTCATTAACACGAGCTTGGACAGAGACTGGATCTTGTCCTTCTGGAATGGAGACCAGAGTTGGGCCAAAGCACACAGCCAGGTTATATGGATCCATCATATTCTCATCACTGTAGTGGGACAGACTGTGGAATCATAAAGAATAGATGGTTAAGACTGTCCCTCCATTGTATACGCATATTATATCCTAGTTAAAGCCAAACCCGGGTTCAATACATTGAAATAATTTAAAGATTTTTAAAGGCTAGGTACCCCCGGAAATATTTTCCATCAAAAAGTTTAAAAAAATGACACAGTTGTTAACTGGATCACCAAGTTAGGTGCAGAACTAATTTAAAACCACCAACTTTTAACTCAGAATAACACTGATTGAATCACTATTTATCTAATATTATATATTGTTTTATTTAAGCTTAATTTGAAAAGTTGCATTCTAAAATAAAATGTAGCTTTATTCAACTCAGCTCATAAACTGGCTCATCCCTCTTTTTGAAGAACCTTTTTGTTTTTCCTGCAGAAATTCTGCTTGTCTGAATTCCATTCAATACAAATGTTCAAAAACAAAGATGGACAAACAAGTTCCTCATTAAATCCCCCTCGCCATTGTTGTGGTTGAGAAGGGTGTTAAAAAATGAAAATGGGCTAAGGTAACTTTGAGGAGCAATATTCTGCTTGTATATTTTGTACGCATTGTCTTGAGAGTTAGAAGTCCTGTTTTCTTCACTTCCTCAAATCTTGTGGAACTTCTTGAGATAATATATTAAGGAAGTATAATATAGAAGATTGTACTGTGACTTTCAGTGGCTGAAATATGTCAAAGAACTGATTAAATCTCACATAGAAAGTAGAACTATAAGCCACTGACGTTCCACGAATTACTCACTGATTTAAGAAGGCAAAGAGGTATCGGAGAACTAGAGTTACAGGTGGAGGGAGTTGTGACACCAGTTTCTTGAGGTGGGCTGCCCTGTCCTGAGCATTCTCAAGTTCTGTAGATAGAGATAAAAAGTGAGTGCACTGTCTGTAATGCAGTAGATAAAAAAAAAAAAAAATCACAATCCACAAAGTGCTATAATTCTGTTCAATAGAAGTTTATAGTTTGCACAAAATTCTCATTGCTTAAAGTAAGCATTTAGATCACTATCCCCACAGTGTCACATTCTAGCACTTCCAAGTCATTTAAACAATATAGTATTTTTGCATACTTAGACTGTATATAAAAAAAAATCTTTAATATAGCAGTTTCTAAGATGCTAATTAAACAGTACATATTTACAATTGACAACTTTGTCACAAAGGTTTTTGTCCAAGCTACTAATATTATCACACTGCTACAAAGCATCCACTCTGGTAATACCCACAGTCGGTATATCACTGGGGCCTTAAAATACCAACATATGTCCACGGTCACTCCAGCATTTAATGTCTGCACACTACTGATGGTTGCTACCAGTGAAACTGTCCGTGTTTCAGTGCTTGCCAGTTGTGGCATTAACAGAAGGCAGCAAAAACTGTGTTTTCACCTTTATTACCATAACACCACCACTAGGACACAAAACAAACTTTGAAAAGCACATGCTTACTTCACCAGGGATTGGCAAAGCAGGCTGGTCATTGATGTTGTGGTTATACCTATGGTATGCATCGTTGCAAAGAGAAGAGTTCTCGTTAATGAGAAGAGTCCTCACAGCGAGGAGATTCTCTTGGCACTCAAATAGCGTAAGTTTAATTCATATTAACCCTTTTAATGTGCAAATAAAGGGGGGGGGGTAATTTATTTATTTTTTTAACTCTTCCACAGCTCTAGGTTTGGTGAATAGTTCCCATAGTTTTGCCACTATACATCACAGATAAGGCACAGAAAGAGGGTATATTGGCATGAAGCAGACAGATAGCAAAAAGATATACGAATCTGAATGTTGTGGTCTGTCCCCAGACAGACTTTGCTAAAGTATAACGTGTCAGAAATTCAAAGTGAATTAAAATCTTTAGGTCGGAACAGCACAACTTAAAAAAAAACAGCTGACTGCAATTTATGGGGGGGGGGTGGGTTTGATTAGTGTAGTGTGAACCCCAAATTATGCAATGAATACTTACGAATACACGATAGCAGGTCGTTGAACATTTCATTCGGGAAGAGGGGCTTCTCCAGACCCCTGAAATAAAGCTTCAACACGCCGGCCACAGAATCCACATCGTGACCAGTGCAGCTGTCATCCAGGGGGTCCTCACCTACACAATGCAGAAAATGTACTTGTTTTTTGGCACTACACCTTTTCCCCACTGGTTGGTCAGTGACTTTTCTTAGTTTAGTTACTTACTATCATTGCAACCCAACTCTAGGAAAAATCTTTGCTAATTGTATTTTTAATGTCAGGCTGCCTGCCATCCAAGACCTAACCAGTAGAGGGCACATAAGGGACATCGCCCAAGAAATCTTATTGTGAAGTTTCTTACAAAAAATAATATATTGTGTGTCAGAGCACTATTATGTTAAAGTCTAATAAATAAACATTAATGAATAGAGCAAGGACACAAAGGAAAATAGAGTCTGGATACACAGCGGGCCATAAATAGTTCCGAAAGAGATTTTCTATAGCATCAATCTGAATATATTTTATGGTATGTTTTAATATTTTCATTCCTCCACTAAAAACGGTTGGCAGCCTTAACAAAGAAAGGACTAACTAAATTAATAAATTAATTTTTTTTAAAGTCCTGTTTTAAAATCAAGTCAAACCAGAGGCTGATTTTTGCAATGAATTAACTATTTCTTGCATTAATGGTTAAGGATATTATAACAATGTACAAAGTGTCACCGTTCATCAATGAATTTTGAAACTAAGATATAACTAAGAATATCAACCTAGTATTTACCATGAGACTGGATTTTTACTGGTATATTCAGGCTATTGGAATAATATGCAAGGGATAAATTAAAAGTTCTAATGATCACAATATCATATGGAGGGATACTTTATCACAGAGTTAACGCAATTGGCCCCCATGGGTTTATTTAGGATCACTGACCTCTTTCAAAAGCACTGCGAATTTCGTTCACATGAGCCTGAGATCCTGGGACACGAAAAATACCCTCATGCTGTAAACCTGGAAGAATTCAAATATCATTAATATTTTTTAAGATTCGTAGAAGGAGTGCAGAAAAAAAAAAAGAGTTGTAGGGGCATACATGAAGTACCTGTAGTCTAACAACAGCAAGATGGATGGAAGTAAGCAAGCATATCACAATAGGGGTACTTATCTATTAAAGGGAAAGCTGTACAAATAACAAACAAACAAAGCTGTATTCCTGGCACTATCTCCCCCTGCCTCCCCCCTCCCTGGCGCCCTCCACCTCTGGTAGACAGCCACTGTGGGCAGACTCAGAGCTGCAATATAAACATTGCAGTTTTCTGGAACTGAAATGTTTAACATTGCAGCACTAGGTGCAAAAGGAACACTGCACCCAGACCACTTCAATAAGCCGAAGTGGTCTGGATGCCTACAGTGTCCCTTTAAAGAGGAATGGTCCCTTTGCCATCACTAATTACATCTTGGCAGAAAACACCGAAAACCACTCATAATGTGTGTAAATCCTTTTTTCATGTTATGCTCTGTTTTCTTTTAAATTTATATTAAAGATTTAGAAAATTACATCATAATCCTGTTCAGACAAGGCACAACCAGGGCAAACAATGCAAATGAATGAGCGAAACAGACACATTGTTTCATTTCTCCTCTTCTCTGTATACTTTCTCTATACTGACTGCCAGGTGCAAAGGGGAGAGCTTGTAACAATGACTGACAGGGAGCTAAGATGGAGGCACCCAGTTTCAGGACAATCATTTAATTTTAACACCTCGTTAAGACATACCTATTAAATATAGAGGATAAATAAAGATAATATTACAAATCCTGAGAAGTGACAGTTCTATTCCACTGTGTTCAGAATTCAAAAAATACAGTAAAGGCATCTTCTAGGAAGATTTAATCTAACCTATAGCAGGGAGGAACTTAAAGGAGCACTATAGTGCCAAGAAAACAAACTTGTTTTCCTGGCACTATAGGGTCATTAGGTTAAAACCCCTTCAGCCACTTACCTTTCTCAAGCGCCGGGCTCCCTCTGTGCTGGGGAACTCTCCATCCCCTGCCGACGTCAGATCCGAATGCGCATGCGCGGCAAGAGCATTTAAACAGCCCATAGGAAAGCATTACTCAATGCTTTCCTATTGACGTCCAGCGTCTTCTCATTGTGATTTTCACAGTGAGAATCACAGAAGTGCCTCTAGCGGTTGTCAGTGAGACACCCACTAGAGGATGGATTAACCTTCAGTGTACACATAGCAGTGTTTACCTTCAGTGTAAACATTCTCTGAAACTGCTATGTTTACAGCTGCAGGATTAAACCTAGAGTGACCTGCAACCAGACCACTTCATTGAGCTGAAGTGGTCTGGGTGCCTATAGTGGTCCTTTAAAAAATGTGGGTTATTTTTTCCCTATAGTTTATTATCTCCTAGTATAATTCCTCAAAAGATTTATTAACACACACCTTGTAGTTTACATTCACTTAATGGTTTATGTAGAATGGAAATTCGAATAAATAAACAGTAACGTCTAAAATGTATTCTTTTCTTAAAAGACACTATTCTTATAATGTAACGAAAAAACATGGACCTTTATAGAGAGTCGGGGATTTATTTTAAACAGAGTTGTAAAAGATACAGTCCTTTACCATTTTTTACAAACTTGCTTACCATGCAGATTAATAAACCGAATGCAACTGGACACAACGCGAGGAATGGATTCTCCAGAACTCTGCAGGTTGTCAAAAAAGAAATTTAAAAAAATAATCAGAAGTCACATATTACATACGGTCGTTCATACTGACTAACTAACACCTATATAGGCTAGCTACAGAAATAGGGAGATTGTGTTATGTTGTTATATTGATGGCTACTTGATAAGCAAATTTTAAATGTACAGCCTTTCTTTTTCCACTTTCAAAATTGTGTTTGTGTATAAGCTCTAATCTCCTTCCATTTTGTAAATAATCATACGACTTTGCTTTACTGCACTGCAGTAAACAAGAATGTTTTAGGATGTTATTTATATAAGGGCCGTAAAGCAATCAAAGAAGCCCTATTGCGACTGCTTGCCCATATAGGAATCATTACATTATAGCAGGGGGGGTTGAGGGTTGAGGGGGAGGTCTATGGATAATTTGGTGCAAAGGGCAGCTCTTGATATAGACATATAAATTATGAAGGCATATACTAAATTAGCCAATCTAGTGTACTCATTAATCCTAATACAGGTTGTAATTATCTGTTTGGGTTGGAAATATAAACATCCCAGATTTCCATGACAATAATTATTGTATCTGCTTATATTACATCTACTGGAAGTTTATTCCAGGTATATGCTATAAAACTAGTGCCCCTCCCCTCCCCCCCCCCTTAAAAGATTATCACAATGACCAGAATGTAAATTCTTTTGCTTTATTAATGGAACAGACCAATCAATAGAATTGCTGATTTGTACCTGAGCGCGGGACAGATAACGTCGTCTCCTGGTAGCACAGAGGAACAAAAGAGAGGAAAAAAAAGACAAAAAAGAAAAGGATCTATGAAGGGTAGCAAGCAGGCACAGGCAGCAAGGATCTCTTGGACCCATAAATTAATGCAGGGGGGGGGGGGGCAGTGGCAAAAACGGGCACTGATCTCCAGAATTCAGAATTCAATCAGTAACCATGGTAAATGCAGAGCTGTGCAAAAGTCTTGAATAAGTTCACTAAGACTATGGGGTGTCTGATCATCGTAAACCTGGGATCTCTGTACCTCCAGATGTTGTTGGACTACAGCTCCCATAATTCTCTGCCCATCTACAGCATTAACAATGGGAATTGTATTCCATCAATTTGGAGTGGCTGAAGTTGACAACATGACAGTAGATGGTCAACACTCACCTAAAAAAAAAAAAGGAACGATTTCCTTTCAGTAGATAGGAGGGGGAAAGAATGGTTAAAATGTAAAGACTAATATAAGAGAAAATTAAGTGTGAAATATGAGTAACAGAAACAAAATAAGGGGGTACGTAAAGACAGAAGCATGATGATGGCAATAAACGAGACAGGGGTGACATACACAATGAGAAAGAGATGACATATACAATGAGTGAGCGTAGGGGGACACAATAAGAAAGAGGGGTGAAACTCACATTAAACGAGAGGGTTGACATAGACTGATTAAGAGATGCAAGTGAGGTGACACATACAATAAGTGGCAAAACGCACATTCACAGTGTAGCAGGTGGGTGACACAAACAGGGTTATTTACAAAAAGTGAGAATTCAAAGTGAATTTTAAATTTAATGTCAAAATAGCCAATTTGGAAAAACTGTTGAATATGTTTTTGCCTCGGCTAGTCAGGCCTTCAATTTGAAAATTAAATATGAATTTTTACTTTAGTAAATAATCCTAATATAATGAGTTAAATTAGAATGTTGTCTGAGACTTGCTGTGTGTGTCACCCCCTCTCGGATGATACAGTGGGGGAGATTTAACAAAGTTTGGCCAAGACTTTTCTATCTAATTTTTGGCAAATTTATGGTGGAGTTTTACCAACTCTGTTAGTTGTTTTCAGCTGTTGCTATCTCGGGCACTCGCTACCATGGCCGAAAGCCCCAGTGAGCTCCATGAAAAGTTTGAAACTCGCAATGAGTCCACAGGATCAAACTCAGAAACTTAGAGAACCTCTTCTTCTGGTGTTTAACTTTGCACCAACAATAGCTAACTAACCTGGTGGCTTAAAAGTCATGACTTAAGTAGGTATATCTCAGAACAGTACCGTTCAAAATACGATAAGGAGGCGAGAATACAATATAAAGAATGATAGCGGAAATTATTCCGGACCTATTATTCAGACGTTTGCACATCTCTCATTAGACAGGTCATTTAAGATGCAAAGTGTGAGCGAGTTACAAATTTAGGGACAATGAAAACAGATAGCTGTAAAGATTGGAACTTCTAGCACTGCACTGGACTCCTGCAGATGTCTTCTTGTTAGTAGTACACAGCCCAGGCTTCTGGGAGGGAAACATTGCAAGTTGTGTCACCAGTTAATATCAAGCCAGCTCAGAAAGCAAAGGAAGGTGGCAGCACATGGGGGCAGTACCTGCACAAACTCCTCCAAATCCCCGTTAAACAGTTTGTGGTTATAATGAGATGACGGTCGTTGCCTTTTCACCCGTTGAGACTTACTGGGGCTGGATTGATGCCTGAAACCAACCGTGTGACACACAATTCACACAAAACCCAGCTCTAATTTAGCAGCACTCTCACATATTGTTACAAGCCAAAAATATTGTTGCTGTCACTTAGGAACACCATATTATTGGAGAGAACAAAATCTGATAATGATCAATTCATTTAGAAAGTTGAGTGGGTGACATTTTAAAATATTGTCTCTCATTTAAGGAAAAAACAATGGACAGTAATAAAAAAAAGAATCTACAATAAAACTAGGCATGCAGGGTCGTATAAAGCAAGGCTCAAAATGTCCAGTTGCCCACTATTCCTTTGTGAGTGAAAATTTAGCCCTGGAGAGTAGAAATTTAGCTCTTTTGAGTAGTCCATGGCCTTTCCAGTAGCTCACTTGATGGAATTTTGAGCCGTGCTATTTAAAACATCTTCAGACGATAATCAAAATAAGTTGCGAATAAAGGACAATTGTCACCAACTATTTTTTTATATAATAATCCTTTCATCGCCATGGATCAGACAGTGTTTGAAAATCAACAGTTAATCTCTAAGGTCTTCATTGCAGAGTTTGAAACAGGTTGACCATAGATATTAAGTGTTGGTTTTCAAACACCGTCTACCCCAAGGTGCATAAAGGATTCTGTCATACGCTGATCAGCCACAACAATAAAACCACCTGCCTAATATATGCAGGACCTCCTCGTGCTGCTAAAACAACTCTGATGCATCAAGGAATGGACTCTAAAAGAACACAAGACCAACCTGTTGTAATCTGGCACCAATACATTAGCAGCAGATCCTTTAAGGCCTGCAAGTTGCAAAGTGGGGCCTCTACGGATCAGATTTGTTATTCCAGGACATCCTACAGATGCTCAATCGGATTGAGATCTGGGGAATTTGGAGGCCAAGACAACAACTTTAACTCTTTGTCATGTTCCTCAAACTATTCCTGATCATTTTTTGCAGTGTGGCAGGGTGCTGCTGAAAGAGGCCACTGCCATCAAGGAACACCATGGCCATGAAGCGGTGCACGTATTCTGCCACAATCTCTAAGTAGGTGGTACTTGTCAAAGTAACAGCTATATGAATGCTAGAACCGAAGGTTTCCCAGCAGAACATTGCCCAGAACATAACACTGCTTCTGCTGGCCTGCCTTCTTGCCATAGTGCATCCTGCTGCCATCTCTTCCTCAGGTAAACAACGCGTACACATCTGGCCATCCACCTGATCTAAAAGAAAACGTGATTCATCAGACCAGACAACCTTCTTCCATTATTGCTCCATGGTCCCGTTCTAATGCTCATGTCCCCATTTAAGGTGCTTTTGTTGGTGGACAGGAGTCATCATCTCCATTCTGACCGGTCTATGGCAAAGTAACCCCATATGTAGCAAACTGCTATGCATTGTGTGTTCTAATACCTTTTTGTCATGGCCAGCATTAAATCTTCCAGGAATTTGAGCTACAGTTGCTCTTCTACTGTAGCTTCTAAGTGATAAGACCAGACAGGCTAGGCTTCACTCCCCACGTGCATCAATGAGCCTTGGGTACCCATGACACTGACTCCGGTTCGTCGTTGTCCTTCCTCACACCACTTTTGGTAGGTACTAACCATTTTATACTGGGAACAATACTTGCCATTTTGCAGAAGCTCTGACCCAGTCATCTAACCATCACTATTTGGCCTGTTCACTTGCTGCCTAATATATCCCACCCCTTGACAGGTGCCATTGTAACAATATATTCAATGCTATTAACTTCACCTGTCAGTAGTTTTAATGTTGTGAATGATCAGTGTATACTAAAGCTAAACTTGAGTTTCTATTTTTTTTTTACATATACTTCATTTAAAAAATGATATTTCCTTCTAAAACTAGATGAAAGGATTATCATATTTAAAAAAATAGTTTTTAGATAACATATGTCCTTTACGACATAAACCTCAGCACCATTGGAGTGCTAAACACTGTATTTAACATGATTACCCAGAGGTGGGGCAGAGTTGCTGAACTTGGGGTATACCGAGTTTCCAACAAGTTCCTCCACATTCAACAAGTGTGGATGAGAAGCAATGGCAGAGGACACGGTAAGGACACTCCTATATTGCACACTGTTTGACTCAGTTACGTCTTTAATTTATATGCTCCGGGTTAGATTAGATTTTAACAACCAACTTCAAACTCTTACAGAGTGAAAATAATAAAATCCTTTCCAAAATGCATTCTGCTTATTTCCTATTGTATATTAGGTGCAAATTATCTTGAAAATCATTAGAAATGTCCTTATACATCCATTAATAATCAGAATTAAGTAAAATTATACGTGACTAAATGTACCATGAGATCTCAAAATTGGTGGAGCAAATTTAAAAAATGTGAATAAACATTAAAACAATTTGAAATTTACATATATGTATATTATTTATTCCCCTTCCCTCTACTGCATCTGGATGACAACGTAGTGGTTTAGAACTGCAACAATTTTGGCTTGCGGGATGTGCTGCATTTGAGCCATGGGTTGTTTTCTCTGCCTCTAAAAAGCCTATATTTATGATGGACTTCCCATGATCCCCACTTTGATCTAGTTTTCACCACCCATTCCAGGTCCCTCAGGAAGGTACATACCAGGAAATGTTAAGGTCCGACACCGCAGCTGTAAAAGAAGAAAAAGTATTAGCTGTACATCTAAAAATGAAAATATCCCACCATCCCCAGTAATTCATTTAATATAAAACTTACACCATTTCCAGGTTATATCAGATCATAAAATAACCAGGTACTATATCTTCTACCTGTCTTATAGCTTTCAACTGATCACACCAATAGCATGTTCTACAGCTTCTATTTTTTTTAAAATGACTCCAAGTTCTAAAGATCCCACCTCATCACACAGACTTCTGGTCCTCCGTACCCCAAGATCATCTGCTCACTTCTTAAGATACAAACCTCAGGTTCTACATAACCCATGATCTAGAGCATGCTCTTATCACAAAGATCTCAGGTTCCACATATCCCAAGATCTACAGCCCTTTCTTCATACACAGACCTCAAGATCCACATAACCTAGGTTGTACACCTCCCATGTTATCAAACAGACATCAGGTTCTGCATGCCTCAAGATCTACAGCCCATTCTTACCACACAGACCTTTAGGATCTGCATACTCCAGCTTCTACTGCTCCTTCTTACCACACAAACCTTGGGTTCTACATACTTCAAAATCAACATCCAATTCTTACCACACAGACCTCAGGTTCTACGTACTTCAAGATCTACAGCCCATTCTTACCACACAGACCGTTAGGATCTGCATACTCCAGCTTCTACTGCTCCTTCTTACCACACAAACCTTGGGTTCTACATACTTCAAAATCAACATCCAATTCTTACCACACAGACCTCAGGTTCTACGTACTTCAAGATCTACAGCCCATTCTTACCACACAGACCGTTAGGATCTGCATACTCCAGCTTCTACTGCTCCTTCTTACCACACAAACCTTGGGTTCTACATACTTCAAAATCAACATCCAATTCTTACCACACAGACCTGAGGTTCTACGTACTTCAAGATCTACAGCCCATTCTGACCACACAGACCTTTAGGATCTGCATTACCCAGCTTCTACTGCTCCTTCTTACCACACAAACCTTGGGCTTTACATACTTCAAAATCAACATCCCATTCTTACCACACAGACCTCAGGTTCTACATACTTCAAGATCTATAGCCCATTCTTACCACACAGACCTCAGGATCTGCATACCTCAGCTTCTACAGCTCCTTCTTACCACACAGACTTCAGGTTTAACATATTCCATGTTCTACACTCAATACATACCCCAGGATCTAGATCCCCTTCATATTTCTCAGATGCATCTAACACAAATCACGGCTTTTACAGTTAGCCCTTGCCCCACACCCATCTCGGTAGGTTTAGTAGATTTACAGGAGACACATGCTTCCGCAAAATACATGTAATGGGGTGCCTCTGGCCAAGAAGGTACAACTCTGAGCTGATCATGTTAAAAATACATTTGAAGATACAAACAGATTGCTTTTATAAAATTAACATTATTATCTACACAAGTGTGTAACATGTGTACTGCTGAATCGTGCAGCGTGGGTTTGGTTGTGATGTTTATTTTTATCCTACCGGTGAAGAAGACAGCTGGCACACTAACCTTGAAGACATGATTAAAGAGATGGTCAACCCTCTCGTGTTAAACTAAGAATTTAAACTTGTCTAGAGAACTGTGGTTTGCTGCTGCCATGGTTTCTCCAAGGAAATGTTTCCCACCCATCAAATTATGTAGACTGAAGAAAATGTTTTTCAGAAGCGAGAGGCATTGGTTTGCTAACCTAACATCTTTTGGTTCAAGTAAAGCCAATAATTATAAAGGTTATATACCACTTTCATTATGTAGGTAGATGCCTACCACAGAGGTCTGTGATTAGAACAATTTCAAAGTTCTCTCCAATTTATGCAAATGTTTAAAACAGAAATATACACCTAGACAAAAGAAAAAAATTATATTCAAGGAAAGTTATGTGAATAGATTGAGTCATGAACTAAGTTACTATTTTGTTTGTAGTGTTTTGTTTGTTTTTGTTTAATGGTAACCAGTGGAGCTCAGTTAGACTTCCTGCCTTTCCTGTGATGGGCATTTTGAGAATTTGTAGGCTTGTAGGGTTGTGTTCCAGTTACGAGAAACTCAGGCAAACAATGATCCCATTATACTGATGATGAACTTAAATTCCATGTTAAAAATAACAGTATAATTTAAAGAGGATGTCTAGGTTACAAATGTATATTTTTTGAATGCAGTGAAAATAAAAATATACATTTATTGGGTTACCCCAACCAAAAACAGTTTTATGATAAAAAGTTGTTTTTTGTTGTTGTTGTTGTTAGGGATCAATGTTTAAACTTATCACTTGAAAGTTAGCCTTTGCAAAGTTAACCACTGGTAAGTGTACATGGACGCCCCAAGCTTGCAGAAGCAAGTAAATGTTAAAGTCTGGCTAGTGGCTTAGGACTTGAAAGCAGGACGTTAAGCCCTGCAAGCTGTAACCCTTGCTGGCATGTTCACTCAACCTACTGCTTAAAAAATAAAAAAAATAAAAAAATAAAATTACCTGCGATTCAGCAATCACCAGTTCTTCCTCCAACCTAATCCTCCTTCAGTGACATCCTTTCTTACACTATAGAGGGAAAGGATGTCCCTGAGGCAAGGCTAAGGGAGGACTTAGCGTTGTACGGAGGGGTGGGCCGTGCCAACATTAATTGTCCGTTGCCTGCATGCTATACGTGCTGACAACGGACATTTATCACGCACAGACTGCAGATTAGCTTTCTCCAAGGTATGTAGCTAAGCTGATCCACCTCTTTTTGCTAAGCACTAACTTTTAATTGTTGATGCAGGGCAGGGTCCAAACAAATGCTTCTCACAGAGAAGCATTGAGCAAAAAATTTGTATATTTCAATATTATAACATAAGCATAATTATTTTTATATTTTTCAAAATAATATTCCATTTTAAAATTGATATTCTTCTAAATTATATTCGTATCATTACATGGTCTGCTGACTGTAACAAGATTTTAGCGCATGCCATCATGGATGTCAAATATTAGCAGTTGATAATACATATCGTGAATTGATGTCTGTGATTTTCTCTACTGAAATTCCAATCTATTAAAGGGGCAACACGTGTAGTATATTCTTTCTGTATACTATTTAGTATAATATTTTTACTGCTTTAATCATGGTCTAAGCCTAAGGACAAAAACAAAGGAATTCCGTACTCATACTTTTTTTCATACGATGGACAAACACATTCCTATTTTTCTCACAGATAAACATTTAATAATTAAAAAACAAACAAATAAAAAAAAAAGTCCCAACCACATATTCATGCATTGCCTTCTGAATTATGAGACGGTTTATACCGCTCGTGTCCTTACTTGTCCGTACTTTTTGCCTTTAGAGCAGCACAAATTCCATAACTGAGATTTATGGACTTGTAGTGACATTCCAGAGACCGATGCCCGTGGTTCCCCTAATTTGAGAACAATCAGTACTGACTTTATGAGTCTAACTTTGCCTTTTAAGAAAAGGTTTTTTTTTCATTTGCTATAGACTACAGAAATGTCCTGAATGTAATTTGAAACTACTACATGCCCTGTAGGCACACACTGTAATGCTTCTGTACTCAGTAGAATGAGTAAGAAAGAAAAAAAAAAAAAAACATTCAGTGAGATATTTGTAGACATAGAGATAACATCATCACCTGGTTGACTTGCTAATGGAAAGAGAACAAGGTGAAGAAGTATCTTCTCTGAATTTTTCCCCAAGCTATGTCACTATTTTCAAGGCCACGTAATACAAACATTTAGCTGCATTCTATCACCGAGACAGTGTCTTCAAAGCAAACCAATCCTCCCTCACTGTCCAACCAAATGCTTCTTACAGAGATGCATTGCGGATGCATGGGGCATGCACAGCAATCACCGTGACCCGCCAATCTGACAGCCATAAGAGGCATGTTTTCAGCCAAACGTAAACCTTGCCATTTCTCAGAAACGACACTGTCAGACAGAATGGGAAGCATCTCTGCACCAAAACCACTTTTTTGGTGATTAAGAGTGAACCTTTAATATTTGCTTTTCCTTTTCTACTTAATTATGTTGTATTCTGCTTACAGTAGTTTTAGCTCTCACCGTGCCCCCTTTAAAAGTCAAACCAATCATTGTCTCCCGGGGCTTACCTTTATCTATGGCCTCCTTCAATTGGTCACGTTTTGCTTGGAGTTTACAAATAGTACTCCTGCCAGCCAGGTATTTTTGAAATTTCTAAGGGGAACGAATAGAAAAGTGTTAGCCTATAGTGACTGAAGCCCAAGTAATCGTTTAAACCTTAGGCACATAAATTTAATGCGCCACTACTTACTCACAGTTACCACTGTAACATGCTCTGAACTGTCACCATGTCTAGAGGCATACTCTTTGCACTCAATATTTTCCAGAGAACTATCTCCCTTCTTCAATCCTATCCAGGATACTATCCAGTCATTTCGTGGTCCACCCCAAGTCCATCATTTTCCAGGGATTGTAACTCCACCATCAACATACACATTGTACACTGTACACAGACAGTATTCTCTCTCCAAGCCCTTATTATGCGGATTACTCTCTAACCCTGTTTCACTCAGTACTCTCTACTATATATCCAATATCTTTCCTCCTTACACTGTCCAAGGATCTCTCTGCTTTCTTCCACATTATTTAGACAGAGCAATGCTCCTCAACCCTCTCCTCAGGGCACACCACCAACAGTCCAGGACTTGTGGATTACCCGGGTGTGCCTCAGGTGTTTAAAAAAAAAAACTAAAAACACCTTAGACGCTAAGGTGTTTTTTTTCTTTTTCCAAAAACCTTAGACACACCGGGGTAATCCCTAAATTCTGGACTGTTAGGTGTGCCTTGAGGAGAGGGTTGAGAAACACTACTCTAGAGTACTCTTTGCCTTGTTTCCACTTCAACTTTACTTCAGCCCTTTATACGACTGTCCGTAGTACTATCTTCCTCTCTAATACTTGAAAGAGTATTCTCTGCCTCTATCACAATATCTTAGAGTACTGTCTGCCCTGTTCTTTTTCAGCATATTATTATTTGCTGCTCTCTAACATTGTTGAGAGTACTTCTGCCATCTTCTATGCTGTCCAGAGTAATCTCTGCACTCTCTTTACTTTACAGAATGATCGCAGACCTCTGTATCACCAGATACATCAATGAAACTGTTGACCCCACTTAACATAGAACCCTACACTCTCTAAAAATGTCCAGAGTTATTATCTTACATGATTGCTCACATTTCCATAAGGCATAATCCTATTGTTTCTTCCTATAATCCAATGTGCTTTCCCCACCCCCCCCCCTGCATCCCCCGCGCCTTACCGCGACATAGAAAATTTCGGTGTCCTGCTGGTTAGCACGTCTCTTCGCTGTGCTTGTTTTACTGCTGGTGTCGGATCCTGTGGATTTTAGGGATTCAGTAGACTGACTAGACTGAAATGCATCTAATACATCGAAATCCTCAGTGCCAATGATGTCAAGTAGTGCCTGGAGGGTAGCTTTAAATGTTTTCTTGACCTGGGGGAAAAAACAAACATAATTGTATAAAACTATAAGACCCCTCACTACACACCTGATATTGCTTCATCTTCTCTGTGAATATAATCTGTTTGTGTTAACAGCGAGAGATAGACCTCTGTCACTGGCTACACTGCATCACTGGCTATAGATCAGGACAGGATGGAAGCTATGCATCATGGGTTATAGATCAGGGGAAGGAGGATACTATGTGCCATTGGCTATATAACAAGATGGTCTATTTGTCGCTGACTGTATAGCCGGATAAGATGCTATGCTGGATGAGCCCTGCTGAGAAAATATGACCTAAAATGCACCTCCATTTCTAGACTGAAAATATCAACGCAAACCCTTCCAGTAGTTATAGAGCAGTAGGAGCAGGGTGAGGCATTACCTCTTCAGTTTCCAGGTTCTCGCTTGTCAGTCTCGACTGGATGTGCTGGAATCGAGAGGTTAACTCTTGATGTAGCAGAGGCTCAGACCGCACTTCACACACCTGCGGACATGGACAAAGATTACAATCAATATCAACAGGCAGACGACAGACAAATAGGCAAACGGACAGACTCTACCCACAAATGATAAGTAAAATATATGAATAATTTTTTTCCGCACCTCATCTCCTTCATGGGGATGGAATTCAAAGCGGGCTGGTGGGCAGAACGCATCACTGCGCATCTCCATCACCTTGTTTTTATCTGCCGTGGCATCAAGACTATCCACAGCCCCCTCAATGGACTGCAAGCCCTGTTGCCGAGAGGCCTGAACTCGCTCTTCAGCCTGCAGGTAGACCTTCAGGGTTTTACCCATGGATAGGTGGAAGCCCATATCACAGCACTGTCAGAAATAAGGAAATATAGATTGAACACAAAAGTGGCCTTACGTGAGCTTTGACCATACGCAAACAACATGAAATGTTTAATTATATATCAGTATTCATGAAATGGTATATCACCAATCAAAGTAGCACTCCATAGTAAGGAAACATACATAGAATAGGTGTGGCCAAAAGTAGGTTCTAAAGTATCACAGGACATGTAGTTCTACCATAACTCCATCTTATGACCCCCCCCGGAATAAGTAATTGTATAGAATGTAAGGCGTTCTTACGTCAATGAGGTCACCGATGTCATTTAAATAGTAGTTACTGATGTTGGCGTTGACAGTGTTGAGGTTGATAAGATATTCGTTCCTGGCTTTTGTACACTTCTGGTTGTTCTCCAAATATTTCTTCAACCTCTGGGAAAAGAACACATCAAAAGTCTGTATTTACCTAATGAATATGTCTCAGATGTAATCTATATTTTGCGTAGAGTTTTTCTCTTTTTCTTCGGAGACAGGACCCAAATCGAATTAGCAAAGACCCTGGTTTTCTTAAGGAAATGATTGGAAGAGGTTTCTATTGTTCAACTCAATTTTACTCACAATATAGACATAGAGAGCAAGAACTAAACGCTCCTTTTTCTATGGTACAGCAGTGAGAAGCTAAGTGTTCATTCATTCTTTTCATGTTGGTCTACTTTGGAATGTTCAAAGAAATTGTAGAATGTTAACGCATTTGTGGACACAGCACCTGCATACAGGGCTCTCTATGAGTAAGTCCTTCAATTTAATAAGGATGAAACGCGTCAGATGTGGTGGATTTTTTTTTTTTAAACTTCTTTTGATACTTTAATAAAGAGTTTCTGGCAGACAGTTTTCACCCTCTATGCTGTGTGTCTGTATTGTCTATTAATCTTTACTCATTTGGCTGTCGTAAGTGTGATGGTGGGAGCCCTGTCTGGAAGCACCCAGGGCTGATTTGGGTGAGTGGAGTTGCCCGGACATTACTATAAGTTTATACCCTCTCTGCGGTTGGGTGCAAGTTTGTGTCAACGGAGCGCATGGGAATCCATCACCTAAAAGTTTTTAGCTGCATACAGAACAACTAAAAGAAGTGCAGGAAATGTCATCACAATCCAGGGACAGTTTGCATAGGAAAAGAGGAAATATAAACATTGTTTCATTTGTCCTTGTCTTTGCATGCTTTCTGTATGCTGACTGCCAGGTGCAAAGGGCAAAGCTTGTTTCAATGGCTGACAGGAAGCCAAGATGGAGGCACTTAGTTGCAGAATAAGGAGGTCAGGATTTGTCATTTGATTTCATTTTTTTCAACTGATACACACATATTAAGTAAAGCGGCTCTGTCACTCTGGTCTTTATTAATTTAGCGGTGCGGTGGCCCAGGGGTGTAGGGGAAGGTAAGTTTTACTTGCCTAAAGGTGTCCATTGACGGTGATAGCTCCCCCTTTTGTCAAGTTTTGCCAAGTGTAGGAAAAATACACAAGATAAAATAGTCCCTACTTTGTCTTACGATATCTTTTGAGTATTTTTGAAATTTCAATAAAATTCCAACAGTCAATGTGAGTATTTCATGAATATTTTATCTTTTTGAAATACTCATTATTTTGGGGGGGTGGGGTGAGAGCAACTTAATGATCACTGGCAATAAGATAAACAAGTTTTCTAGGTAGTTTACCTTCTCAACAAGTCTTTCCGTTTTCTTCAGGGAACTGCGTCTCTGTCCTCGATCCGCCACTGGGGAGCTTGCGGTTTGTTCGCTGACTCTACCTGTGCGTTTCTCCTCCTGCTTCTCTGCCTCCCTCAATTTGTGCTCAGAGTTCAGACAGTCATTGTGATATAGTTGGTAGGTCTTCATAGCCTGGTAATAAAGGGCAAAGGTAACAAAAGGAAAAAAGGCATTCGAGGACATGAGAGAACAAGAGAGTGATGTGCAAGTTGTCAACTGAGAATGTGATTTAACATAAACAGGTGTTCCAAGTTCCAAAACAACTTAAAGAATGTCCTTCAAAAGTACAACAAGAGGCAAATGTTTAAATATCTTACTGTTACCATTTACAGCTCTGCTGAATGTTACGGCATTTAATATATAAACTAAAAATAATAATGAGTGTTATACATGAATGTAACTATTTAACACAACATACTATGCGTTGTTCTAATGCAGTTTCTTGTAAATATTTCTTAAAGGGATTCTCTAAGCATGATAACCAATACAAGTCAAGGCAGTGGATTCACTGCTATATGTTTTTGAGCCCTTTCTTAAACATGTATGACATCTGAGCGGGACTGACCAAATGGAAATATATTATAATGTTCTCCTTCTAAAGGGTTATTATAAACTCTGTGTAAAGGAAAGCATATTTTAAGTGTTTGTACGGATAACACAGCAAAACACAGCCAGTCTGCTGTATTAGTAAACATTTAAACCATTTGCATGAATTCAAAACAGCTCTGTAGAAGACCAGGATTTCCTGTGACCTTCCTGGTGTTGAACTATATTCTGCACGTATGCAAATAACCATACAGATACCAATTAAAGGATCACTAAAGTCACTCAGGCCAATTTATCTTAATGAAGTGGTCTGGGTGCAGTCGTCCTGTCAGTTTAACCACTCAAGGTAAAACACCGCCATTTTACTGAAAGGGCAATATGTACATTGAGGAGTTAAATACACCCCCAGTGGCTGTTACACTAACAGTCACATGAGGCCCTTGACGTTTCAGCCCCATACGAGAGTATTAATTCAATGCTTTCCTATGCGGAGGCATGGATGCGTGCGGCGCTTGCAACGCATGTGCGTCAGGTCCTCACAGCTCCTTTATAAGGAGCACTGGATTGGACCATCTCAGAGGATGCCATGTATCCTCAATGATGTTGTAAAGGAGTAGAGGTATGCAGAAAAGTTAAAGGAGCACTATAGGTTCAGGAACACAAACATATTTCTGAAACTATAGTGTTAAAACTACCATCTAATCCCCATGGCCCTCTCTTGCCTCCCTAAATATAGTAAAATCTTACTTGTATTCAAGCCTGAAGCTGATGGTTTTGTCCCTGTCTGCCTCAGAACAGCAAGCTGCTTGCTGACATCACCAGAAGTGCTGTTCTGAGCCAATCACAATGCGTCCCCATAGGATTGGCTGAGACTGTGAAGAAGGCAGATCAGGGGCAGAGTCAGCACAAGTCCAACACAGCCCTGGCCAATCAGCATCTCCTCATAGAGATGAATTGAATTAATGAATCTCTATGAGGAAAGTTCAGTGTCTGCATGCAGAGGGAGGAGATACAGCCCTGGCCAATCAGCATCTCCTCATACAGATTAATTGAATCAATGTATCTCTATGAGGAAAGTTTAGTGTCTGCATGCAGAGGGAGGAGATACTGAATGTTTGGATGCATTTTAGGCAGCCATGACCCAGGAAGAATCTCTAACAGCCATCTAAGGAGTGGCCAGTGAAGTTATCACTAGGCTGTAATGTAAACACTGCATTTTCTCTGAAAAGACGGTGTTTACAGCAAAAAGCCTGAAGGTATTGATTCTACTCACCAAAATAAATTCAATAAGCTGTAGTTGTTCTGGTGACTATAGTGTCCCTTTAACTTCTAAATGTCAGTGAATAGAGCAGAGAAACATGAGAGGCATGATCTATACACTTAAACTGCTTCATTAAGCTAAAGTTGTTTAGGTGACTATAGTGTCCCTTTAACCCCTTAAGGACACATGACATGTGTGACATGTCATGATTCCCTTTTATTCCAGAAGTTTGGTCCTTAAGGGGTTAAAGAGTTGAGGAAAGCCTTAGAAATTGGCAAAGGAAATTCAATAAATATGGAGCAGCCCTACAGAAGTCCTGGAAACAAGAGTTGGCAATTTGGGCAATCGGATGAGAGTGTTAGTGATGGGACATATTTATTAGGTAGGATATGCAGGTGGTGGCACTGTGATTTGCTTTATAGGCAAGGACCAGGATTATGAATTAACTCTGGGGACGTACAGGAAGCCATTGTAAAGACTGACAGAGGGGTGAGTTATGGGAGGAGTGGGAGTTTAAGTACTAGTCTGGTTTGTGCTTGAGTCAGACTAGTGAGGAGCGGAGTGCAGTAGTGAAGGTAGGAAAAGATAAGAGCGTGTACAAGTGTTGTGGATGTATCAGGTGTTAGCACCTAGCAATAGTGATAATTGAAGCTGAAGATGAAGTTTAGATTATCGTGGTGATAGATGACATTGGGATTAACCATATGATAGCCAGAATCTGCTTTGCTCAACTCTGCGCTGGTTAGCATTTCTGCTTAGAAATAATCCAATCCTTATCATGCAGTGCTCTGCAGAGCCTCATCCTGCTCCTAAGATATTCATCTCATTCACAGGGCTACAAGGCTTCATCCTGGTTTGCCTGCACTGCAAAGCGTTATCCCAATATCAGCACTGCACAGCTTCATCACACTACCAGCACTGCACAGCGCCATCCTGCGACCAGCACTGCACAGCGCCATCCTGCTCCCAGCAATGCACAGCGCCATCCTGCTCCCAACAATGCACAGCGCCAACCTGCTCCCAGCACTGCACAGCGCCATCCTGCTCCCAGCACTGCACAGTGCCATCCTGCTCTCAACAATGCACAGCGCCATCCTGCTCCCAGCACAGTGCCATCCTGCTCCCGGCAATGCACAGCGCCATCCTGCTCCTGGCATTGCACAGTGCCATCCTGCTCCCAGCACTGCACAGCGCCATCCTGCTCCCAGCACTGCACAGCGCCATGCTGCTCCCAGCACTGCACAGCGCCATCCTGCTCCCAGCACTGCACAGCGCCATCCTGCTCCCAGCACTGCACAGCGCCATCCTGCTCATAGCACTGCACAGCGCCATCCTGCCCCCAGCACTGCACAGCACCATCCTGCCCCCAGCACTGCACAGCACCATCCTGCCCCCAGCACTGCACAGCGCCATCCTGCTCCTAGCACTGCACAGGGCCAAAATGCTCCCAGCACTGCACAGCGCCATCCTGCTCCTAGCACTGCACAGAGCCATATTGCTCCCAGCATGGCACAGCGCCATCCTGCTCCTAACACTGCACAGCGCCATGTTGTTCCCAGCATTGCACAGCACAGCGCCATCCTGCTCCCAGCACTGCACAGCGCCATCCTGCTCCCAGCACTGCACAGCACCATCCTGCTCCTAGCACTGCACAGCACCATCCTGCTCCTAGCACTGCACAGCGCCATCCTGCTCCCAGCACTGCACAGAGCCATCCTGCTCCTAGCACTGCACAGTGCCATCCTGCTCCCAGAACTGCACAGCGCCATCCGCGCCATGTTGTTCCCAGCACTGCACAGCGCCATTCTCCTCCCAGCACTGTGAAAAGAGAAAGCATTCTTACACGGCTCATTGCTTTACAATGTGGTGCCTGCATGCCAACATTAGCTCAACACACACATCTATGTATCTTCTCTTTTCTATCATTTGTCTCCTTCCTCATTTCATCACAGTGTTGCGTAAGCAGAAAATGTTTAAAAAAAAAAAAAATTTAAAGGGGGGAAACCGTTATACTGTAAGAACCCTAGGGGATAATGTATTGCCAAGAATAAACACTGAAAAAATATATATTTATTGTTCTCATGGAATAGCAATATACAACCTGTATGTAATGTCTGTAAGGTTCTCACAGATAGAATTTTTATATTAAACAAAAAAAACATCTTGTATGCCACCTTGGAATCCACCTTATAATAAATATACTAGTTTGGCAGGTTTAAAAAAAAAAAAAAAAAACGAATGTAAAAATGGCTGCCGTCTTAGTGTCCTCTCATTGGCTAGTCTTAGCTGAATAAAAAATGGAACTTCTCGCAAAATACACAACAGATTGTTTTAGTGTCGCTCTTCAGACCCCAATTACAAACTATCCAGAGGGACGTAGGTGCCTGTGTAATTTATGTACGAGAATGGCAAGGCTGAGGTGCAAGTTTGTCTCTTTGAAATGAAGTGTCAGATTGTATGAATACGTTAACCCAGCAATAAACATTATATATTTTAATAATGACTTGTGATTTTAGGAAATATGTGGGTAAATGTCAATCACTATAAAAAAAATTATCAATATATATTTTACTTTTTTTTTTTTTATGTTCATCTGTCAGTCACCTTTTTACTGAAATGTAAATAAATTCCTTGATTTAAAGATTTGTTTCACAATGAATGGTCTAAAACAGGCATAGGCAACCTTCAGTACTCCAGATGTTTTGGACTACACCTGCCATGATGCTTTGCCAGCATTATGGTTGTAAGAGCATTATGGGGGATGTAGTCAACAACATCTTGGGTGCCGAAGGTTGCCTATCCCATGAGACATACTGTTTACCTCAGTTTTGCTACTTTAGCTGTAAGGAGACAACACCCAGCATGACATGTACAAAAAACAAGTAAGATTCACCCATTCATCACTGCTTTCCTGACCCAAAGACTGGCTTTATTATGGAAGCAAAAGATCTTAGCTTTCTCTATGCCGATTTCATACAAAATTAAAGCTCTCCCCTCACTGCAAGAGTCGCGTGAGAATGTACCCATTCAACAGCCAAATCGCTGACTGACTTTGTAATACACAGTCCATTACTCAGGGTTGTACAGCTGTGGAGCTCTGTGATACTCACTGCACATTATAGCAAGTTGTATTGCTCTGATGCTCTGTAACACACACTATTCATTACTGAGAGTGTTAGAAATTATTACACATTTAAAGGGTTATTCCAAGCACCATGACCACTTCACTGATTGTCATTGGTCATGGTTCCTGTATGTGCAGCGTTTCACTATGAAAGACTGCGCGTGCATTCAGAATTTATCCCCTTTGCTGCCGGAGGAATAACTTCACCGGGCTGCCAATGTCAATTTTGTGCATGTTTCTAGCGGAGAGTGGTCACAATGGCAATGGAATCATCATACAGCTTCTGCAGCTCTGCACGGCACCCATTAGAGGCCCAGGTAATAAGGACAAACTGGTGCAAAACAGTTTGCCCTATTACCGGAGAACATTTAGCATCATGACCACTAGTTTGGAGTAAGTCTTTAACTGCTGTATGCCACTGTTATACACACATACACATAGCACATTACTGTGAGTTTATTGCTGTGGACTTCTGTAATACACACATACAGGTGACATACTGCATTGCTTTGTGATACACCCACACCAAACACTCTCAGCTCCCCATACAATAAATAGTTTAAAAGAAGAACTCTCTCTCCAAATGATAGGCAATTAGGGTACATGCAAAGCTAAACCACCTCCCAAAGGGTGTGTATGTGAACCAACAAACAAAGTTAAATGTAGTGTTTTTCCATTAATAAATATTCCAAAAAAACTCACCCCTTGTAACTCTGAAACCAGCTTAAGCAAATCTTCCTGCTGCTGAACTCCCACTTCTTTACTCTGCAGGAAAACGGAAAGTCGAGAATGACAAAGAGTTAATCCAGTATTATTTGCATAGACATTTAAATGCAGCATATTTACAACAAAAAGCCCCTTTATTTTAGTTCAATAAGCATGGGTAACAGGAATTGTGACCTATATATAGAATGCAGAAGAGAATGTGCATATAAGTGAAAGAAACATTTTATCAGATGCTGAGCAACGCTTTACTGATCACAAGTTTAGCATTACGCTGCACACAAACAAATTTCTTTAACTTTGGGGAAGAACAACAGCAAACCGCTCAGCGTTTAAATCTTTAAAAATGGAAAGCAGCCCCTGAAATAGACTGGTCGATATATTTAATCAGACTGCTTGTGATCTCAGTATTTACATCAGGGTTGCCCACAAGATAGATCTCCAGATGTTCTAAAACTACAACTCCCATGATTCCTTATGTGCCTTAAGAATGCGTTAGAATGACAAAGCATCATGGAAGCTGCAGTTCTACAACATCTAGGGATCTACCTTTTGGGCACCCCTGATTTATGTGGTGTTAAAATTAAACACAAAAATCATGCAGGTTTTTGTTTAGTGATCAAAGGTTGGTCATAGTTGAGGCTTAAAGAAAGGTGCTCTTTAACCAACTATCATGTTACTACCAAAGGGCAGGCAAACTTTAGCACTCCAGATGTTGTGGACTACATCTCCGATAATGCTCTTACAGCTATAATGCTGGCAAAGTATCATGAGAGATGTAGTTAATGCTAAAGTTTCCCCTTAGGGCTGCATCAACAGAAACAAAAGTGATTTAACTCCTGAATGGCAGTGAACTGAGCAGTGAAACTTCAGAGGCACTATCTATACACTAAAACTGCTTCGTTAAGCTAAAAGTGTTTTGGTGTTTATAGTGTCCCTTTAACCCCTTCCCGACCGCGGACGTACTAGGTACATCCGACAAAAACAGTCATTAAGGACCTCGGACATACGTAGTAAGTCCACGGCATTCCTAATTACTTACCCGATCGCCGCAGCTCCCCCGCCAGCGACTGGCGTTCCTCTTGTTCGGGGGGGACAGTCTGACAGCCCAGACAGTCCACCCTCTGCAAATTAGGCCCCCGTGGGCCATGTGATCGCTCTGAAAGAGCGGTCACATGTCCGTCATAGGCGTCCATAGTGCTGCCTGCAGGGGGACTGCCTGAACAGGCAGGCAGTCTCCCTGCATTTGTAAAATAAAAAATAAAATTAATGTTAAAGGGACACTATAGTCACCTGAACAACTTTAGCTTAATGAAGCAGTTTTGGTGTATAGAACATGCCCCTGCAGCCTCACTGCTCAATCCTCTGCCATTTAGGAGTTAAATCCCTTTGTTTATGAACCCTAATCACACCTCCCTGCATGTGACTTGCACAGCATTGCATAAACACTTCCTCTAAAGAGAGCCCTATTTAGGCTTTCTTTATTGCAAGTTCTGTTTAATTAAGATTTTCTTATCCCCTGCTATGTTAATGGCTTGCTAGACCCTGCAAGAGCCTCCTGTATGTGATTAAAGTTCAATTTAGAGATTGAGATTCAATTATTTAAGGTAAATTACATCTGTCTGAAAGTGAAACCAGTTTTTTTTTTTCATGCAGGCTCTGTCAATCATAGCCAGGGGAGGTGTGGCTAGGGCTGCATAAACAGAAACAAAGTGATTTAACTCCTAAATGACAGTGAATTGAGCAGTGAAATTGCAGGGGAATGATCTATACACTAAAACTGCTTTATTTAGCTAAAGTAATTTAGGTGACTATAGTGTTTAATAAGTTAAAACAAATATATATATATATATCTTATATATAACATCATACTAAGTGTATTTTTTTACAATATATACATATAAGAATATAAAAATACACTTAGAGTAAAATTACACACACACACACACATATATATATATATATAATAACTATATTATATATATATATATATATATATATATATATTTATATCAAAATACACTTAAAATGAAATTACATATATCTCTTGGACCAGCATCATACTTTGTAGAGCCTTAACGGCGAAACGCACATCAGGTCTTTTACAAAGTATGATGCCGGTCCAAGAGATATGGGACGATACAAACAAAGATCTTTACTGACAGCTCCAGCCATACTTTAACTTTATTACCTTTTATTTTTATGTTTATACACATTTTATTTTCCTTATTTTTCAGTTTGGTTTCTACCATAGCCGAAAAACAGCACTATATGATATCCTTCTAGCTATACTGCTCTACTCAGACAACTAGGCAGCCTAGCAAGAGGAGGAGGGGGGATCAGAATTTCTTTTAAGGGATGCCCTCGAAGGCACAACAGAGTAGGGAAACTAGAATCCTGTTACACTCTGTTTCACATTGCAACAATATGGTGAGATTACCAACCTATCAAAACCTTTTTTTGTTAAACCACTATTTTTTCACTTAGATCAATTTTCATTTATTAATTTTTTATTATTATATTTATTTATATATATATATATTTTTTTTTTATTAAGATTAATTTAAATATCTAGATTTTATTTTAATTCATTTTTTAATTATGACCTTATAGGGTTTTTTCCTATCGCAGATACTATTTTCATTTACGACAAGTGCTCCTAATATTTTTAATAATAATATTAAAAGTGACGTTTTATATTTTTATTTATTTTTGGGTTACTCTTTACACAAAGGGTCTATTGCCTAAATGGTTCACCCTTGTGTTTTGTTCCTATTATAGTAAACTCCATCTGGGGGTTACCCCCAACCCCCTTCCTTTATTAGAGTAACCTGACACTTTCTCCCTAGAAGGTTACTACCGTTTAGTATTCTAGTTAAATTTTCTATATTTAACTATAGTTGCTTGTAGTCAGAGTTTGGCAATTTAAGTCTAAATTTTGTATTGCATATTTGACGTTGCTACAATTCTGAGTTTATTGAATAACTCTGTGTGCACGTATCTGTTCTTTATTTTATTCTAATTATATAACATTTACATTGTAAAACAATTCATTAACATGTAAAAATTTTCTCTAAATGTAATTACATTTTCTACAAGAATACTTGTAAACGTGGGGCTAATACGTGATATGTAATCACCCATTACAGCACTTGGGATTTTGTCTGTATTAGAAAACATTACACTCTATTTAGCTCTCTCCTTGTGGATTTTCTTTTGTTTATTTGGCATTTTGGAGCCGAGTTTATTTGGGGCTGCATTGAGGGGGCATAGTTACATCCTATGTTAGTGCTTATCCGTCTCCGATTTTTAAACCATTTCACCATTTGATATATTACACCTACAGCTGGTGGTAAGTGTAGTAAAAATATTGATTGATGTTCTGACCTTTTTAGAGAGGCGGGATATGTCCTCTCCAATATGCGAGAGACGCGGGATAAGGTGTGACGTGTATACATCACTCAACGCAGCGTGATCTCGACTTTCCTGGCGTGCTTGATTCAAAATCATGTACCAGCAATTTACAGGGGAGAGTAGGTGCTGCTCCTTCCTACAATGGGAAATGTAAGAAAAAGGGGGTTAGAGACAAGGAACAACAGAAGGAATAGAGGTATCAGTGGCGGTTCGAGTTGTATACCATATATTGAAAAATACATCATAGTTATTGATTAACAGATGGATTGATTTGGTAGACACCGACGGACAGGCAAGGGTTCTTTATCTTCTAGCTAATATGTATTTTTTCCAGGTCACCATTGTTAGGCCTATCTAGGCAAGATGCTTTCAATATCTGGAAACGTTGCCAGGGAGTACATATGAAAATAAAATTGCGTTCTGGCTTTGAGTTCTACTTATCTTCATCAAATCAGAGTACAGCTAGAAGGAGACCAGGGACCAGATAAGGTCCAGAAATCCTGGCCAGTTCCTGGTTGTATTTCTCTTCACTTTAGGAGGATCAGAGTTCATGAATGTTGTGAAATATATATATTTGTAATAGAACGTTGCTTTTTTTTTTTTACACAAATACACTTTTTTTTTTTTGTTAATGGCGTTAGCCAGTGCGTTATCACCTGAAGCTGTGGTGCTCCTTAGAGTTACGAATCTTGGAGGAGAATCGGTCGCTGAGCTTCTCAAGGCTGCGGGAGTACTCAAGATTAATCTCGGCCTTCCTCCGCAGGAATTCACTCATATCTTGCAAAAGCTGCTGGCGAAACTCAACCTGGATGTCAAGCCATTTCACCTGCTCGACCAATTGACTGCGGATTTCTGTGGAGGAGAGAGAGAGAAGGCACATTGAAGTAAATGGGTGATCTGTATTCAAAACTACTTCGAAAGTCCACTGAATAAGTGAAGAAATATGTTCAACCAAAAAATAAAGACCTTATAATGAATTCTAGGCAAACATGTGGCAGACTAAGGGCCGAATTTAAAGCTGGGTATCTTTCAGCAACCACCTAGCAAACTGAGATGTCACACCGGTTCAAAACTTCCCAACATAGATTTACATATAACAATATGTAAATCTTCCATTACCAATCTTAGCCCCTCCAGTATATAAAGATCAGCCTAATACGCACCTCCCAATTTTTAAACTGGACAAAGAGGGACACTTTTATTTTAGGGGTATGAGTAGGGGTGGGGCCAGGGACATTTTATGAAACTAATAACAATTAATAAAAATAAAATGTGATTTTGAACAAGAACAATGTATCTTATTTACACAGACTGATTTCTAAACACATTTATTGTAGTGTAAAGACACATTACTGGATATACACTCAGACACATCGACAATATAGAGCTCCTAGAAGAGAGGGACATTAGGAGAGAAACGGGATTAGCCTAAAAATAGGGACTGTCCCCCCTAAACTGAATTGCTGTATATAAAATTCATAATTTTTATGTAATAAAATTAATATATTAAGGCTTTGTGTGTAGCAGAATTTATTTATTTAGCCTTTGAGGTATTAATAGTTAATAATTACCAGAAACTCGTTTAACATTAATACTTAACTTGGCCTTGATTTAATATTTTTGGATATGCTTTTCAAATGATTTAGGATTTTCGGATAAACGTTTAATATATATATATATTTTTTTAAAATATTAAAAAATATATATATATAATATATAAAAATTATCAGAACATTAAAAAATTTAATATTTAAAAAAAATATTAAATCAATTTAAAAGTTTATCAGAAAATATGAAATCATTTGAAAATCCTATCCAAAAATATTAAATTGAGGCCTTTATGTAATATATATATTCTATCCATTTCCCACAACAAAAATCCTAATTCTGATTCCCTAAATGACTGAATGTCTTATGCATCCATTATTCACAAATAAAATAGAATAACATTGCACTACGGAATTTGCTGGCGTTATATAGATAATAAAAATAAAAAATAAAATAATAATAATAAAATTTTCTAATTGCTGAGATTTGGTGGATAGATCGATAAGATAGCAATACCACACTCGAGTCCACATCTCGCAACATTTTAGATTTTAAGTTTTGATTCATGAATCTGTGAAATTAAAAAAACATCATCAAGTCTTCCTTTATTTATTAGATAAAGTAAATTAAAAACTACCACCCTCCCATCCGTATGAAAATGCTAAAGAATATCTGTGTTGTACTATAACACTGACATTTAAACAGCATCCGTGCATGCTCTGCGGAGAAGAATTATAGTTCAAAGGGAGATGCTAAATCATTTGTACCCTTTTTAGAGCCTAAAAGAACCCAGGCCATATTAACCCAGAGCCACTATTGTAAAGTACCCTGTCACTTTGTGTCATTCTGTATTGTAAGGATGCTGATTTCTACAGTCATGTTGCCCTGAAGCGCTGAATGTAGCCTCTTTTGCTCGCTTGCACAGCGATGTAGCTTTAAGGAGATGACATGTTCTGTATGGGTAAAAAAATGAGACTTCCCCTGCATGCCTGTCCAGGGGCATGTAACACCAGGAAAGAGAGCGGTGACATGATGCATTTGTTTTAGTGGCGACCCAGGCTTAAATATGTGGAACAGTTTTTAAAGGTTGCTACGAGAGATTTCTATGTACACGACCTTGAATGCATTCAAGTGTCATTTCCCTTTAAGAGAGAATGCATGACCCAGTGGATTTAACTGGTAAAGACACACAAATGGTAAAATTTGAAAGCCACAAGACAGCGATCAGGGCAAGCCAAATCCCAGGAGCCAGAGATAATAAACGTGTTAAGAGTAACTGACACTTCTCTAAGAGTTCCAACATATCTTCACCCTGGTAAATCGCTATTGAAGCATGTAACGGGACGAGGAGTGCAGGAGGGGTAAATAAAAAATACACTGCTTAGAAATTATGTATATCAGCATGTGCACATGAGCATTTCTTCTAGAGTGGGGCACATGCCCTTATGTAGTAACTTGGAGCATCTGATTTGCCAAGACCGTCGAGATGACCTCATAAGAAGGATGGACTGGGATGAGAGATTAGTTCAACGTGACTCTACTTCTTAATGGAGCCCAGCAATTTAAACAGCAACAAGAATACTCTAGAGTTATAAATACCTAGATCTACTTAAAACATTAGAGCGTTCCCTTAAGTGCCTGCTTCTTATTTGTGATTTCTAAGTTCTTTGCAAACATTTCTGGATTGTCATATTGAAAAATGAGCTAAACTAAAGAGTCAGACAATTGTCCGTAGCACCGGCCTTGTAAAAATTTCTGATTGAGCTGCATTAGGAAGTCTGTGATTGGACAACCACAGAAAGCCTGGTAACGCTGGGCAAACGGGGCAGCTGCCCCAGTTGCTCCTGGGGGGCCCCAGAGCAGCTGCTGCATGGGCCCCGCGATTTGCAAAGCCCCTGTGGACCAGGCGGTGCGGCTGCACAGAGCTGCACCAGCCAGCCCGCACACTAAGGAGGGCCCCCGGGTGGGCCATGCACTAAGGGCCACCCGGTGCACATGTGGCAGCAGGGACCCGGTCGGGCGCTGTGGCGCTTAAACAGTTGTTCGGCAGCCGGCTGGGAGGAAGTGAGTGCCGTGCATCATTTCCTCCCACCAAATATCAGAGCCGCGCGGGAGGAGGAAGGCAGGCAGGGGAGTTCCAAAAGATAACTCCTAACTGCCTCAGCCTGCCACTGGACCCCAGGGAAACCACCCTCCAGAAAAAGGTAAGAAACTGGAGGGTGGCTAAATGTAGCATGTGTGTCATTAGGTCTGTGTGTGTATGTCTGTGTGTATGTCTGTGTGTGTGTGTGTGTGTGTGTGTGTATGTCAGTATGCTTGTGTGTATGTGTGTGTGTGTGTGTGTGTGTGTGTGTATGCCAGTATGTCTGTGTGTGTGTATGTCAGTATGTCTGTGTGTGTCAGTATGTCTGTGTGTGTGAGTCAGTATGTCTGTGTGTGTCTGTCAGTGTGTGTCAGTATGTCTGTCTTTGTGTCAGACATACTGACACACAAAGGCATACTGACACACACTGACAGACATATTGACACACACACAGACATACTGACACACACAGACATACTGTGTGTGTGTGTCAATAGGTCTGTCTGTCAGTGTGTGTCAGTATGTGTGTGTCAATACGTATGTGTCTGTGTGTGTTTCAGTATTTCTGTTATTATATGTCTGTGTGTGTGTCAGTTTGTCTGTGTGTGTGTGTGTGTACGTGTATCTGTGTGTGTCAGTATGTCAGAATGCGTGTCAATATATCTGTCAGTATGTATCAGCGAATGTGTCAATATGTATGTCTGCGTGTGTATGTGTCAGTATGTCTGTCAGTGTATATGGCTGTGTAAATATGTTTTGAATCTCTCTACTTTAGTTGCCCCACTGCATTGGTGTGAAAAGTGTGATTGGGGTTGGGGGTAATTGGGGGTTGGGAGGGGAGGGGCAGGGCCCAGGGGGCCCAAGAAAATGATTTGCCCAGGGTCCTATTCATATTATAGATGGCCCTGACCACTAATAAAAAAACGCATAATTACATGCATGCATATTTTCATTGGGGTATCTCAACTAAATAGTGATTTTTCCCCCTTTTTTTATTTTGTATTTGGTAAGTGGAGTGTCTCTTTAAATTTCTCCTAAGTCTCCTGTGGTTACTGATATTGTTTAAAGCCATCAAGCATTGCATTACTCAAATGCACGCTAAATGGTTTGTAAAAATACCTTGGATTTAAGCAACGCAGAAAGGTCAAATTAATTATTGATGATTATGAATGCATTAATAGACTTTAGAGCATCATCAAAAATAACACTGAGACTGAGGATTAAACCAAATACAGCAATGAAAGAGGAAAAAGGTTTATATCTCATATATTCACAGGCAGAGGCGTACCTAGAATCCACTGGGCCCCGGTGCAAAAATTTCCCTTGGGCCCCTCCTCCTTGATGTCTCATTCTCTCCCCCCCCATGTCTCATTCCCATGCCCAAGCCCCCCCCATTTGTCTCATTCTCTCGACCCCAAAGCCCCTCCATATGTCTCATTCCCTCTGCCCCTCCATGTGTCCAATTCCCTCTCCCCCCCTCCATGTGTCCCATATACCCTCCTCCTCCCCCTAGCCCCTCCATGTTTCCCATACCCTCCTCCCTCCCAGATCTCCCTATGTTTCCTATTTCTCCCTCTCCCACTTCCTGTGTCCCATTCCTACCTCTCTCCCCCTCCAGGCGTCCCATTTCTCCCTCTCTCCCCCCTCCCCTTCCTGTGTCCCATATCCTCCATTTCTCCCCCACTCCCCTCCCTGTGTCCCATACTCTGCCTCTCTCCCGTCCCTGTGTCCCATACTCTCCCTCTCCCCCGTCCCTGTGTACCATACCCTCCCTCTCTCTCTCCCTCCAGGTGTCCCTTTTCCCCTCCCTGTGTCCCATTCCTACCTCTCTCCCTCCCCGTGTCCCACTGTTACCTCTCCCCTCCCTGTGTCCCATTGTTCCTCTCCCTCCTCCCCTCCTTGTGTCCCATTGTTCCCTCTCTCCACCTCCTCCCTGTGTCATTCCTCTCTCCCCCCATGTCCCATTGTCCCCTCTCTCTCCTGCCCCCTCGTGTCCCATTGTTCCTCTCTGTCCCATCCCTCTCTCCTCCCTCCCCAAGTCCCATTGTTCCCTCTCTCCCCCTCCCTGTGTCCCATTGTTCCCTCTCTCCCCCCTCAAAAAGCATGCTGTAACCCATTAAGGAAAAATATCCAAACAGAAAAGAGAATTTACCTGGAGAATTTTTAGAATTTGGCTATTTTGGCTTAAATATTGATATTCTACTTCGAAATTCCTGCAAATGTCCCTTGAATAAATACAAAAGAATGTGTTCCTAGTAAGCATGCTGATGCAGAATTGAAGCCACTTACTGCCATGTCGCTGGTATAGATATAAAGACGGAACCTATGGTTATAGCAACTACTAAGATGCATTTAACAGCAAACTAGCAGGGTTATTCAATAATGTGAACATTCAAGGTCGAAACAGACACACCAAAAATTTTTTCTCTATTAGCTATGCTTTCAGATCAGCTACTCTGGCCTTAAATTTGAAATTCACTTTAAATTCTCACTTTAGTAAATAATCTTGTAGGAATTTGTAGGTTGTGGTTAATGTCCAGCGTGCCCTGCTGCGTGTGTAGAGGAGTCTGCAAAGGCTTGTCTGCGCATGTATAGATTATATCTTTACCTACTTGAATGTGAACCTGTCACTCACACAATTTATAGAAGACAGGTTTATTTTAAATAGGAGAGACGTGTTTCATGAATTTTATAAACGTGTGCTAGGAGATCCCCATGATAGCTTGTAGAACCAAACCATGACTATATAGGCCGCTATTTAATATTGCTGGTTAAGGTTTTCAGACGATTTGATATTTTTGGATAAATGTTTAAAATTATTGAATGTTATGAAAAATTTTAAAAAATTACATTTTTTATACATTTATATGTATTTTTTTTATTTTTTTTTATTTTAATACTTTGAAAAAATAATAAAAATTTTTTAAAAAAAAACTTTATCCAAAAATATTAAATAATTTGAAAGGCTTATTAAGCAATAGCAAATCAACTCCTACATTACCTTGGTTTGTTAGTAATTCTGGGAGGAGATTTTCTGATTTACAGACCTTTTTATATACACAGAAATTTATAACCTTTTAATCTGGACAATCAACTGCTTGAAGCCCCAGTTCAATAACAAGGAGCCAGAGCAACCAGTGGCTTAGAGACACACACTCTTATCTCTGTAATTATTATTGCAATGGCTTACTCAATAAAATCTAATCAACATATAAGGGAGCGCCAATTGATCAAGAATTTGTGTTGGAACATGCCAGTGCAGCCTTAAGCATGTGTTATTAAAGGGGATCTGTATTCTTTGGGGCTTTTAATCTGAATGAGTATAGAAGACATGTCACATCAAAGTCTGCATTCATCCTAGCATTAGAAACACACCACATATTCATAGGTCATAGTTAGTGTATAACCCAACACCTATTGGAATAATGCTTATAGCATACCTCCCAAGTGTCCCTATTTACGAGGCACAGTCTCTATTTTGGGCACATATCCCTCTGTCCCTCTTTTCTATCCAAATGTCCCTCTTTTCTAGGAGCTCCATATTGTTGGTGTGTCTGAGTGTATAATAGAGCTCGACAGCAATAAACTACAATAAATGTGTTTAGAAACCAGTCTGCACAAATAACTTACATTGTTATATTGTTCTAAATTACATTAAATATTATTAAATTGTTATTAGTACGTCTCTGTTTTTTATCCCAGTCCTGCCTTGATCTTACTGCTCTAGAACCCAAAGAGGCAGTCACGGTGCTGGAAGACGATATTAATCTGTGCCGAATTCCTCCTACTGAACCTCACACTAATAGATCATCGGAGAAGCTGCCTGTATAATTTAGGCTCCCTCATCATTCTCCCAGAAGAGTTGCCTCTATGAAATCAAGGCAGAACCCATGAGTATAGTGAGATAGAAGATAGCCAGCCAGAAGCAAGTATGAGCCACATCAGTTAACCTGAAGAGTAGCATTTAATACTTTCGGCGCCTAAACGCGAAAAAAAGAAAGAAAAAGAACCATTGGCTAATAATTATGTAACCCCAAACCAGATCACAACCAGCCAGGCACAAACTGCTGTATCTATATTCCAATCAACGACCAATATCAAGAAGCTAAGTAAGTATACAATGCTACAACCACTAATTTCTACTCTGGTCCCAGTATATCATGAATTGTGATTTAGTGTTAGACATGGTACTAAGGCTAATGGACTTATTACAATCCCATCTGCAAATTTTTGCAATCCTGCTAAGAAAAACTTATTGATGGCCTTGGCCACCCAAAATGGTAGTAGAAACCTGACTTTGCAGAACCATGCTGTACCCCAGAGCTCAAAGTCTAGAATTACAGGCTTCAAAATCCAGATTTTGGTGAGAGAGTCATGATTTTTGGGTCCTGTCTCGATTTTGTTCCTTGGAGCCTGCTTTTGGGGTCCCCAGGGAACGTTAGCAGTGCTTTCTGCATAGTCAGCGATTGAGGGCCCGGCCTACTTCATTGGCAGACAGCCTGGCATGCATTCATGCCAGACTGAACTGTCAATTCTATGGGTGGACACACTCCCTTTCCAGGTGGGCCCTTCTTTGGGCAGAATTAGTGATGCAAATTGCCACCGCTCCCATCAGCATCCCGATTCACAGACACCACAGTTGGAAGGTATTCTATACCCGTACTAGTAACAAGACAGTAAATTAATTCTATGACATCCCTTACAGAGAGAGGTGGGCTAAGAATGCCTGGGAATCCCCAAAGATTGGAGAAATTGTAGCCATAAACTTCTAGAACGATAGCCACAACAATACGCCGTAGTGGTTTTGATACTTGGAGATTCCCTTTAATTGTGTATTTCCTGTTCATTATCTGTTTTGCTAAAAACTAATTATTTTCCAGTATGTACCCAGCCTCTTCCTGAGTTGATTCTTTCTCGTTTTGTATCGTTTTAAATATTTGTGACATGTTTTATATAACTTGTCCAAAGCAATAACTGCGTAAAATGTTTTCAAACACCCACGGATAAAGATGGACAAAAGCAACCTAACTATTCGGCCTATCTGCCACGTCCTTGTTCCCGTTGCTATTGACCATATTTACTCAAGAGACAAGAGCGAGCTGTAAACCATCAAGTGCAAGTTATTCATTCTAAGCAGAAAGCTGTGCTTTAAGGAGATACTGTGATCTGCAGGAGGTTAAAAATAAAATAGGAAGCTTCCAAAAGTGAAACATTACATGTAAGCCAACCTTGAATGGGCACGCTGAATGTACTACATTAAACCAGCAAGGCACGGGTTTCCGCAGCCACTGATATGAGCGAACATGCAAAAGGTTACTCTGGGTACCAATCTGAAGCAGCATGAAAAGGGTTACTAATCTGAACCTGTATAGAATGGGTTATTACAGCCTGGAATTAGTTTGCTAAAGGCAATAACATGAGCCACAAGAGGATAGGTTATTTTGATGGTTTTTAAACCTTAAAAGCAACTTCACACTTGTGTAATTCACCCCTAAAAGTGAGACACACGCAAAAAAACAGCAAACGTGATAAAGTAGTGTGTTTTTATTCTGAATCACAGTGGGTGCTACCTACATAATGCTGCTCCAACCTACCTACCCTCCCTAATACACAAGTATGTCCCATTGAAGCCCCTGTGCTCTGCCACATCTGATGCTCGTCTCCAAGACTTCTCCAGGGCTGCACCTCTTCTGTGGAACTCCCTTCCCCTTCCCTTCTCCGTTCGACTTTCACCCAGTCTCCACTCCTTTAAAAAAATCTTCTTCAGGAATGCATATAATTTAAACTGTTAGCGGGTTTTCATTCATCATCGTCCCCATGACTCGTCTACTGCAACTATTTCATTACCCCTGCTTATACCCTTTGTGTCACTATACCCCACTCCCTCTAGCATGTAAGCCCTCAACCCCTCTGTTCCTGTGCGTCCATTTGTCTGGTTACAATTACATGTCTATTAGTCCACCCATTGTACAGCGCTACAGAATTTGAAGGCGCTATATAAATAATATAATAATAATAATAATACCAACAAGTAATTCAGCTCTTTCCCTTTAACAAATAGTTCCACATAGAATATTCATAAAATAGAAGCAAATATATAGTGTAGCACAGTTTATAAACCACTGATAGGGTAGATCAATAGGCCTAACAGACCAGATCTCAGTCATAAACACAGTGTACCAATTGTTGTGGTAACACCTTGTGAATTTAAGGTGGTATGCCCCGCTAAAATTGGCACATGGTGTCTGAACCGATTTCACACTGTTTCTATTTTCTAAAAACAGCACAATAGGCACTGGCTAGGGCGTTACCATAGCAACCACAGCACATGCATTGTGGTTGCAATACCTCCTGCAGATTACTCCGATTCTCCATGTCAGTCAATTCTTCAGCATAGAGATCTATGCCGAAAAAAAGGGATTGACGGCTGGGTCAAGGCCTACTTTTTAAATAGGTTGTTTTTTCAGTCTATACATTTGCTATGTGCTGTTATCAAATTTAATTTAATAGTTAATCAAATACATATATATATATATACATACACACACACACACCATGACAAGTACCCTTTAATGATTTAGATCTAACAATCCAGTTCAGGCTCGGCACAGTCAGGGCACACAATGCAAATAAGAACAAACGTTTTTACAGTTTCTCACCTTCCACTAACTATATTCAATGATAGACAAGGGAGACATTTAAAATGATAATTGACCGGGAGCAAAAGTTGAGGCACCCAGTTCCACGACAGAGAATCATAAGCCGCAGTGGGAATGGAGACTGGGTACTGCATATTATCTGCTACTTAGCATAAGCAATTGAGCAAAGTTGTTATGCTGTGTAAAGTGACCATTTAAAGAGAACCTATAGTCCCAAAAATAACAATTGTTATTTTGGGCTATAGGTTTCACTCTGTCCATCACGTTTGCACTTAAAAATCTAAGTTAAATAAAGTATACTCACCTCGTTTCCACTGCCGGAACTCCTCCTCTGCAGTCGCCAGCTGCTCCTCTGGTGATGTCAGAATCTAGGCTGAAATCACCCACGATCTCCAAACTATTGGAGCAATGGATTGGAAGTCAACATGCATGACAGAACGCCACATCCCTCCAATCAAATGATGCTATCAGCAGCGTTTGATTCCCAGATCAAGTTTTACAAAGTCTGAAGCTTCAAGCACCTCTAGTGGCTGTCAGGAAGAGGTGGATTTACCCTGCAGTGTTTTAATTATAAACGTCACAATTTCTATTTAAATCTTTACTTTTTGTAAAATAAAAGAAGTGCACATACCTGAGCAAGCTATTTGGATAGTGTCCCTTTAACCCTGGACTGTGGTGAGCTGAAAAGTCAGAAATTAAAGAGACATTATGGTTACCAAAAAAACTTGAGCTTAATGAAGCGGTTTCTGTGTATAGGTCATGCCTCTAAAGTTTAACTGCTCAATTCACTGCCATTTAGGAGTTAAATCACTTTAGTTTCTGTTTTTGCTGTCCTAGCCACACCTTTCCTGGCTGTGACTCACACAGCCTGCATGAAAACAAAATGGTTTTATTTTCAATCAGATACAACTTGTTTTAAAAGTTTTTATCTCCTGCACTGTAAATTGAGCTTTAATTACATACAGTAGAGTCCTGCAGGGCCTAGAAAGCTATTAACAGAGCAGGAGATACAAAATTTACAATAAAGGAAGTGCAATCGTTAGATGACTCATTACAGGAAGTGTTTAGGAAGGCTGTGTTAGTGCAGGGAGGCGTGACTAGGGCTGCATAAACAAAGTGATTTAACTCCTAAACGGCAGAGAATTGAGCAGTGAGACTGCAAGGGCAAGATCTATACACCAAAACTGCTTCATTAAGCTTAAGTTGTTTGGTGCATTTAACTAGTTTCCCTTTAACTAGAAGGCCAAAGTTGCTTTGTTTTTAAAACATTCTAATTCATGTATAGTTTGATGATATTGGTCTATTTTGGGAAATTTTAGATTCCTAATCTTCTCAGTTCACTGTCTAATAAGTAAACTCATTGTGACAGATTCATCTGCATTGTTGGTTCGTCTGTTTCCCTTTGTTCGCGGAATTGCCGGTTCCTATACCCCCGTTCGTGTATTTGCAAAATGCCGATTGAAACTACCGAACGAACGGCCACCCAGGAGAGGAGTGTGCTGCTGGTTAACCTCTTGGCCCCAATTAGAACGTTGTGGTTAACCGCAGACACCTCTCCATTCCATTCGTACGGGTGGTCGTCGTTCGCATGTCGACCACGAGGCAGCGGCCATTTTGGGACATACGAACACAGAGCGGTGTTCGGTACAAACTGTATGGAACTAAAAACGGACACTTAAACTACCGAACACCGCTGAAAAGCTGCTGCCTACCTTCCTTTTCGACAAGGCATGCGAACGTCGGTCGTTCGGGAGTTTTATTCAGTCGTATGGACTTTTACCCCGACAGCCATCCCATGGAGTCATTCGTATACCGAAGGACTGGTGAAAGACTTTGACTCCATGGCGATTCGACTAGATACATCGGATCTGAGCGCTATTCGGTGAAAACATGCCCTCAGATCCAGGCTGTCTGGGGATACGTTACACGAACCATATGCATTCGGTATTTCTGTAGTTATGCATTTTAATGTCTTTGTGTTACTGTAAATTAAGATGGCGATGGTCTCTACCTTGGGAGATAATTAGGTTTCTTCCCCAATTATCTCCAAGGTAAAGAAGACGGAATTATGGGCAAGATGGGAAGGGCTACTGTTGAAGCCACTGCGATTGGCTACTGTACAATATGTGTTACAGTCTTCCACAAGGTCCCCTCGGGGAGTGTCCACCTTGTGGAGACCTGCATAAATACCGGGCAGGTAGCCCCCATTAAACAGATCTTCATTTGACCCTCAAGACGGAGCTTGGTCTCGTTTGTGGGGGGAATTATTACTGGGACAGCGCTTTCGTTATTTCTAGCTGTGGAAGGCGTTCGACTGTTTGGCTGATCGGGAGTTGCCGTGTTCGTGGACTTCGTTCGGGAGTTTGGCGATCGGCTGGATTTAAACTGCATTTCTGGAGAAGGGGATTATTGCCTAAACGGCGGCTTCATCTACCCGACGGTACGTGTCGTAACAATTGGTGGCAAGCGACGGGATGAATCCTACAGCCCAGAAGGCCAGCTACACATCCCAGGTTGGAAATGCAGTATGAGGAGTTAAGGCGTGCTACCCTTAAAGATATATTGGAGCGCAGAGGACGATCAGCGAGTAATCTCAAGAAAAGAGAGATTATTGCCATACTATTGGAAATGGATGCAGCACAGGGAGCGGGGGGAGCGAATGTGCCTGGCATACTGGAGTTAACACCCGAGGAGATACAGTTTAACCGGGCAGTTCAGATCAGGCTGGCACATTTTGGCCCCAACCCCGCAGCAGATATTGTGGTGCAAGTGCAAGCAGCAGTAGCAGCACAACAGGCGCTTCAAGGAAGAGGCGCTGCAGCAGCTGAGGTACCTTACAATAATAATAATGGAAGGAGAAAAGTACCTTTTGCTGCATTTCGGAACTTTGTAGAAGCCGAAGGAGAAATCGATGGGTTCCTGGCGGATTTTGAAAGGCAATGTGCCTTACACCAGGTACCCGCAGGAGAATGGGTCCCCATCCTCTCTGGGAAGTTATCCGGCCGGGCCAGTGAGGCGTTTCGGGCCATCCCAGAGGAGGAACTTACCAGCTACAGGGCAGTGAAAGATGCCCTTTTGGCCAGATATGCTGTGACCCCGGAGGCATACCGGCGGCGATTCCGGGACACTAACAAGCAGGCTGGTGATTCTTATGTTGAGTGGGCATGCCGAGTACACCGCACCGCAGCCCACTGGATGGCAGGGTGCCAAGCGGTAACTGGGGAAGAGGTGCTGCAAGTATTTTTGTTGGAGCACTGTTTTGACCGCTTACCTGTAGGAGTCAGAGAGTGGGTTAGGGACCGCAAACCCGCTACCTTGCCCGAAGCTGCTCGTCTGGCTGATGAGTACACTGATGCCAGGAAACTGGACCAGACAGCAGCCAAGGTCCCTACCCGAGTGGAGTACAAACCAGCAGCCCCTCCAACCTCTGCAGTGTATCAACACCCAGCACAACGCACCCCCACCATGCCAACAGCGAACAATTACGTTCAGCCAGCCCGATTCAACGCCCGAGATTATTCACAGCCGATCCGTTGCTATGGGTGTAAGCAGTTGGGGCACAAGCGACCTGAGTGCCCATTAAACAATTCGAACCAAGCACAGTCGTGGAGAAGACCAGCCGGTGGAAATCAGCAGCCACCCCCACCTTCCGCTCACTGTCTTGAGCAGGAGGAATTTTGGGGTATATTACACGAGGCGGATCCAGTACAAGCAGCGCAGCAGGATAACCGCCAACAGCACAGGCAGACCGTTAAACTAAATGGCAAAGCGGTAACTGGTCTGAGAGACACCGGAGCCACTATGACTTTGCTCCAAAAGAACCTTGTTTCAGAACACCAGCACACTGGAGATACTGTGGCAGTGAGGGTGGCGGGAGGTGCAGTGTTCCGCTTACCGGTTGCCCGGGTTCACTTGGATTGGGGGGTGGGCTCTGGACACGTGAATGTGGGGGTCATGAAAGACTTACCGGCTGATGTTTTGCTTGGGAACGACTTGGCCCCTTTGGTGTCCGCCTATGCTCCAATGGGACCTGCCGCTATCAACCCAGTGACTACCCGTGCCCAGACCCGTGCTGCTGGAACCAGCCCACCTGCTGCTGAGACCCAGGTAAGGACCGAGTCCCCGACTGGTACCCTAGGACCGACCTTTGTTAACTGGGACTCCCCAGAGGAGTTTGGGAGGGAAACTCAGACAGATTTGACCCTCCAGAAGTATAGGGACAGAGCGGATACTGGAGAGGAAGGATTAGATGGAGAACGGTATGAGTGGGTGGGGGACAGGTTATATAGGATCCCCAAGCTTTCCCCGAAGAGTGTTGCCCCTCCGCCGAATCGACAGCTGGTAGTGCCCGCGAAATACCGGCAGGAGATTCTGCGGATAGGGCATGATGTTCCGTTAGCTGGACATCTAGGTTCCCGCCGCACAGCCTATAGGATCATGCAGAACTTTTTTTGGCCAAACTTCAATCAGGCTGTGCGGACATACTGCAGTACGTGTGACACATGTCAACGGATAGGAAAGCGGGGGGACCACCCAAGAGCTAGGCTTATGTCTATGCCTATCATTGGGGAGCCCTTTGCCCGCATAGCCGTTGACATTGTGGGTCCACTGGCCAGGGCTAGTCCATCCGGTAAGAAATATATTCTCACCGTGGTGGATTATGCCACTCGCTATCCAGAGGCAGTAGCGCTGTCTAATATAGAGGCAGAGACAGTTGCTGATGCCCTGGTTAGGATTTTTACCAGAGTCGGGTTCCCTCAAGAGATTCTCTCTGACCAGGGAACCCAATTCACCGCTGTGCTCACCCAGCAACTGTGGAAGGTGTGCGGTATTAAACCGCTGCTTAGCTCACCTTACCATCCACAGACTAACGGTCTCTGCGAGCGATTTAATGGCACCCTCAAACAGATGCTGAGGACCTTTTCTGACACTTGCAGAGACTGGGAGCGATTCCTGCCTCATCTGTTGTTTGCCTACAGAGAGGTGCCTCAGGAATCTACTGGGTTCTCCCCCTTTGAGTTGCTATATGGGAGAAGGGTCCGCGGACCCCTAGATCTCATTAGAGGCCACTGGGAGGGGGAGACAGAGCAGGAAGGGACCCCCATAGTGCCATATGTTCTGGAACTCCGGGACCGCATGGAGAAACTGTCCCTAATGGTAAGGGAGAATCTCCAGGTGGCTCAGGGGAGACAGAAGAGGTGGTACGATCGGGGTGCCCGACAGCGAGTTTTCCAGGTTGGGCAGAAGGTACTAGTGCTCAAACCTGTGAAGGCGAACAAGATGCAGGCATCTTGGCAGGGCCCGTATAAGGTGTTAGCACAGATATGTGATACTACCTACCTTATAGCCAGCTGTTCAGATGAAAGGATCCAGCGATCCTTCCATGTGAACATGCTAAAGGAGTATCAGGAGAGACCGGAGAATGTCGCTGCAGTATGTGCCCCTGCTGCAGATGATACAGAAAGTTTACCCTTGCCAGACCTGTTAGAGAGGGACCCCCAGACGGATCTTACTAGCCTAGTACAGCTAGGGGACAGATTGAGCGCTACCGAGAAGGGCCAGGCAAGACAGCTTTTGTGGGAGAAGCAGGCGACCTTCTCCCAAGAACCTGGTTACACTACCCTAGCTGTACACAAGGTAGAAACCCCTGGACAGAACCCCCTGCGACAACCCCCTTACCGTATCCCTGAAGCAGTCCGGGAAGGAATGCGGAAGGAGATACAGGAGATGACCCAGCTGGGGGTCATCGAACACTCCGATAGCCCTTGGGCCTCGCCTGTAGTCCTGGTGCCCAAGAAGGATGGGACCACCCGGTTCTGTGTGGACTACAGGCGTCTCAATGAGCGGACCACCACTGACGCCTACCCGATGCCCCGGGTAGACGAATTGTTAGATCGCATTGCCAGGGGACGCTATCTGACCACCATAGACCTGTGCAAAGGCTACTGGCAGATTCCCCTGGCCGAGGATGCTATCCCCAAGTCGGCCTTCGTCACCCCATTTGGCCTGTACCAATTTAAGGTCATGCCATTTGGGATGAAGAATGCCCCGGCTACCTTCCAGCGTATGGTGGATAGACTTCTTGATGGATTCCAGGAATTTGCTTGTGCATACCTGGATGACATTGCGATCTACAGTGAGTCCTGGGAAGAACACCTAGTACATGTAGGGGTGGTGCTGGACAAGATTCGGGCCGCTGGCCTGACATTGAAGCCAGAGAAGTGCCATTTAGGCATGGCTGAAGTGCAGTACCTGGGTCACAGAGTAGGGTGTGGGAGCCAGAGGCCAGAGCCAGCCAAGATAGAGGCAGTTGCTAACTGGCCCACACCTATCACCAAGACCCAGGTGTTAGCCTTCCTAGGGACAGCAGGATACTATAGGCGCTTCGTCCCCGACTACAGCTCTATTGCTAAACCCCTGACTGACTTGACCAAGAAGAATCTTCCTAAGCAGGTCCTGTGGTCTCCGGCTTGTGAAGCTGCGTTCCAAGCACTCAAACATGCTCTTGTGAATGCCCCTGTCCTGGCTGCCCCAGTCCCTAACAAACGTTTTCTCGTCCATACAGATGCTTCCATGTATGGACTGGGGGCTGTGCTGAGCCAGGTCGGGGAAGATGGAGGAGAGCACCCTGTCGCATATCTCAGCAGAAAGTTGTTACCCAGAGAAGTGAGTTATGCGGCAGTGGAGAAGGAATGTTTGGCTCTGGTGTGGGCATTGAAGAAGCTAAGCCCGTATTTATATGGACAAGAATTTTCCCTTGTGACGGACCACAATCCCCTTGTCTGGCTTAACCGGGTCTCTGGAGACAATGGCAGACTGCTGAGGTGGAGTTTAGCACTACAGCCCTATAACTTCACCATCACTTATCGACCCGGCAAGCAGAATGGGAACGCAGATGGATTGTCCAGGCAAACCGACATCCTCACCCCATCTTAGTCCGGTCATCCCCACGTTGACCCGCTAAAGGGTCAAGCCGGGTCTGCCGGAGTGTCCCACAAGGGGGGAGCCGTGTGACAGATTCATCTGCATTGTTGGTTCGTCTGTTTCCCTTTGTTCGCGGAATTGCCTGTTCCTATACCCCCGTTCGTGTATTTGCAAAATGCCGATTGAAACTACCGAACGAACGGCCACCCAGGAGAGGAGTGTGCTGCTGGTTAACCTCTTGGCCCCAATTAGAACGTTGTGGTTAACCGCAGACACCTCTCCATTCCATTCGTACGGGTGGTCGTCGTTCGCATGTCGACCACGAGGCAGCGGCCATTTTGGGACATACGAACACAGAGCGGTGTTCGGTACAAACTGTATGGAACTAAAAACGGACACTTAAACTACCGAACACCGCTGAAAAGCTGCTGCCTACCTTCCTTTTCGACAAGGCATGCGAACGTCGGTCGTTCGGGAGTTTTATTCAGTCGTATGGACTTTTACCCCGACAGCCATCCCATGGAGTCATTCGTATACCGAAGGACTGGTGAAAGACTTTGACTCCATGGCGATTCGACTAGATACATCGGATCTGAGCGCTATTCGGTGAAAACATGCCCTCAGATCCAGGCTGTCTGGGGATACGTTACACGAACCATATGCATTCGGTATTTCTGTAGTTATGTATTTTAATGTCTTTGTGTTACTGTAAATTAAGATGGCGATGGTCTCTACCTTGGGAGATAATTAGGTTTCTTCCCCAATTATCTCCAAGGTAAAGAAGACGGAATTATGGGCAAGATGGGAAGGGCTACTGTTGAAGCCACTGCGATTGGCTACTGTACAATATGTGTTACAGTCTTCCACAAGGTCCCCTCGGGGAGTGTCCACCTTGTGGAGACCTGCATAAATACCGGGCAGGTAGCCCCCATTAAACAGATCTTCATTTGACCCTCAAGACGGAGCTTGGTCTCGTTTGTGGGGGGAATTATTACTGGGACAGCGCTTTCGTTATTTCTAGCTGTGGAAGGCGTTCGACTGTTTGGCTGATCGGGAGTTGCCGTGTTCGTGGACTTCGTTCGGGAGTTTGGCGATCGGCTGGATTTAAACTGCATTTCTGGAGAAGGGGATTATTGCCTAAACGGCGGCTTCATCTACCCGACGGTACGTGTCGTAACACTCATAATTGTACAATTTATATTTGTCTTGATTGGAAAGTGCCAGTAAACGTAAAAATATATGTTGCTTATTTTAATGCGTACATCATACATAGGTGTTATTAATCTGACAAGTATACTACATTCCCAAGCTGAAATATAAAGCTCTAGAAATAACACTTCATTATCACTATTAGAACATAAAACCAATTAGAGGTGTTGCAGAGTTTTATGACACCTGTGGGTGCTAAGCGTGTTTTCAAGGATTCGATCGTTAATTCCCAGTCAGGAGAAAGCAACACAGTGTCGGCCCATGCAGATGCCTGGATCCCTCTGCAACACTGCTTTGTTCCCATGACAACCTGCTAATTTATGACATGAAAGGCTGTCGCTTCCAAATGCAATGAGAAATTAAATTTCATACCTAAATAAACCGAGAACATTTTAAACACATTTACTTCCTAGGATTTATTCACAAAACAATGAAATGTTGAATTCACATGGGATTTGCAAAGAAGTAAAAAGTCAAGGGGCAAACATTTCATAACTCAGCTGTTTTTCTTCTGCGCAACTTTAAATTGAGGGGTGCCCTTGTCAATTCATCACAATTCACTGCTTTGTGAACATACAGTCCACTGTCTATTTGCTAATACAACTTAGGAATGCAGCACACTTGTTAGTTTAATTGTTTAACTTACAGATTTAACAGTTGCAAAACTGTTCTTTCACATTTTTATAAAATTAAGAAATCCATGAGGTTCTGCACTTGAACAAGTTTAGTTTTTTTTTTTAATTTTTATAATTCTTTATTTTTGCCTCACTTCCCCTCGTGAGTATGCAACATATGGTCTTTTCATCACATTGGTATACATGAATACAAGCATATTATTTAGACCTTATGCATGAATAGAAACGGAGTGGTGTGAGGTTTTTATGTATATGTAGGCATGCGGGTCTAACAGGTAGTGTTCAATAAAATGTGAATCGTACTCTAGGTACAAGGTAGCTCCCTACCACCTTACAACTATGGCGCATATGTTCCATACTGTCAAGAGTGGGGAGGGTAGGGAGGGTCTCTCGAGTGTCGCATACCCTCTGTGTAGAGTTATCAGGATAACGTCCTAGTCGGGGTGATTTATTTCCCCATTGAGTTAGCAAAGTTTGTAACAGAGGGTAAGAAGGGTCATTTCGGATAAGTATGAGCTCGGCAACGGATAACTGTTTAACAAATAAAATGAACATAGAATTAGAGAGTTATGAGGTGGTCAGTATGCAGTTCGTCAGCATACCCCTGCGGTCGCGTACAGTCCTTCAGGCTTGTTAGTGGAGATATCTCCTGCAGCCAGACTATGTGTCACAGGTCAGTGAAGTTACCGGGGATCCAGGCGGGTGGCCAGAGGTTGACCTTGGCGTAAAAGCCGGGATCTTAGATGGATCCATGTTGCGAAGACAGGAGGTCAATGTGTCCTGTTCAGGTAGTAGTTTCAGGCTGCGCATTGCGGCCTCCAGTTCTTGTGGGTTCTTGGCTCTGTAGGTGCCTCCTTGGTGGGTAAATGTGAGTTGTCTAGCATTTCCCCAGCGGTAGGTCACATCTTGGTCTCTTAGGATGCGGAGAAGGGGTTTCATAGATCTGCGCCAGAGTAGTGTCTTTTTGGTTAAGTCAGGGAATATTAACAGGGATGAGTCTTCGAATTGGATAGGCGTTTTCCCCCTCACCGCTGAAGAGATTAAGGCTTTGTCTGGCATGGTTTGAAAGCGGAGAATGAGGTCCGCCGTGGCGGTGTTGGGGGCGTTTTTTGGTGTTGGTAGCCTGAACATGCCGTCCAATTTAAGTGCCTTTTCTTGTTTGGTCGGTAGCAGGGTGGAGGTGAGTCGCCTTATGTAGTGCGGCATTTCTTCCGTACTCACTGTGTCAGGGATGCCCCTCCGTTTAAGGTTGTGTCGTCGCCTCTGGTCTTCCAGAGTGTCCACCCTGGTTTCCATGCTTCTCTGGAATTTTAAATTGTTCTATAATAAATATGTAATTTGGCACCTTACGCTTATTGCTAAAGAATAAGTCCTAAATGATAAGCAGGCAATGATAGGTAAGTATGATTGTTTAGTAACAAAAGTAAACATTTAAATGGTGATTTAAAGTGGTTATCTGCATGTGCAGCTTTTCGCTGTGAAATGTTGCACATACAGAGTTTAACCCCTCTGCTACCAGTGTAACTCCACCTCCAGCAGGATCATAGCGGACATTACTGGCTTCCCTGCCCCACCGCCCTCCTACATACATACCACCCAATGTTAGGATGGATACTGTATCAAAGCAAAATAGAACAACAAATGCAACAGTTAGTAGAGTATAAATGTTTACAGGGTTCTAAATGAAAAATAACACTAAGCTTACAGGTGCCAAAACAATAAGCTCTGTTTAATTCTTAGTGACTTAAAGGGAAACTGTAGGCACCCACACCACTTCAGCTCATTGAAGTAGTCTGGGTGATGTGACCCTTTAGCACTTAGTGCTGCAATGTAGAGAACTGCAATGTTCACATATCAGCTCTAAGTCTGCCCTCAGTGGCTGTCACTCAGTGGCTGCCACTGGGGGCGCTTCCGAAATCCAAAAGGATTTTTGGTCTGTTATCTGACGCTGCACGTCCTCACGGAGCGTCAGATTTTCCACATAGGAAAGCATTCAATAATGCTTTCCTATGGGAATGTCTAATGCGCGCGCGGCCATTGCCGCACATGCGCATTAGGACTCCCCCGCCAGCTGACTTTGGTGGGGGAGAAGTGTGGATGGAGCCTGACCCAGCACTAAGGGACATCAGCGATCGATTCAGGTAAGTTGCGGGGGGGGTGGAAGACGAGGGGGCGGGGGACCTATTTTCGCTATAGTGCCAGGAAAAAGGCTTTGTTTTCCTGGCACTATAGGATCCCTTTAAGAAAAGAGGGACAGAGGGATTTAATATCAAAATAGGGACTGCCCCCCTAAATAGGGACACTTGAAGGTACGCTATACTCACAGATTCAAACAGATTCCCTGTATTGTTGCACCTATTCGTGCACTGTGCGAGCTGTCATTTTCAGTATCAAGGGGTTAACAGATCGAGAAACATGCCAGTATATACCAGATGCAGCCGTATGAACATTAGAAAGGGTTATTTCCTTACAATTAGTCACTCCATTAAAGTCATAACTACAAGTATTGACATCAGACCACCACAGCTGGAACTGTATCCCATCAGGTTAAATATCAGCATGACCCATCCTTTAAAAGGGACATCTCCAGGGAAAATAGAATCACAGTAAATTTTGCTCTTTCCTTCTCCACCACGAGAGATGCTGTGAACGTAACATTAAGTGCAGGAATCCCCAGCCTTGGGGCATTGCTTTTTAAACCACATCCCTTTAACCTTCCCCCACTCCCAGGCCTGCGGTTAAAGGAGTCTGATGGCGAAGATCTTGCTTGAGGTAATTAACTATAGAAATGCAAGGAAATAAATGTAAAATGGAGTACCGCAGGCCTGAAGATGAGAATTTTAAGGTTTTTATTGCAGGCTGAACATAATAATAATGAACAAACAACACAGGGCCCTTTAAACATCACATTTAGCAACATGTAACTACAATGGTCTGCTTTGTACAACCAACCTTGGTTGCAGACCTGTCATACAAGAGATCGTTAACCTTTGACCCTGCAGCTGTTCACTACAGCTCCCATAAAGCTCAGCAAGCGATATGGTCCATCCATGAATTTATTGGGGTCAACTTTAGAGAGAATCTTTGAAAGGAGCTCCACAAGCCAAGATTCCCTTTGGAAGAAGCTCTTAAGAAAAACAAACAAACCATGCATTGTTGTCTAAGGCTGCAGTGACTGATAATGCTTGCAGTTTAACCTCTTATCGACCAGAGGCCTTTCATGTAGGCACCACAATATTCTCCCTAAAGACAAGAGCATGGAATGTCTGCCTTATGCAGGGTTATGTTGCTCTCCGCGTCTTGATGATACAGTATCTTTATAAAGCAGATTGCTTTGACCGAACAATGCCATTGATGGGCCTTAAGGGGTTAATGAGTCAATGTAAACGCAGACCTCATGCACATTTAATCAGCAATGCTCTGACTAGAGGGTTGACGGTGTCTGTTCCAATTGCTTCATGAAAGGAATTGTTTGTCAAAAACCTAAATTCCGATGTTTTAGCTCTGCAGTAAAGCAAAACATGATGAAAATATATCTTGCTAAGTACGTTGAGCTTGGAGGAGGGAGGATGGATTTGGGCCCACGCCATGATAATTAGCTGCAGGATCCGCACTCATTAAAAGATTAAAGAAGCAGAGTTAAGGCCTTCCCTGTTATTATTGGCTGAAAATCCCGTGTTTTCCTGCTTGTTGTTAAGTGACTAGACCCACTCGTCTATTTGTAAAAGGCCAGTTGAAATGGAAGTTATCGTACAATAAAAAGGGAAACATTTATGATAAGAGCAAATAGACAATTTAAAGGGACACACAGGCACCACAACCACTTCATCTCATTGATATGGTACCAGTGTTTTCGAATGACCTAGCGTACAGGTCACCACATGCCTGAAGAAAAGTTCCTCTCTGCTGCTCAGGCTAAGGCTTAAATGAAATTAAGTGGTTGTGGTGTTTATTGTTCATTTCATTATAGATTTTGAACTCATTTCGTGTAGAGACTGCTTTGTCTTGAAAACTGACACTCCTCTTTGGTGTTAGGTGTGTCTGATAGTGCTCTTAGTACCACTAGGGGTCAAAGCTCATTTTCAGAAATCAATATAAAATTTTTTTTTTATATTCACGCTCTCTTGGCAACTTGATAACATTTGCAAAACAAACCATAATTTTGCAATACTGTCCAATGTGAAAATACAGTGTTTCAGAAAAAAGGTTAATTTAGATTTTTTTTATTTTTTTTAATAAATAAGGGTGCTGAGTTAAACTGGAAAAAAAAAATTTGATTTTTTTTTTTTTTACTGACAACCATTCTGTCAGGGTGCAATTTCATTGTGGATTTAAAAACCTAGACCAAAACACGCAAACTACTTTGGAATTGTTTTCCTAAATTTCCTAAAATTGTTGACCTAAAATTTAAAATTCACTTTGAATTCCTGAATAATGTGAAAGTAAGCGAAAACAGGACTTCTAAGAAATGTGCTGATCAATTCTTTTAAATCACGTTTTTCTGAAAAGGGTTGGGACTTTTTTGTTAGTGGTGTAAACACTTTTTTCACGTGGATTTTTTTTTTTTAGAAAGACTACCATCACATAGAAAGAAGATGTGGAGGTTAATGTAAACAAAAGGAGTACTGAAAGTAGCATTATCAACATTTTGGCTAACAAACCCTTTGCTAATGAGATGAAACTGAATATATGACCAAAACATGTCAGGACGGATGAGAAAAAAGGGCTCTTTAGGAGATAGATGGTAGAACACAATCTGGACAATGATTGCGGAGAGCGACTTACCAAGAAAATTTTTGTTAAAAAAAAAGTGAAGTTTTAATTAAGAGACGCAGAACACAGTCTCTACAGAACTGGCGAACACAAAAATGAATTTATTGGAACAAAAGCACAAAAAAATTACAATTGCCCTACCCTAGGGTATTAATCATGTACTATAAAATATTGTATGATTTTTTTTTTATTTCGCCAATTCCGTGGAGCTCATGTACTCCTTCTCTATATTGACACCAGGTTCCAGTCACAGAGCTCTGGATGTAGCATGCCTCTCAACCATTCGGACTCTGGCAGGACAGTCCCGATTTTTGGACCTTGTCTGGCTTTAGTTTCCTGGTGTCTCGCTTTTCGGGACACCAGGGAACTGTCCCCATAAAAAGTAATAATCATCAACAGAGGCATCTGCGCTTTGAATAGGGCACTAGGACCCTGCAGAAAGAACTTAAAACTGTGCAGCCTGCATGGTTAGCTCTTAGTGGTGCATTCACGTTAGGCTGACCTGCCATTAAATCGGGTTAACCCTCCACCCTTTCCAGGCGGTTCTGCAAATTTGGGGGCAGAGCTAGTTGTGCACTCGCTTCACTGGTCCTCCCCCTTTATGTCCCTCCCTCTTTGCAGGACACCAGAGTTGGGAGGTATAATTTGTCATTGTTATCATAATACGTTTCCCTCTGTGTGATACCACTTTGCCTTTCTAGTTTTTAATGAAGAGCATATTTTGTGGACATATTTTCTGAACACAATTTGTATTTTGTAGAACCAGACACATGGAGCCCAGTGCCTACTGTACCACCGGCATTAACGCAGTGACATCATCATATATTAGTGACGTCATTGTTCACTTTATTTTATTATGATAGACTGTCCATCTACCCCAACTTCCTATGAACTCAACACCGAACTGTGGCCAAGTAGCATAACTGTTATGCCACTGTTTACGTGTAAGGGGTTCTGCATCTCAGAACATCTTATCTTATTATTATTATTATGATATTTATAGAGCGCTGTCAAATTCTGCAGCGCTTTACAATGGGTGGACAAACAGACATGTAGTTGTAACCAGACAAGTTGGACACACAGGAACAGAGGGGTTGAGGGCCCTGCTCAATGAGCTTACATGCTAGAGGGAGTGGGGTAAAATGACACAAAAGGTAAGGATAGTATTAGACTAGTGACCGTTGCAGAAGAGGAATCAGTCAGGAGCTATGAACAGTTTAATTGATACACTTTTAAGTGTTGTTATATGTGTTAACTATTCTATAATTTTTTAGTTTGACTGCATTATGATCCACATTATAAGCTTGTGAAAATACTTTGTCTGTAATGGCAATACGCACACAGAAATCTGTCAAGGAATCATGCCTTTATTGTATTCTCAATAAGTGATTTATTATATGTTTATAGGCCTTTTTTTATTTGTTCAGTCTGATCTCCATATTAACTGCAATGTTTGTAATGAATATATTTCATTATATAAGTTGACAACCCATTTAAAGCACACAGTGGTTTACTTTGCTGTTATTTGATTTCCTGGAGCGGACTAATTTTATAACAGAAAAGGTGTTTTGCATAAGGGAGAGTTAGACTTGTATTTCAGAGGGTAACTTCCTCTCACTTCCAAAAATAAAACAAATACTTCCCTTCCTAGAATTGAAGAAGATCTTATATTGATCTAAATCTTCTGCACTTTTTTATTTTTAAACATTTTTTTTTTTTTAATTCTTTATTTTTGTGTGCAATTCTTAACAAAGCAGCTTGCTTAGCCACGATAGCCAGAGCAAGATCAATGGATACACATGTATGTAGCATATCAACAAAAGCACAATTTTTATTTATTTAACAAGCGGTGTCAGGTGTACTATTGTACAGTGTTGTATGGTATCAGTCTGTCTAGGTGCGATAGGCGAGTTGTATTGGCGTTTAAATTCCTAGACTGAAACCTGATACTGAGAGTGTTTAAGCGTAAGTACCTCACGGGAGTGGAGTTAACAGGTGGGGGCGAAGTGCTTGAGGAGTACTTCGGTTAGTTCACCTGATCGGCTCTTTCCCGGGTGCTTGGTTTTAGTGAAGGCAAGGTTGTATCATGCTTACATCTAGCTAGGAGGGCATTTGCATAGTGGGCGAGGATTGGGCCCATGAGCCCAGTATGTATATTGCGTTAACCTATGCATGCGGGTTTATGGCCCCTGACCAAGGGGACTGCGGGGGGGGGGATATTTTTGCCACTTACTGTGGTCTCTGTTTCCCCGTCTAGTCAGCGTGTTTGTGTTAAGCCTGGACCTTATGGCGCCCAGGTAGGTAAGCGTATAGTGCGTGTGAAGTTAGACAAATAAGGTTTGTTGAGGTGCGGTAGTAAAAGTCCCATCTGTGCTTTTCATTCCGGGTCGGCTGTCTCTTGCTGGTTTGCTGTTCTAGGGATGAATGGTGTTATGGAGGCCGGGTCCCACCTAGCTCTCTGAATTCCTGAGGCGGCTGGTGTGTCTTGGGACGAAAGTCCCAGGGTCTCCAAGAAGGATGCTGCCTCTGACATGGATGGCAAAAAATGTACTGTCCCGTCTTGAGTCACCGCTAGTGAGCCGTTTCACCCCCAGCGGTAGCTCAGTCCCGCAGTTCACAACAGTGTCGGGACTGGAGTGTACGATTTGCGGTGCAATAGTGTGGACCTTGTCAAATCTTGGAAGAAGGTCAAGGTCGAGTTTTCGAAGGTGAACGGTGTTTTGCCTTTCAGCGCTGATAATATTTGCATTTTGTCAGGTAGGGAGATGCAGCGAAGGATGACGTCTCTCCCCGTGTTAGTCCGGAGATGTGGAGGGTTTGGGAGGCGGTATACGCTTTCTATTGCTATCTTCTTGGCCACTGTGTGTGACAGGATTGTGGCTAGCATTCTCCTAATATAATGGGGTAATTCCTCCGCCGTGATCGTTGCGGGGATGCCCCTGATTTGATGTGGGTACACCTCTGGCGGTCTTCCATATTGGAAAGCTTGAGTGTCGTAGATTGTTGCTGAGTTTGTAGCGTTTTTATAGAGTCCGCCATCATGTTGAGCTGGGACTGTACCTCCGTTAGGGTTGTTTCATTAGTTCTGACCCTCTCCGACACTGCCCTTACTTCTGTTTTGAGACTGGCCGAGTCAGCCGCCAGCATTTTATGGATTTCGGCAAGCATTAGTTTTAAGTCCTTCTTGGTGGTCGGTGCAGCGTCGTCGGCTGATTCTGGAGATTCGACCGCGGGTGTTGGTGAGTATTGTGGGCTCTCGGGCTCGTGTTGTTGCGTCAGATTCTGCACTGTGTCTGGGTGTCCATTGGTGGTGGCGGGCTTAGATTGCGCCGGCCGCTGGAGCATGGCTCCTATATCTCTGCCCTCCGCTGGGGTGTGCGGTTTTTGGGAGCGCCTGCCCATGCTCGGAATGTTGGTGGGCGAGACAGATGGAGCTAGGGTGTGGGGTGTTGCAGCGCTGGTTGTTGCGATGCCTCCTAGGAAACTCCCGAGGTCTTGCAGCGTGCGGTATGCCCCAGTTTTGTATTTCCGTCGTGCCTTTTTCGGCGGTTGAAAGAAAGGCATCGATTGGTGCTCCCTGCCCTTCTGGCACCAGTCATGCTGGTGTGGTATTTGGATTGGGTACTGCTGATATCCGCAGGATTGTATTTTGTTTTAGGGAGCTTAGAGAAATGGCGTCTAGTCAGGTTGCTTGGTAAGCCCCACCCCCTTTTTAAAACATTTTAAACGGTTGCCTCTATGAGTCTTTGAAAGAGTTACTCCACGAATAATACTGGACAACTGTCCCCAGTCAACAGTATTTGGACTACAGAGAAATGGTTGGAATCTTCATTTTTATAAAACGTAACCGCGTTGTTTTGACTATGTCAACGGCACACTCCAAAACCAGGCAAAGCCGGCACCCAATGCCTTCTCTCCCCAGGTTCTATTAAATAGTTATTTCGGACATATATCGTATTCAGCCTTTGCAGGGCCTGTATGGCTCTGCTACCAAGAAAATAATGTGTCCTAGTACTTTGCAAGCTTGGAGTTTAATAAAAACACATTATAAACAGAAATCAAAAGGAGAACTGAAAGTAGCATTCTTCAGCATGGTTTACTAAATAGTAATGTCGGACTGATTGTCATGTATCTTGTGAAACTAACATGTTAAGAGTAGGTAGGAATTTAAGTCCAGCAAGTTCCTCTTGAGTCTGGATTCTGAGATCCACATTGAGAAGCTAACAAATTAGATATGAGATGATACGTCATCAATGGGCAAATTTGGCATCATGATGTTCGTGAACAGCTTTTCCAATTGAACACTTTAGTGATCTTATGAGGCACACAATCGACCTCGACAAGGTCCTCGATGGGCAATAGAGTGTTAGCTTTGCAGTTACTAAATCTTGAACCCAAAGGAATCTTAATGGCTATTAAAAGAAAATAAATGCATTGCCTACAACCTGAACGGTCAACCTTGCAGCTAATCTTATTGGTCATAATAACTAATGGCCAGTTAATTAGAAATTTGCACGCATATTTCAGCAAATCCCCTATGCTCACCTTATTACATTGTGTTCCGACGGTCAGTACTTAGTATCAAACAGTCATTTTTTGCAACTTTAAGCACCTGATGTCCACTTGATGTTCAACTGTTGGAATGTGCCCACAGTAAAGTGGGTTCTAGAAACTCATTATAATCGAAGGACACGTAATACCACTAGATTGCCTCAAACCACTTATGCTGAAAAATTGACCCAAAGTGAAAGTTTACCAGAAAAGGGATGTGAAAGCACATTTCATAACTTGGGCGATTCTTTAGAAAAGTACTTAAGTAAGTTATAAACCGTCTATTGGAGGTCATGAGGGTTAAAATGGACAAGATGTACAACAAAAGATTATACACAGAAAAAGGAAAAAGTATTAAAACGATTGTCATAAAATTCCCCTTAAAACAAAGACCAATTGTTTAAATCTGAACTGCTTCCAAGTTAATTCACCTGGGGTACCACATTTATAAAAAAAAATAAAAAAAAATGTTAAGGTAAACATAAAATGACAATACCATCATCAGAACCCAGTATGAAAACCACATGGTGTTCCCTAACAACATGCCCTCAAAACAATATTGTGCAAGGATTAATAGCATCGCAATAGGGGCCCAATGAATACTCTCTAGATTTTCATAGGTCAGTGGTTTCCAAAACAGTCCTCAACGCACGCCTACCAGTCCAGGATTTAGGGATAACCCAATTGTGTCAAGGTGCTGATTTTTCTTTCTAAAAACACCTAGGACACAACTGGATAATAAAAAATCAAACAGTGGTATGTGAGCGCTCCAAATAGCGCTTTCAGCATAAGTGGTTTGACGCAATCTAGTGGTATTACGTGTCCTTCGGTTATAAGGAGTTTCTAGAACCCACTTTACTGTAGGCACATTCCAACAGTTGAACATCACGTGGACATCAGGTGCTTAAAGTTGCAAAAAATGACTGTTTGATACTAAGTACTGACCGTCGGAACACAATGTAATAAGGTGAGCATAGGGGATTTGCCGAAATATGCGTGCAAATTTCTAAATAACTGGCCCTTAGTTATTATGACCAATAAGATTAGCTGCAAGGTTGACCGTTCAGGTTGTAGGCAATGCATTTATTTTCTTTTAATAGCCATTAAGATTCCTTTAAGTTCAAGATTTAGTAACTGCAAAGCTAACACTCTGTTGCACATCGAGGACCTTGTCGAGGTCGATTGTGTGCCTCGTAAGATCACTAAAGTGTTCAATAAACCATAAACACTTAAGTACTGTATACCAAATCAGCAACTGTAGAGTAAAGCTGCTGTAGATCTGGTAGTAACTCTGGGATAATATGAATAAATAAATTATAACCATTAATTATCAAATGCAAAATATACAAAACATTAATTATTAAACAAAGGAAAACAATAATATCTTAATCAGTATTGCTACAAATAAATGTAGCACATAAAAACACAATAGGTCCAGAGCAGAAGTCCAGGAAAAAGACACAGTGTGGGGCCCCCTACACTGGTAAAGAGTATATGACCACTGGAACGGGAGATGTGTACATGTAAAAAAAAAATTTAATACTGGAAAAAAATATATAAAATTGGAATAAGAATAAAAATTATTAAAAAACAATACCCAGACACATACACTTGTCCCTGGAGGAGGGAGCTCATAAACCCCCCAAACCACCGGGTCTAGGTTAAGGAAGTTGAGAAATATCCCCGACTTAGAGAGACTCTAGGGGTAAGCCAGAACAACGTACCCTTACTCTTAAGACTTAAAACTTAGTAATACCTAGTACCATTTAAGGTTTTTTCTTTTTACTATCAATTACTGTATTTTGTGTTTATACATTTATTGCATCCTTTTTTTGCTCTATGAATATATTATTTTTAATCAATATTCCTAATTGATGTGTCATGACCACTTTATTTCAAAGAGGGTATATATACCCTGTCAGTAGATAGCAGATCTTTGTCTTGAGAAAGTCCTCCATAGGGGACGAAACGCGTAGACGATCTGATATCTACCATTCTTGCTGTATCTCCAACCCGATTTTATTTACGGTCCGGGAGTGATTTTTGGCAGCTGCTGTGATCGGATCCGCACACACAGCTTGTCTCGTGGTTAGGAGTTGGCGTGCTCCCCTCGCCTCACTCGAAGGTCGGGCGAACAGGGTAAGTTGTTCTGGCTTACCCCTAGAGTCTCTCTAACTCGGGGATATTTCTCATAGCAACTTCCTTAACCTAGACCCGGTGGTTTGGCGGGTTTATGAGCTCCCTCCTCCAGGGACAGGTGTATGTGTCTGGGTATTGTTTTTTAATTATTTTTATTCTTATTCAATTTTTATATATTTTTTCCAGTATTTAAATTTTTTATTTTTTTTACATGTGCACATCTCCAGTTCCAGTGATCATATACTCTTTACCAGTGTAGGGGGCCCCACACTGTGTCTTTTTCCTGGACTTCTGCTCTGGACTTATTGTGTTTTTATGTGCTACATTTATTTCTAGGAATACTGATTAAGATATTGTTTTCGTTTGTTTAATAAATAATGTTTTGTATATTTTGCATTTGATACATTTATGGTTATAATTTATTTATTCATATTATCCCAGAGTTACTACCAGATCTATATCAGCTTTACTCTACAGCTGCTGTTTTGGTATACAGTATTTAAGTGTTTATGGTTTACTATTTGGAGCGCTCACATACCACTGTTTGGTTTTTGATTATCATAATGATTAAGTCGCTCCCCTGTATGTGATGCATCCCCCTTTTGTTGAATAGATATAATAACAATCTATTTTCTTTCCATTTTTCAGTCACCTTTTTTAAATTTTTACACAACTGGATAATTCCAAAATCCTGCACTTGTAGGCATGCCTTGAGGATTGGTTTGGAAACCACTGCTCTAGGTCTTAAGCATTCTACTAACGTGTCCTAATAGCTAACATAGCTTTGAGGAAGGTTGGATATGGAAACCCTTTCTGGAAAGCAAGTTAATTCTAATATTAGGAAGGAGGTATTTAATAATGAGGTTTTAGTAAGAATGGTGTTGCCAGTAGAACTCCAGTAAGGTTCTACTGAAAAAGGAGGATCGAGTAAGCAAGTGTGTTCTAGAGTAGATAAATGTTCCAGAAAGGAAGTTCTACTGAAGAATAGAGTTCTAGTAAGAAAAGACTGGGACTAAGAAGACATAATAGTAAGCAAGAATGATCTAATGTAGTCTTCAGTGAAATATAACGTACTGTCAGTTTTAGTGTTAGCTGTGAGACTCTATTAGTTCTCTTTGGGAACACTCGAAAAATTTAAGACGTGGGGGAAGGGATGTTAATCCCATAGGTCAAGCTAATGGATTTTTTTATGTGCAATAGACCACATAGACATAACCCTTTCTATACCCTAGAGTACACGGGACGTCTGAGTGCATGATAACATACTGGTCGGATGCCTTATAGAATGGCCTGGGATTACACACTTTATATAAACCACTTGAACATTGTATACAATGTATGCACAGGTGAGTCGCATGACTCTTGCGTTCAGGAATGTTTGCACGGACACTGAATGGGTTAAGATGCAGCGGCCACAACTATGTGACAGTGTTTATGTTTTTGCTGTTATGGTAGTGCCCTGGCAGAGAAGGCTCACTTTTCTGCAGGTACCTCCCTGCTCCAGACAGACCTGGCCTTGTGTGTACAGGAAGTGGCTTTCGCTGACATGAATAAGGCATTGATGGGCCAGACACTCTGGCGATGCTGGCATCACCAACTAGTTACAGAATCCCAGAAATGGGAAACCGGAAAATTATCCTGCAAATGTAGAGATCAGGTATTAAAATGGTGATGCAGCCATGCTCAAAGGTTACATAAAGACACTTTAAAGCTCTAGCAGTGAAGAGGTTACATACCGTGTTTCTCCGAAAATAAGACCGGGTCTTATATTAATTTTAGTCACAAAAAACACACTAGGGCTTATTTTCAGGGTAGGGCTTATTTATTTACGTTACCAGTATGTACAGCTCTTTCTCTTTGCACTCATCTTGTCTGGGGATCAAAATACCATACTGTCTAATTAATCCACCCCCCCTTTAATAAATCCACCCCCTCTAATTAATCCACCCCCTTTAATTAATCCACCCCCTCTAATTAATCCAGCCCACCCTTTCATTAATCCAGCCCACCCTTTAATTAATCCACCCCCTTTAATTAATCCACCCCTCTTTAATAAATCTACCCCCTTTAATAAATCCACCCCCTTTAATAAATCCACCCCCCTTTAATTAATCCACCCCCCTTAATTCAACCCCCTTTAATTAATCCACCCCCCTTTAATCCACCCCCTCTAATTAATCCACCCCTTTAATTAATTCACCCCCTCTAATTAATCCAGCCCACCCTTTAATTAATTCACCACCCATTTAATTAATTCACCAACCCTTTAATTAATTCACCCCCTCTAATTAATACAGCCCACCCTTTAATTAATTCACCCCCTTTAATTAATTCACCCCCCTCTAATTAATCCAGCCCACCCTTTAATTAATTCACCACCCCTTTAATTAATTCACCCCCCTCTAATTAATCCAGCCCACCCTTTAATTAATTCACCACCCCTTTAATTAATTCACCCCCTCTAATTAATCCAGCCCACCCTTTAATTAATTCACCACCCCTTTAATTAATTCACCCCCTCTAATTAATCCAGCCCACCCTTTAATTAATTCACCACCCCTTTAATTAATTCACCCCCCTCTAATTAATCCAGCCCACCCTTTAATTAATTCACCACCCCTTTAATTAATTCACCCCCCTTTAATTAATCCAGCCCACCCTTTAATTAATTCACCCCCCTTTAATTAATTCACCCCCCTCTAATTAATTCAGCCCAGAGACATAAAATATCTACCGGTACTCACATTTCAAAGATTCCTTGCCGAGTCCGACCACTGGGTGCCTCACCGCCCGGAAATGGATCCTTCCGCTGAAGATCCGTGAAGGCAGACTGACGGCGCTGCGAAATGTCGTCATCACGTTGCGCAATGCCGCGGCCCGCAACGCTCCTCCTACAGTAGAAGAAGGAAGTCTCGCCGCAAAGGTGCAATGCCTAGGTCTTATTTTCGGGGTAGGGCTTATATTGCAGCCCACCCCGAAAATCCGACTAGGGCTTATTTTCGGGGTAGGGTTTATTTTCGGGGAAACAGGGTAGTAACATCGCAGAGTACATAGGGATAACATAGTGATACTGCAGGTCTTCATCAGCAAAGGAATACCATTATGAAACTGTAGAGATCTATAAGAGAAGGTGTTATAAAGTGACACTGCTGGGTTCCAGCAGGAAAGGATTTTAGAGAGAGGCACTTTAGATGCAAGGTTCTATCACCGATAGGGTTCTATGGTGATACTGCAGAAGTCCAGTAAGGAAATGGTTAAAACGGAACCTTATTTATATGGTAGTAAATATGTTTCAAAGTGTCATTGCTGGGTTCTAACACTCCAAGCACAATAACAACTACAACCCATAACAGTAGTTATAGTGTCAGGAGTGCCATGGTACTATTCCATTTTACAACAGTTTGACAACTTACCTGGGTTCACCCGGTCTTCTCCTGCAGGAAATGCCAGATGGTTCTACCAGATAAGTACAGCTGTACTAGCGCCATGCTGTTTGACTGAGAGCGCTCAGCCGACGCACTCTACCAATGAGCGGGCGCTTTTTCGCTCAGTACAGTACAACAAACTAAATTCCCCTGCCGGAGAATTCCTGAAGCAGGGGCTAAAGCCCCGCAGTAGCTGGGTAAGGAACCAATGAAAAACAGTTTGACAAATTACACAGGGACAGTGCCAGGGCACCCAGCTGGCACCATAGCCACAATAGTACTGGATATGATGCTTGGAGCGTTCATTTAACACTGCAGGACGCATCCAGAGAAACATAGAAACATAGAATGTGACGGCAGATAAGAACCATCCGGCCCATCTAGTCTGCCCAATTTTCTAAAATACTTGTATTAGTCTCTTGTATCTAAGATAGCCTTATGTCTATTCCATGCATGCTTAAACTCCTTCACTGTATTAACCTCTACCACTTCAGCTGGAAAGCGATTCCATGCATCCACTACCCTCTCAGTAAAGTAATACTTCCTGAAATTATTTTTAAACCTTTGCCCCTCTTATTTAAGACTGGGGGCCTCTTGTTGTGGTAGTTACAAGATTGGGATTACATAATGACTCGGCAGGTCTCTGGCAGGGAAAGAGTTACAAAGTGTTTGTACCAGGCTCTAGCATACAACACATAATAGGCCGACAATACAGAGTGGAAATTATCACATGTTGAATTAATATAGTAAACCAGGCTTCCCCAAACTCTGGCCCTCCAGATGTTGCTGAACTACAACTCCCATGATTCTATGAATGAAATAGATAGCCTGAGATCATGGGAGTTGTAGTTCAGCAACATGTGGAGGGCCGGAGTTTGGAGAAGCCTGTAGTAAACCCTCACTCTGCACCTGACTTCCTCCACTATAAATTTATGCTGCGCTCCTACACTTTGTTTCTTTCCTCTGCAAAAGTAAATTACTTCCACACCCTCATAAGCACACTGCCCCGCCAACCCAAATGCCTATTTCACACTTTAAAGGACCACTCTAGGCACCCAGACCACTTCAGCTTAATGAAGTGGTCTGGGTGCCAGGTCCTTCTAGGGTTAACCCATTTTTTTATAAACATAGCAGTTTCAGAGAAACTGCTATGTTTATGAATGGGTTAAGCCTTCCCCCTAATCCTCTAGTGGCTGTCTCATTGACAGCCACTAGAGGCGCTTGCGTGCTTCTCACTGTGATTTTCACAGTGAGAGCACGCAAGCGTCCATAGGAAAGCATTGTAAATGCTTTCCTATGCGACGGGCTGAATGCGCGCGCAGCTCTTGCCGCGCGTGCGCATTCAGCCCAGGAGGAGGATCGGAGGCAGAGAGCTCTCCGCCCAGCGCTGGAAAAAGGTAAGTTTTTAACCCTTTCCCCTTTCCAGGAGGGGGACCCTGAGGGTGGGGGCACCCTCAGGGCACTATAGTGCCAGGAAAACGAGTATGTTTTCCTGGCACTATAGTGGTCCTTTAAATGCTGTCCTTTGCCCTGTTGCTCCCCCTCTTCCTACCACCCTGTCTGCCTCAAACTTTGCAACTCACTTCACTGAGAAGATTTCTACAATAAGGGAAGAGATCTCTAAGCGCTCTCCCTCCCCTTCCAATACATCACCCAACCCCACTCCCTCCGCTGTTCTTTGCTCATTCGCACCTACTACAACGGAAGAGGTTTCTGCTATGCTCCGGTCCTCCCACCCCACCACCTGTTCCCTCGATCCTATTCCTTCATATCTCATCCGCATAATTTTCAATCTCTCCCTTTCCTCCGGCACATTTCCTTCACCCTTCAAGCATGCAATCCGAACGCCAATTCTGAAAAAGCCCAACCTTGACCCCAACTCCCTATGCAACTACCGCCCTATATCGCTACTCCCGTTTGCCTCCAAGATCCTTGAGAGAGTTGTGTATGCGAGATTAACAGACTTTCTCGAATCCAACTCTCTTCTTGACCCGCTTCAGTCTGAATTCCGCACTCGTCACTCTGTTGAAGCAGCTGTGACCAAAGTATCTAACTATTTAATCACTGCTAATTCTCGCGGCCATTACTCCATCCTAATTCTCCTTGATCTTTCTGCTGCCTTTGACACTGTTGATCATCAACAGCTTCTTCTCATTCTCCGTAATCTCGGTCTACGACATACTGCTCTCTCCTGGTGCTTCTTCTACCTCTTCCAGCACTTTTTCAGTGTTTCTTTCTCTGGCTCTGCCTCTTCTCCCCAACCCCTCTCTGTTGGCGTTCCCCAAGGTTCTGTCCTTGGTCCCCTACTGTTCTCTATCTATACTACCTCTCTTGGTAAACTCATCAGCTTCTTTGGCTTCCACTATCATTTATATGCAGATGAAACGCAAATCTACCTGTCCTCTCCTGATCTCTCTCCGGCCATCTTGACTTGTGTCTCTGACTGCCTCTCCGCGATTTCCAACTGGATGGCTGCTCACTTCCTTAAACTCAACCTGTCCAAAACAGAACTTCTGGTCTTTCATCCCTCAAGTGTTGCCATTTCCGTGTCTGTCTCCCTCCAAGTCAACAGCGCCACCATCACCTCTACCTCGCAGGCTCGCTGCCTAGGTGTTCTCTTTGACTCCGACCTCTCCTTCACCCCTCATGTCCAATCGATCGCCAAATCCTTTCGCTTTCATCTCAAAAACATAGCTCGCATCTGCCCCTATTTAACACCAGACGCGACTAAGGTACTGGTCCATGCCGTTGTTCTTTCTCGCTTTGACTACTGCAATCCGAGGCTCATTTTCCTGTCTGCCGGCACCTCCCACACCTCCCCCTCTGTCAGTCCCTACATTGGCTTCCAGTTAGATATAGGGCTCAATTTAAGATTCTGGGGCTTGCTTACAAGTCCCTATATAATGCTGCTCCAACCTACCTATTCTCCCTAATACACAAATATGTCCCATCGAGGCCCCTACACTCTGTCAAAGACCTACGCCTATCCTCTGTCCGTACTCCCACATCTGATGCTCGCCTCCTTGACTTCTCCAGGGCTGCACCTTTTCTGTGGAACTCCATTCCCTTCTCCGTTAAGACTTTCACCTAGTCTCCACTCCTTCAAAAAATCTTTGAAAACAAACTTCTTCAAGAAAACATAACATTTAAACTGTTGGCGGGTTTTCGTTCAAGTTCTCAGTGAATACTTTTCTAGCAACTTATTTCATTACCCCTACTTATATCTTTTGTGTCACTATACCCCACTCACTCTAGCAGGTAAACTCATTGAGCAGGGCCCTCAACCCCTCTGTTCCTGTGTGTCCGTTTGTCTGGTTACAATTGCGTGTCTGTTAGTCCACCCATTGTACAGCGCTCCGGAATTTGCTGGCACTATTTAAATAATAAAATAATAAATATTTAGTTAAAGGAACACTATAGAGTCAGGAATACGTGTTTGTATTCCTGACACTAAACTCCTGATGTGGCATTTTAGGTCCATGCCCCCCCTCCAATCCCCGTAAAAAGGTGTTTAAACTCACTTTTTTTTTCTCCACGCCGCACCTGCCTCGCTGCGGCTGGCCTCTCCTGGCTCTACCTCCACAGCTGAGATAAACAATCTTGAATATAATCAACCCTGATGATCCTATAGGAAAGCATTGGGTGGCTTTTGTGCATGCGCAGCAAAACTATGTAATGCACCAATCAGCATCTACTCATAGAGAGGCATTGAACCAATGCATTACTATAGGGAGCTTTCAGCACACTGGTGACTATAATGTCCCTTTAAATCAGTTTATCTAACGACATTCATGTTCTTCTTCATGAGCACATTAATAAGCGGATTTATGATGCAATTATAGTTTTTTGCTCAGTCTCAGTTGTAATGAGTGAGAGGCCAACTATAAACAAAGTCATCAATCAGTTGACTGCAATCCACCCTTAACCAGTCTCTCCCACCTCCTCCCCACTCACTGCCATAGCATACCTCCCAAGTTTCCCTAATTAGGAGGGGCAGTGCTTATTTTGCTCCCAAAATCCCACTGTCTCTCTTTTCCATCCTAAAGTCCATTTTTTCTAGGATCTCCTTAAAGGACCACTATAGGCACCCAGACCACTTCAGCTTAATGAAGTGGTCTGGGTGCCAGGTCCATCTAGGGTTAACCCTGCCTGCTGTAAACATAGCAGTTTCAGGGAAACTGCTATGTTTACATTTGGGTTAATCCAGCCTCTAGTGGCTGTCTCATTGACAGCCGCTAGAGGGCTTCTGCACTTCTCACTGTGATTTTCACAGTGAGAAGACGCCAGCGTCCATAGGAAAGCATTGAGGATGCTTTCCTATGGACTGGCTGAATGAGCGCGGCTCTTGCCACGCATGCGCATTAAGCCAATGACGTTGGAAGGAGGAGGAGAGTCCCCAGCACCGAGGGAGCCCGGCGCTTGAGAAAGGTGAGTGTTTAACCCCCTTCCTCCCCCTTCAGCCCGGCGGGAGTGGGACCCTGAGGGTGGGGGCACCCTCAGGGCACTATAGTGCCAGGAAAACGAGTTTGTTTTCCTGGCACTATAGTAGTGCTTTAATGCTGCTGTGTCTTAGTGTACTGTATAACAAACTCCATAGCAATAATACACTAATTTGTTGGGGTTTTTAACAACAATTTATTAATTTACATGTCAATCTGTGTAAATAAGATACATTGTTCTTGTACTAAAGTACATTTTAGTTGCATTAACTGATTTTAGTAAGTCACCTACATTTTCTCATAACCACACTGGCTCTGGTCCTACCCCCATTCATACCTCTAAAAATAAACTGTCCCTCCTTGATCAAGTGAAATCGTGTGAGATATATCACAGAATCAGTTCATTATTTAAATGGAAACTATGACTTCTCTGGAAATTATACCATGAAACTTACCTACAACTTATATAAACCTTTTCTTCAAATGATGCCCAGTTTTGTTTCAAATGTATACAAACATTTTAGAAATCAAAAAAACACTCAGTTCCAAGATGGAGGCTCTCAGTTCCAAGATGGAGGCTCTCAGTTCCAAGATGGAGGCTCTCGGTTCCAAGATGGAGGCTCTCGGTTCCAAGATGGAGGCTCTCGGTTCCAAGATGGAGGCTCTCGGTTCCAAGATGGAGGTAAGTACTGCAATGTGGATTTCTACATCTAATTTTATTTTTCACACCTCGAAAACACTTCTTTGTTAAACATAGATAAAACATTAAAACTCTTGATAGTTCTCATTTCACATTCTTATTCTGCTTCTTTATATTTCCCAAATTCTAGACACATTTTACCAGTAGACAAAAAAAAAAAAAAACCCTTTTAAAACAAATAAAGGACTGGGCTCTTTTGGATTGTTTTTCTACTTTTTTCTACCACCACAACTTAAAGCAGATATTTCCAGAGCATCAAGTTTTTCTTTCTATTGGAAGCAACCATAACACCAACATTTCCTATCAAATACTTCTTTAAAGGGACACCGTACTGAGGATCGAACACCTGTCCAGGAGTTAATTAAATACAAAAATACATTTAAAAAAGTTATTCTCATTTGATTTCCCTAATTTGCTGCAAAGCTCAATTACGAGGCTGATATTACTCAGCCAATCTAGTTAGTTCCATTGTGCTCACTTGGAGTGTTTGCATATTCCTGCATAAGATATGTAGGTCAGCTGTCATGACTGCTCTCTTTCATGAAATTAAAGTATGTGACTGGTTAATAGGCCGCGTCAAGTAATTTCATTGATGCTTTTTCAGACTACTTGTAGTCACGCATGCATACCTACCAACATTTGCAACAGACAAAGAAAGAAACTTTAAAGGGACACTATAGTCACCTGAACAACTTCAGCTTAATGAGGTTGTTCAGGTGAGAACTATAGCTCCCTGCAGCCTCTCTCATGTAAACACTGTATTTTCTGAGAAAATACAGTGTTTACATTGAAAGCTAGGAACTCCTTCAGTTGCAGAGTGAACCAGAGGGACTTCGGAGTTGATGGAGGCATAATATGCCTCCATCCACTCAGATCTGCTGTCAGGAGAGCACAGGGCAGCACTGTGCACAGCATCCTGTGATTTAGTATCTCCTCCCTCTGCATGCAGACACTGAACTTTCCTCATAGAGATTCATTGATTCAATTCATCTTTATGAGGAGATGCTGATTGGCCAGGGCTGTGTTTGAATCATGCTGGCTCTGCCCCTGATCTGCCTCTTTGTCAGTCTCAGCCAATCCTATGGGGAAGCACTGTGATTGGATCAGGCTACCACATGTCAGCAGACTGCTTGTTTTTCTGAGTCTAACAGCATGCAGATTTACAGCTTCAGGCTTGAATACAGTAAGATTTGTACTACATTTATGGAGGCATGAGGGGCCCAGGGGGGCTAGATGGTGGTGTTAACACTATAGAGTCAGGAATACATGTTTGTGTTCCTGACCCTATAGTGATCCTTTAAATTTTAGGGGTGTGAGTGGCAGTGTGGACAGAGGCGGAGCTGTTCCTGAGAAATTTTAGGCGACTTACTAATAACAATTTATGGAACTAAAATGCAATTTAGAACAAGAACATTGTATCCTATTTACACAGACTGATTTCTAAACACATTTATTGTAGTTTATAGACACATTACTGGGAGTGTTATTGCTGTGGAGCTCTGTTATACACTCATACACAGCAATAATATGTAGTTTCTAGTAAAGAGGTACATTAGGATAGAAAAAGAGAGACATAGTAATCTGGTCCCAAACTAGGGACTATCCTGCCAGAGGAGTAACTAGAAACCAAGGGGCCTCTCCCTACACATGCAGACAAATAGATACACAGGCAGACACATACATACAGAAACACACACACACACAGAGACCCATACATACAGACACATGTAGAGACACACACACATGCACTCATATACACACACTCAAACATATATATGTACACTCACAGACACACTCAGACACACACACACAGACACATACACTTACAGACACACACTCAGACACACACATACGCACTCACAGACACACTCAGACACACATACACTTACAGACACATACACTTACAGACACACACACTCACTCACAGACAAACACATACACTTACAGACACATACACATTCAGATACACACATACATTTACAGACACACACAAATTATTAATATTAAATGTCCACCCAGCCTCCCTACCTGGAGAGCTGGCGTGGATCTGTCCCTGGGGTCCAGTGGGGCTTCACTGCGGCGGGCGGCAGAGTTCCTGTCCGATGCGGCGAGGGAGCTGTGTTCTTTCTGCTCTGCTCCCTCGCGGGCTGTCTACTGATGCCGGGAGCCGGAATATGACATCATATCCCGGCCCCCGGCATCAGCAAATGGCGCACGAGGGAGCAGAGCAGAGAGAACACAGCTCCCTCGCCACGTCTGACAGGAACTCTGCCGGCCGCCCAGGGGTCCATTAGGTGGCCAGCAGTCCACCTCTTGGGCCCCCCATGACAGGGGGAACACAGAGGGGGCGGTATCTAGGCGGCCCATGATCGCAGGGGTCGTGACTGAGGCCGGGCCCCCTGCAGTGAGGGGCCAGTTGCAGCCGTGACCCCTGCGACCGTGGTAGGTATGCCACTGTATGCTGCCTAAATTGGAGGTGTGATGCATGCACGTGGCAGTTGTAGAAGATCTCTCATAAAGCAATTCTGATGATCTCAGCCATGGAGGCGGATCAGTGCACCAACAGTCCCCTGTGGTGCTGGGATAAAGTTGAGTTTTTGGTAGGTAGTGCTCTCAGTGCTTCCGCTATCGGGGCAGGCTTAAAGTTGAGTTTTTATCCTATTGAAAGGGGGAGCCGGCCACCAAAATAGTGTTTTTGACACTACAGGGTCAGGAATACATGTTTGTATTCCTGATCGTATAGTGTTTCTCTAAGGAACACTATAGTCACCAAAACAACTTTAGCTTAATGAAGCAGTTTTGGTGTATAGATCATGCCTCTGCAATCTGACAGCTCAATTATCTGTCATTTAGGAGTTAAATCACTTTGTTTATACAACCCAAGTCACACATCCCTGCATGTGACTTACACAGCCTTCCTAAACACTTCCTGTAATGAGAGGTCTAATGTTTAAACTTCCTTTATTGCACAGTCTGTTTAATTTAGAATTCCTTATCTCCTGCACTGTTAATAGTGGGCAGGACCTAGCATCAGCCTCCTGTGTGTGTTTAAAGTTCAAGGAAATAAAAAAAGTCTAAAGCAAGTTAATATCTGATTGAAAACAAAACCCCTTTTTCCACGCAGACTGTGTCAGTCACAGCCAGAGGAGGTATGGCTAGGGCTGCATAAACAGAAACAAAAAGTGATTAACTCCTAAATGGCAGAGAATTGAGCAGTGAGACTGCAGGAGTATGATCTAGACACATAAACTGCTTCATTAAGCTGAACTTGTTTTTATGCCTATATCATCCCTTTAATGCCTTTTTTTGCTTTCATACTAATATTTTATAAAGCATACTTCCTGTGTGATATCTTGATATGAAATAAGGAATCTTGTAATGTCTAAAGCTTTTAATCCGCCAATATCTCTAAAAAGGATGAATAAGTAAATGAATAACAAAAACTGTGTGAATTTAAAAAAAATGTACAATTTTTTTCTTCTTTAGTACAATATAAATACAAAATTGCTCATTTATAAGTTATTTATGCAGCCCATGTTTTAAATAAATGCAATGCTAATATTTTTACAAAATAAAGTGCCTGGTGGTGAAGAGGTTAAAGAAATCCTACCACTAACCCTAACGCAAACAAACTAAGCCCTAGTCATAAAAGATGTAATGTAAAATAAAAATATAATGTAATATAAAACTGTACTGGTAGGGGGGAAAAAAGCCATTTCACATTGCTGGAGACATTTATAGAGTCACACCACACCACGTTTAGTCTTGTGGTTTAATATTATTTCTCCAGAACCCACATATGCATGTTATACATTGCCTGTGGCTTTATTAACAAAAGCACAAAATGTGAACCGGTCCGAGTTAAGAAAATACATGTATCACACGGGCAACTCTATATTCTGTAATGGCAAAAAGTGGGCATATTGCTCCCTAAGATTTCATGTCAATGCCATTTTATTTGATTGCTATATTTTACACGAGCCAGTAAGAAAAGGCCGTTCTAGGAGTTTTGAACATCACAACCAGTCAGAGATGTCACTGGTGGCAGAATCTGAGAATATCTGTACCAGTTAGTGAGCTGTCACCCGGCCTCCAATGAGATCATTTCTAAGAAAGCTCTCTGAAACCGAACATCTATTAATAAAGGTACATCCGCATGACCCGTGTGTCCCAATGATGTAATATTTAATTTCATAATATATACCACACATACAAAACCATTCCCATCATCCCTTGTTAACCACATGCTTGGCAATTTAAGGTTTAGGTATTATACTAATACATATAAAAGCACACGTTAAGACATTTGTTGATAGAAATAGGCAATATGTAACATTAGATAATTAACAAGGTTTTCAATATGCACTGTATGCACAAACACACTCACATACATACACACACACACAGACACACATATATGCACACACACACACACACAAACATGGAGCCATGGAATCTCCATAGAAAAACAATGTGAGTACACTGGGCCATACTGAGAAGCTCCGTGATGTTAAACGTGGCACTGTCATAGGATGCCACCTTTGCCACACGGCAGTTTGTAAAATTCCTGCCCTACCAAATTTGCTCTGGTCAACAGTGCTATTATTTTCATGCTTGCAGGGTAAGGGATCTCAGTGTTGAAGCCCATAGTGTGTAAAAAGAAAGAAAAAAAAATTGCACTCACTACAGAGTTTTTAAACTGCCTCTGGAAACATTAACACAAAACCTGTGCATTGGGAGCATCATGGAATGGGTTTCCACGGCCAGTCAGCTGCACACAAGACTTTTATCAACATGCACAATGACAAGATTTTCCTGGAATGGTTTAAAGCATGCCACCACTGGACTCTAGAGCAGTGTAGACATGTTTTCTGCAGCAATGAATCACGCTTCTCTATCTGACAGTTTAATTAAAGAACCTGGTCGTTGCAAAGGCCAGAAGAATGCTCCCTACTGGAATGCATTGTACAAACTGTAATGTTTGGGGCTTTTTTAGTACCAGTAGAGGGTCATCTTAAATGATGCTCCAACCACCATGACCACGTCAATGATTCGAAGTGGTCATGGTGATAGGAGAATGTATGAGCACTATCTGAGCTTGAAACACTGCACATACCAAGTAATGAGCATTGCATGCCAGGGTATAGTCACACCCCTGGCACTCGCGGCTTAGGTAGCCTGGAACTCTGTTCTGGGCTACCAGATGCCATTTCTGTGCATAAAATACGTGCATCGTCAGCATGCACAACATGCTGGCAGCTGGCATATAGAGCTTCCGCGTAGAGACCTTGCTGAAGTGCTGTAGGGATGAGGAGCATCCCATTTTTAATGTGAAATTGGCACTATTATAATTTATTAGTGAAATCAGACAGCAAGGGAGGTATGCTTCTCCCAGGCAAACAGAAGTGGCAGGAGAGCTCTTTTCCCTTAAATCCCATTAATTCTCTAGCTGCCAGTGCTCAGAGGGAGAACTCCAGTAGCTGTATACCCTCCTGCCAATTGTGATTGTTTATGGGCTCTGCCATAAGCCCACCACCAGCATTCCAGAGACGGGGCATGAGAGGGAGATCTCCTTCTCATGCTGCAAACAACCAGAAATTGATTATCACAGACTGCTCTGTATTGTTTCACCACAGAATTCCCTCTGCTAAATTCAGCAGATGGAATTCCTCTGAGTTAAGGGTGGGCTAGACGTAGCTTGAGTTTAGGGCAAGAATTATTGCTGTTTCAGGGTTAGGGATAGTGTATGTAAGGTTAGGGTTACTGGTAGGGTTGGTATAGGGGTTAAGAGGGAAATTGGTATAGGTTTAGCGTTAACTACCAAAATTTTGTTTATACCCTAGGCATATGAAGCATTTAACAATCATGAATGATAAGTGAATCTATTTAAATTTTTTCTTCGTGAGTTGCGCTTGATGTATAAAAACTATTGTAAGCAAAAATGTAAAAAAGTAATTTTTTTGTCCCATTTTTAAAATTTGATTCATACTTCATACACTTAATGATGCCAGGTACACATATAGAATATTAGAAGAAAGACAATTTATAATATGTATGCGGGCCCTTAAAGAGAAAGCCCATGAATTACCGTGGAACAAACACATAGCACAAATTATAGGTTTAGTTTAGGTTCAGAAGTCGGACTATTGCCTGCGTCTTTAAGGGGTTAATTTAGCATGGTACGGTATCAGCCACAAAGAACACAGGAAGTCATGCAAACCACAGCACCTAACCCGTGCTGAAGCTATTGTGGAATCAGACTTCCAAAAAACTAAAATAAATTGGTTGCTATACCTTTTAAGGGATAATTTTGGCTAGCTTTCCTAATTCCTAACTTTGCAGTTTGGGGAGATTGTATCACTAACATTTTACAGGTAAATACTCAGGTAATCTTTTAGTGTTAGATACTTTTTATATATGCATTATTTTCTTGTTCTGTACAGCCCACCGATGTCAGCACTATGTATTATCAGCAAACAACTTCAGTTGATCAGATGAGATTGTTATGAGCTAATAATCCCCTCCAGGAGTTCTGTTTAAGATCTCTGTTGATAGAGGTCAAACTAAGTACTGATTATCATCCACCAAAAAAGGGGTCGTGTCAAACATTTAAATGCTCTACTTTCTAAACCAACTATTGATGATTAAAATTATGTTTAATTTCTGTACAGAGTTTTTAGCTGAATATGTCACAAGATTTTCGAGAGTTACATTTTGTGTGTTTTTTTACTGTTTAGTGAACTGGGCTATGTTACGTTCTTAGTGTTTGCATGAGCGGTCCATGTTCCATGCATATTCTGTACGCGAAATGTGGAGAAAATTGATACACTGTACCACCAAACATTAGGAGGTATGGAATAGGGATGGGTAGGTGGGCGTTCAACAGGGCATCAACAGTGACGCAACTTGCATGACTGGCAACACCCATGATGGGTAGATCTGTGTGTCCGCCCACTAAAGGGGCATGTCAGCCTGGCAACAAGCATGCCAGGCTGATAGGCATCCTCCCAACCAGCCCCTGACTTACAGGGTCTTGCAGAGAGAGGTGCCGAAAAGCTCTCCTCATGGTCCTTAATAGTCTATCATTAATTTTCAACATGTTAGTGAATAAGCCCCATAGACTAACAGTCCTAGTGTCAAACATACAGTGAGAGTGCGTCTTGTGATGTGCTGCTCGATGCAGGTCACCAAGGACCTAAATTGGGATGGCGGCACAGGACCCTAAAACAGGGACTGTCCAGCCAAAAATGAGCCTTGCATACTGGTAGCCTGGAACTCCTCATTCCCAATGACTTGACTGACAACTCTGTCAAAATGTCTTAGAACTGTTACAATTTTTACAAATCACTAAAGATACCCTTAAATTATGAGGAAAATTCAGCGTCTCCATGCAGTCCCAGGATGCACCTCTAGTGGCCATCTGAGGATTGGTCACTGGAGGTGTCTCTAGGGGGCAATGTAAACAATGCCTTTTCTCTGAAAATACAGTGTTTACATGAAAATCCCTGCAGGTAATTATTCTACTCACCAGAACAAATACAATCAGCTGTAGTTGCTCTGGTGAGTATAGTGTCCCTTTAAAGTCTAAGGGAAATTTTGTAGAAAAATAATTTAAGTTTTTCTAACAGTATTCAATCAGTTGGAAAGTGTTTTAAATGAACATCTTAGGGCCCAAATTTAATATTTTTGCATAAGCTTTTAAAATAGTTTATTATTTTGAAAAACATTTTAAATAATTTCAATATAGTGATACATTTTTTTAAAATTTTTATATTTTGAAAATATAATTTAATAAATAATTTTTTAAAAAGTAAATAATTTAAAAAAAACATACCAACAAATATTAAGGCATGGGGCCTAAATTGGAAAAATAGTTGAACAGGAGAAGTTTTTCAATTCTTGCTAAATTGGCCTTAAATTGGAAATTTCCTGGTTGGTTCTCCAAAATCCCCAATTTAACATGTAAACGCCATTGGGGAAAAAAGGTAAATAGCTTGTTTTATTGTACATTTTGATACTATGTGGGGTTTTTAAACACATTTTACAGAATATTTTTTCAAACTGCACAAGTTACTGTGTTGTGAAATCAGCAGTTTCTAAACAGCATGTGCATATTTGTCGAAATACAGTCAAGCGAGCAATAAAACAGGTTCTGAGGGGAAGTGAACCGTGTCATTTCCTGTCACGTATTGTGACAAAATAAGCAAATCCCTAAATAATGCACTTACAAATACACATCCACGGCGCACACACACACACACCACATTATAATTACAAATGTAATATTAGAGATTAGACTAACAGACACACATGCACCTCACAACACAAAAACAACCAACACGTACAATTCAAAATTGCTTCTTATTGGCATATTTTTCCAGATATCACTTTTAAAAAAATCTTATGTACCAAATAAACCGTAGATAATCTTAGGAGTGCAAGAGGGTCATTTAAAACTCAATTTACTCATCGCTCAGGTAACCAAAGAGTTAAAGAGGAAAATATGCATGACAGCAACAGGGCCTTGTTTCCTGATGTTATCTCACTAAATGAAACATACTTATTAGACATCCTTCCTCTCTAGGGGTTTAACCAACAATTCAAGAACACTGAAATATTGAGGCTTATCAGTACACAGTTTATGGATGAAGAATTTCAATCAGAAGAAGAGATCACCGCTGTTTACTCTGGGATTCGTGTTGGACTAAAAATCTGGCTATGCTCAGCCAGTTAGTTTACTAAATATGCGTATATCAAAGGGAATCCATGCGGTAAAAATGACCTTTTTTTTAAAGTTAGGAGTACAAATCTGTATTCCCTATGTTGTAGTCCCTGGGACTATTAGATATCCCCTCCACCTACCATTCAGTATAGAAAGGGTTAAAAACGCCTTCTTTCCAGCGCTGAGGCTCCCTTGGTGCAGCTCATCTCTCCTCCCTATTTGCCGACACAAAGGAGGCAGGGCTGCCTCTGCCAATGTCCAATCTAATGCTTCTCATAAAGGGGTATTAGGGACCTAATGCACATCCGCAGCGAATGCCACATGCACATTCAAATTTTCCCATAGGAACGCATAACATCTATGGGCCTCCCAGGTCACATGGCCAAGTTTTACTTGGTCTGTGTTGCAGAAGCGCCTCTAGTGGCTGCCAGTATGACGTCACTAGAGGAGGAGTTAACCCTGCAGTGTCTTACACTGCAGGGTTAACAGGACAGGAACACTGCACCCAGATCATTTCATTAAGATGAAGTGGTTAAGGTAACTATAATGCCCTTTTAATGCAATTATAGAGTAATACACTGGGGGGGGGGGACACAATAAAATAATAAAAAATACTTACCAATAGAATTCCTATACAAATCAGTGTTTAGCAGCAGGCAGACCTCCCTACACACACCCGAAACAGAAGGAGACGTCCAGTTGGGAGGATCTCATTCTGGCCTTTGGTGTCTATTCTTATCCCATACATGTCTGCACAGTGATGGTTTATGATAAGTCGTTTTTCTCAAGATCAATTCCACGTGACGCATACAATGAGTGGTACATAGCCATACTGTGGCTGCTGTAAGTAAATACATACATGGACTACTCCCCCTGTGCATGCAGCATGCAGCAATTTATCCCAAAGACAAAACTTGGAGAGAAAAGTTTTTTACATTGGGCAACGGAAACATTTAATGCAATATAGTCAAACACCTTACATGGTTTTGGTGCAAGGAGGTCTTTTGTCTACTTGCTTGCAGCTGCGTATAAATGCAGCGCTTTGCTAAATATCGCTGCGGCTGTCGGTTTGTCCTTGCTTTTTCAGCCGTACTTCTTCCTCTGCCCATACAAACTATCTGCAGGGCATGCACCTGCAGTTCAGATAATTGCCGCCTCCTCTCTCAAGGCCGAAGTCATGGCTGCGCTCATGCAGAGATGGTGGTTCAGGAATAAGGCATAAATACCAGAAGATCACTTTCTTCTCCATCAAGAATATGGGGTGCAATATGTACCAATGAACTACCCCAAATGATTCATGCAGCTTCCCAAAATGTCTAGCACCCCATTGCACATTAGAAATTGTGGAACGCCTCCTTGGAACCTGAGGTCTCCTGCACCCCTTAGATGCCATGAGGTAATTTTTGTAAATGGAGTCACTTGGTTTTTCTGTTAACTAAATTACAGTTATTATTATTTTTATATATTATTCATTATTTATTAAATAATAAAATGGCGTCCAGCCGCAGCAAACGTGCTCCGTAAGAAAGTATAGAAACTGTAAAGATAATATCTATCGCTATAGCTCTGTTTCCAGTGACGTTGCACTAAATAAGCACTAGTGACAGGAACAAAACATCAATTAAAAATGGTAGGTTTGGGTCCAACATTAGACCATTAGAATGTGTTAGTAAATGACACAATTTTTGTGTCATGTGGCTTATCTACATGTAGCAAACTGTCTGTGTATTCTCCATTTCTATGCCAATGGCACAAAGGAAAATTCAAATAGAAATAAAATTAAAATCTCTATGAACCTCTATGAAATTACAATGTACACAAAGCACTTTAATTCTTGTCCAATGTCCTCCTAATTGGGCTGTTCAAGCCGAGTGTTCATCAATATCTAATAGGGAAACAAACATCAACCTAATCTAGTTCGGCCACTTGGTATATACACAAGATTCCGTATGAAGCCGACTAGCATAGCCATAAATGTAGTAATTATACTTATGGTGGGGTATTTGCAAATAATATACTGATAAATGTACTTCCTCTTTACACACCCATATAGAACGTTTAATTTAATCTTTAGTGTGTAATCTATGCTCAGCACTGGTGAAGATGGTATGTTGCTACCTCAATACTATAGATAATTTGACTAAAAGGCATAGCTCGTGCAGCTTTAACGAACACTTCAAGCACCATAACTACCACAGCATGCATTGGTGGTCATCGTGCTAGAGGTGTCCTGGCTCCCTCCTGTTGTCAGTAGTCTTACCATTTGATAATGGTTTGACAACTTATCGGGGGTCTACAAGACACCGGTCCCCTACTCGGAGAGGCAGGTCTTAGCTGACGCCTTTAGCAAATGAGCACCAGAGTGCAGTAGTGGTTATGGTGCTTGCAGTGTTTAATGTAGGACTACTAGCACCTCTTAAACTCATAGTCAGTGAACTCTGTTTAGTAGCATTGCTCTTATATGGCCTAGCATTAGATAGCATAGATTTTTCTTTGTAATGTTAGGCCTACAATTCATGTCCTTCAAAAAAAAAAAAGCCACATTCGGTAAAATCCAAATGTTCTGTAGCAGTCAGAACACATTTGAAGAAAGCAATCTCCCAGAATCCCTTTTGCTTCACCGCCGAGTCCTGTAACAAATTTTATGAGCCTAACACGCTCTATATTTATTTAACCCAGTGTCACACAAGATAGGAAAGGATTAAGACAACTGCACTGTATTTCTATAATGCGCGGCTACTATTTGAATGAGTCCAAAGTTCCTCGGCAAGAGGCGCTATCCTCATTGTACAAAGAGAGGTGTGTGGAAAATAAACAGTCTGGTTTTGGAGAAAGGCAACCCCCTTCCCTGAGCTAACAAATATGCTTATTCATACTCTCAGTTTTGTAATAACTGCAAGCACGCGTTATGGAATCATACAGGCTCATGAAACTAACAGAATCAATTGCTAACGCTGAGTATCCTGTTACAGTTTACCTTAAAGGGGAAACTGACAATTCCTGTGATTTCTTATATTATTTTTACCTATTCCCCTCATATTTATTTATTTTTTGTTTGTTATGTCTAGAAAATAAAATTAGATGTAGAAATCCACACTTCTATCCAGGAACTGGGCGCCTCCATCTTGACTCCCTGTCAATCCATCTTCATAAAAGATGCCCTTTTGTTCTACTGAACATAGTGAAAAATAACAAACTGAAACAATGTTTCTATTTCTCCTCCTCATTTGCATTAGGTGCCCTGGCTGTGCCAGGAATGATCTGCTAAGTTATTTGCAAAATGTATAATACACATTTTTAGAAAAATCAGAGCCTCACAAGAATAAAAAGATAAACATAACCTAAGATGTCGGTGATTTTGAATGTTTTATTTAATAGAGTAATTCCCAGAGAAGTGTATGTTCCACTTTAGCCTACAGCTTCCTATGTGTACAACGTATTAGTGATCTGTAAGTAATCATACTAATTCTATATACAGTATCACACAAGCAAAAGTCATCACAGTATAATTCAGTCACGCACGCGGACATCATAGCTTCATTCAATTACACAGGAGATTTGTATTCATTTCATAAATGCCTTACTGTACATCCGGCTCGTTTATTTAGGCAGGCCTCATTCCAGTTTCATTCATTCGTTCAAATATGCCCAAGTACTGAAATTATTTACTCTTGCCTACTCAAGTCCTGAGTTTTCTGACACCCACCCAGCATGGGCTCATTTCTTCCATGCTTCATTCGTTCACAAACATATGTGCCTAGCTCTCTATAAAAGTAAACATCGCTGAGCTGTATCATTCAGTATACAAAAGATTCAGCGCATTTCGAGACTGTGAAAAAAAAATGCATAAATATGCAGCGACTGAAATTGCAGGGATAACATAACGGAATGGCAGACAAAAACACACAATTGTGCGGAATCTTCATTGTCCGTATCACAAAGAGAATAAACGGTATGCGGTCAGTATCAGGAAATTCTCCCAGAATTTGTTGACACTGCTTAAATGAATGGTAATAAGGGTTGGATTTACTGAAATTCATGTTTCGCAAGGTGTACAGCTTGAAATATGACAATTCAACATTCTGTTATATACACTAAATAATTTTAAATTGAAAGGATGGTAGGTGAGCATCATTATAGCAGTGTATAATAGTATCACGAGTTCAACACAAAAAGGGAACCTTTGGTTAGAGGAGTCATCACTTTACGCCCCCCAAAAAATCAATTTATAATGAATTTATTTTTTTGTGTGTGTGTGAAAAAATTGGTAGTGGAGTTCTAACAGGGCATTTGAAAAGTTAAATAATGAATAGAACAGAAAAAAGCGCAAAGTCAGGACAAAATCTACTATATATATATTTTTTTTATTTTTTTTTGGAATGTAGGTCTCCACGAAAAAGAAATTGCACTATTACTACGTTAGTGGTATGTAAAACCTCTACAGCCACGTTTGGAAAGACCGGGGGTAGCTCATAAAAAGTTTAATTTCAGAACGTTGCGGTTTATGGGAGGAAATGTTGATACTAGTTATACTTCAGGAATGAAAGTTTGTCGTGAGGCGTTATTGTGTTTGAATGGAAAAAGTCAGTTACTAGTGGTGTAGGTTTAGGGGGTTGAGGTGACAGTGCACTGTAAACAGACGTTGTTTGAGCAACGCACTGCAGAGACAGAGCAGTATAACACTGGAAAGGTTTGTACAACAGACACAAGTCGGACAGGTTGTCATTGACAATCTGTATGCAGTGTTAGTGTATAGCACAGCTTGAGTGCTGAACACTGCAGTCATTGAGCAGTGTAGGAAACAAACACTGGATATGAGCTCACAGTGGTTGTAGTGTGGTGTCAGACAGAGAGTGGCAGGGTTAATTACTACAGTATGAATTGTCAGCAGTTCAACGTAAATGCAAAGTGAATTTCAAATTCTAGGTTAAAATAGCAGAAGTTAAACTTTTTTCCCAGTTTGGGTGTACTGACCTAAAAATGTGTGTGTGTGTATATATATATATATATATATATATATATAAAATAAAATAAAACCTTGAATAAAAAAAATAAATCCCACCTTTTTGAATACCCAGAGAGAAAATACTGAAAACAGTGTTTTGAAAACACAGCGATAGTAAGCGTACAAGTCAGCTACAGAAAATCAGAATGTAATATCTGTATGTATGATGAATCTATATGTATGATAAAACTACAACTTGAGAAGTGGTTGTGGTTTTCTCACTAAACTGAGAATTGTTTGGAATTCACCAAAGAACTGCAAGTAGCAGGCCCAAAATAGATCATCAGAATAGTCAAGTTGAATTTTTTTTTAAAAATCTTTTTTTTCAGTTTACCTATTTTGGTTAAAAAAAAATTATATATATATTCATTTTTTTTTTCTTTTTTACAGTACTAACATTTTAGTGAAGAACCTAAAAGTGCCACACGACATGAGAACATGTGATCAGTCATCAGACAGCTCTGTATACAGTCTATAGAGGACTAACAGTGACAGAGGCTAATAAAGGAATCTGCTGGGCGACCATGTAATTGCTGTTAGAGGAAGCAGCACACTAGCAGTGATGCATGCAAATGCACAATAAGAATATCATGTTTCCCCAATTTTACTGTGCCACCAAAGGGCATGGCACCCTGCCTCTTACCTTTAATTTGGATTTCGTAGTCCGAGGGCCTGTCCCTCCGCTGCTTGCCATGAGATGCCATACTGTGCCAAGGTGGCTAGCACTCACTGACCCACTGTCTTGGCACTGCCAGCCATATGGCACTCTACTAATGGAGGGAAGTAGCCACCAAGGACAATATTCAGTGTGGTCACAGCTGATGTTCTGCAGTCCACGTTCTACGGTCGCCGATGGGCTAGGATGGCCCCAGGGGAGGTCAGTGTACCAGGAGCAGGGGACAGTGACAGTTCAATGCTGGAAGACCTCAGATCTTAGTAGCCCAGAAATGCTCAGTGTGAGATGGGATAGTGCCCTGTGACACAGCCCTGGCAAGCAGACTCACTACACACACTGAATGCTTAAATGGGAGTACACTGGTCCAAAGGTGCAGTCTGTGCTGAGACTTAAAGGCGCAGACAGTCCTCACATTTAAGGTTGGGTTGCAGTAAGTGCTCAGAGGTCTAGGGGAGCAGACAGTCCTCAGATTCAAGGGATGTAGACAGGGCTCAGAGAGGTGCAGTCTTTTTATCTGAGGGTGCAGACAGTATTGAAAGATCTAGGGGAGCAATCAGTCCTGAGATTTCAGGGTTCAGACACTAAGAAATCTTGGGGAGCAATCAGTCCTCAGATTTTAGGGTGCAGCAAGAATTTAGAGATCTATGGGAGCAACCAGTTCTCAGCTTTCAGGGTGCAAACAGATCTTGGGGTGCATCCAGTCCTCAGATTTCAGGGTGCAAGCAGTATAAAAAAGATCTGGGGGGTGCAGTCAATTCTCAGATTCCAGGGTACAGCCAGTGCCTGTATTTAGAGATCTTGGGGTGCAGTCAGTCCTCAGATATCTGGGTGCAGCCAATGCTTAAAGGGCTGTAAGGGTGCAGCAGTGTGGTTAACCCTGTGTGTGCTGCAGGCTGGGTTAACCCTGTGTGTGCTGAGGCCAGGGAGGTGAAGCAGCATGCACTCAGTGGCCGCTGACATCCATCTGCAGTGAGAGTGCAGTGATGTAGAGTCGCAGGCAGTGCATGGACTCCCCGCCCCCTCCTCCCCTTCAGCTGTCTCCCCCAGCGCTCAGATTGATGTCTGTCTCGTGTGTTTCCCCAGCTGTCTCTGTGTGTGTGGGCATCAGTCTAAATATGTACCTGCCATGCAGCAGCCTATTAGCAATGCTCACTGTCATGTCCTGTCCCTTACACCTCTCTCTGCATTCACTATAGTCTTTTATTGTCCCCCTCCCCTCCTCCCTCTCCCTTCTCCTATCTATCAGCTGTTTGTCTCTACCCCCCTTTCACCAAGTCTTACACAGATAGTGTGATTTTCCTCATCACAGTCACACTTCCCCATTTCTGAGCCAATCAGACCCAAGCTAATGTGGGCTGATCAGATGGAGCTTGGTCTCATGCAGTCTGCCTGCAGCATCTCTCTTGGAGACAGTGCATTGTGGGTCTTGTAGTCCTTGCTGCATTATGGGCATCACCATCCTTTTATTTCTCCACTAGAGAAAGAAAAAAAAAACATAACAAAATATGTATATGTATACACATATATAGATACATACATATACTAATATATATATATATATATATATATATATATATATATATATACATATTCATATACACACCTGAGCCTGCAATATAATTTTATTCATATATCTGATATTTTGTAAATGAGAAATCAGCCCTGCACCAGCCTATTATAATGAGGTTTAATGCACAGTCTGGTAAAAGCAACAAGCTCATATCATCTATGTCTTTTGTGTGCCTCAAAACCAGTATTATTGGATATCTGCTATCCATGCTATAGTGATAAAGAATATATTCAAAGCAAACAAGGACAGAGACATAATAAAATGGTCTATCCACTGCAACATAAAACGTAATAATGACCAATCCTATTATGTATTTTGTAATAAAGGAAGACCAGGGTTCATCATTCAGCCAGGGATATACTGGCCCTAGCACAAAAAAAAAAGATATCGGATCATGCTTTCTACACCTATGCTATTTATAAATGACCTTTAACCCAATGAGAGCCATGGAGGCACCTGCCGTATTATTCTTCCCTGTATTAGTCTAGATTAACTCTTTGTCTTACAAAGCAGCCCACAAGTCATTGTACGCGGTGAATGGAAGGCTCTCATCAGTGAGCTGTTAATCGCTACAAATTAATTCCAACATTCTATTCTATGTCTCTCATTATATAATATCACAGATCCAAAGATATAGTGTGACAGGTTCAGTTTAGGCAGATGAACAGTCACCTTCCTCTTTCGGGAAGCCTGTTTTTACCTGGCCTGTCAGCACTTTATGGCCTTATCAGTGTTCAGAGCTTGTCCTCTGCAGATTCTAGTTTATTACTGCCATTACCTTGAATTCAAATTTACACCCTCAGCTCATGAACTCATCAGTCAATAGCGCATGCACATTGTGGTTAGATACAACTATGTTGTGTTAGTGTAGGCCTCTCCTGCCTTAAACAGGCACATTGAACTATAAATATTTTTCATACCATTTCGATTAGACACGGTCGGATCACCGGATCCCACTTTTTTCAACAACTCAGTCAATGTCTTTTTGATTCATGGCTGACGTTTATGTTGTCAAGAATAAGACTTAGTCACTAAACGGAATAGCAAAGCGTTGATTAACGTATTTCAAAATGTGGGCTAAAATAGCTTAACTAAAAATAAAAATATATAGCATTCCACCTACCCTGTTTTTATAATGCTGTTATTTTGGTCCACATGTTCCACATGTTCCATAAGTCACTATAATTAAATTTTGGTGAATAAGTCAGCATGTTGTACAAGCTTGTGTCTGGCCTTTTTAACTCAAGTTTATTTTTGATGCCTTCAGATTGGCAACTTTTCCTTAAAGCGACTCTGTAATCCCCACCAAGAAATGTGAGAATTTCATAAATATAAAATCTTTATGAAATGCTCAGAAAGACTGTGTTGGAATTGTTTAGTGAAACTCCAGTGCAGTCAAAAGATTTCCTAAGACAAAGTAGGGACTATTTTGTCTTATGGTAAATCCTCAAGCTATATGTAAATGAAAAAAGACTGGCTGCCACGGTAATTAAGCACTGCTCGTTACTTGCGAGTTAAAACAAACTTTAATTCTCCAAAAAAAATGCTAAAATAAAATAAACACAGGATACACTGAAAGGCTTACTCACATTTGCGGCTAACAGTCAACAATCAATGCGTTTCGTGTATCAAAACACTTTATCAAAATCGAACTACTGGGTCAATAATATCCTGTCTTTTTATGGTATAGTAAATGAAGGATTACAGGCACCCGTGGACCCAAATCCCAATTCCACACTGAACCAGACAAAGGAAAAGAGAGTGTATATAAGCTAAATTATATTTCTGCATATAGAGAGAAAGGATAAACACACAAAGAAAAATAAAATATCAAAATCATGATAACAAACGATATAAAAAATGTATTAAAACATTAATACTATGAAAATGGTACAAATTACACATATTACTCCGTTATGAAGTTAATCAGTAAGCATTGTTACCTGTATTGACACCAAGCTTAAATTAATCACATTGTTCAACGTACAGATATAATCAAGTTGATAATCAGCTTATACCTTCAATGCAAAACCAATAAATAGGGATTCAATAACTAATGGAATAAAAAAGTCCTCAAACTGACAAAACTTGACAAAAGGCCAAGCTACTATGGTCAAGTTTTGTCACTTCCCAATACCATTGCTATTGCGAGATAATATCTATGAAGGCTCCCGCGGAGCCCTCTATAGATATCAGTGCTGTACACTTGTGCATGTGTGAGATTACAGCAATGATATGGGCTTCTAGCGGATGTAGCATCAGGAGCTGAAGACTAAAGATAGAGGCTATTGTGGGGACAGCATCAAATAAGTATAACTTACCTCTGCTACACCCCCGGGCCACCGCACACCAAGGTTCGAAGTCACCATCAAGGGTCTTTGCAAAATATGTAAAGACCCCAAAAGGAGCTATAAACACTAGGGATGTGCATGGGCAAAAAAATGGCATTTGGTTCGGTTTGGCACTTCAGAACTATCAAACATTGTCACTTTAGAACTTCGGCACTTCGGACATTCGTAAGCATCCGAATTTCCAAATGGCATGAAATTTTTACGAATCTACATTCAGAACGAAACAAATCACACATGTCTAATAAACACTTCAGAGAGAAGAAACTCTTAGCATCAAAGTTACTTAGGTACTTATGGGCTCCTTTAATGTACCTAAGTGCCACCTAAAAATATATAAAACAGGTCTCTATGTTTTCACATTCTGTGAATAGGTGTAACATATGCATTCTCACCTTGCGGTCAGCGGCTGTGCAGCTGCACGAGTGACACTTGCGGAATGCTAATGGACGCCGGCCGCTGCGGATCCAAGGCTAATTATACCCCTACGCTCGCTGACGTAACTGACGATGTCGCACGTTTTGGGGTCAAAGAGCGATCACGGCCAATCAGAAAGGTAAAGCAGGTGTAAAAGCCTAGAATTACCTTTCCTCATCCTAGTGGTTGTCTGAGAGTGCATTCCTTATTCTGGTTATTCTGGTTATTTGACTTTGGCATTGATTTTGACTTCCCTGTTTTCTGGTATCCCTGACCTCTGGCTTTCCTTTATCATTCTGTCCCTTTCTGTATCCCCTGACTTCGGCTATTCCTGACTATTCTTTGGTACATTAGTCCGGCCATTCTAGGGTCCGGTATACATTACCTATTAGTCTCCTGTGTTACACAGTTCTACATGCTGGATCATACTGTAATCCTGACATCACGACATGGCCATAGATCCTGTAGAATTGTGTAAGCACATAGCTGCTTGCGAAAGGAAACTAGAGGAGAATGATCACCGCATGGATCAATTTGCCCCCAGGTCTTCAGTACGCTTCTTATCCGAACAGCGCATCTGCAACCTGCGGCCTCTTCTACTGTCTCACCTCCGTCTTATGTACCTCCACCTATAGTACACAAGGCGCCCACTATCTCTCTATCTCCTCCCCTACATTTTGATGGTAATATTCAAGAATGCCGGGGATTCATTAACCAAACTGAGTATCTTTTTGAGGCCTCACCGGGATCTTTTCCCACAGATAGAGTTAAAATTGGTTACCTGATGAACCAACTAAAAGGTAAAGCTTTAGCTTGGGCCAATCTGCTATGGGAGAGTAATAGGAGTGTGGCATACAATTACCAGGAATTTCTTATGGAATTTAAACTTACATTTGAACCTTTAGGCAGAGAGGATGACGCCTCCACTGCCCTGATGCACATCAGACAAGGGAACCGGTCTATCTCGGAATATGCCATAGAATTTCGTACCCTAGCTTCCGAGGTAGACTGGACTAACAGTGGGCTAATCTCTGCATTTAAAAAGGAACTATCTGACACTATGCTAGATGAGATTGCTGCCAAAGATCTACCCAAGAAACTTAACGAGTTTATCACATTTGTTATGCAAATTAACAATAGACTAAGAACCAGAGAAGCTACTAGAAATAAGACCAGACGTATCACTATGCCTTTAACACCCTGTCTCTTCAAACATATTGTTCCTGACCAGGGCCGCCATCAGGGCATGACAACCGTAACGGTTGTCATGGGCCCGGCGGTCCTGGGGGGCCCGGACTGCTCAGGTCGTCCGGGCCCCACATTCAGTGGGTACATACCGGGTCGCAGGGGGTCCTGCGACCCGGTGTGTACCCACAGGGCCAGCCTCTTCTCCTGGGGGGCCCAGGAGGCGGCCACGTCAGGGCCCCCCAAGGCTGGCCCTGCTGACACCCGGCGGGCGCGCGAGGGAGCACTCTCTATGCTTCCTCTTCAGCTCCCTCGCGCACCGTACTGATGGGAGCCGGAAGATGACGTCATCTTCCGGCTCCCTCGCGCGCCGGCCTGCCCGCCCGCCGCCAGTGTCAGGAGGGGGTAGGAGGAATGAAATTCGAGGGAGTGGGGGTTAGGAATGAAATGGGGGAGGGGGAAGGAGAAGGAATGAAATGGGAGGGAGGAAGGAGAAGGAATGAAATGGGAGGGGGGAAGGAGAAGGAATGAAAGGGGGAAGGAGAATGAAATGGGGAGAAGGAAATGAAATGGGGAGGAGAAGGAAATGAAATGGGAGGGGGAGGAGAAGGAAATGAAATGGGGTGAAATTGGGGAGGAGAAGGAATGAAATGGGGAAGGAATGAAATGGGAGGAAGGAGAAGGAAATGAAATGGGGAGGAATGAAATGGGGGGAAGGGAAGGAAATGAAATGGGAGGGGAGGGAAGGAAGGAATGAAATGGGAGGGGGGAAGGAATGAAATTTGAGGAGAGGGGGAGGAAGGAATGAAATGGGGGGGGAAAGAAATGAAATTTGAGGGAGGGGGGAGAGGAATGAAATTTGAG